CTCACCTTATCGCCCAAAATTTTCCATTGCCGTCCAGCCATTTTCCAGACTATTTTTGTTTTTTTTGGCCTCACATTGCTTAGGGCCCACATGTGGCCCAGAAGTGGCCCAATTTCAACCCGAAAGGGCCCATCAAAAAATCCGAAAAAAGGTCTCGTTGACCCCCATTTCCGGAAAAAGATTTATTTTGGGGGTTTTCGCAGCTCTGGCGTGATGCCAAAAATCCGTTTAATACCCTTCTGTCCGTTTAAAATCAATTTTTATCTAGATTTTGCAGTAAATGTCGGCTTTAAGCGGTTAAAATAGCTTCAATTAAAGCAAAATTTAATTTTTTGTTTTGAGACGTCACTACGGCTCGGCGACGACGGCCGCCCCCGACAGCGAGATGGGCGGCAGTACGGAGCGGAGTGACAGTTCCGCCACACAACAACAACATACGGCACTCAGGTACGGTAGTATGGCGCAGATTCCTCGGTGATCTCTGCTATCCCGAATTCCCAAATGGTCTCTGCTAGATTGCCAGCAATTTTTGAGCAGGTTTTTGCGTATTTGTGGACAAAAAATGATTAAATCGAGTCCTGCATACCATTAATGCTCAGAACCCTACTATTCCGTGGAGTTCGCAAATAATCTCTGCTCGATTGCCTGCATTTTCCTCAATTTCCTCTGCTAGCTAGCTCTCTGGCGCTCGATTCTCCAAGAATCGCTGCTCAGTGCCCGGCATTTTTTGCGACTTCTCGGTTTCTAACGAAGAAACGCTTCCGGATTTTCAAATGAGACGCCTCATAAATGGCCTCTGCTCGCCGGCCCCGCCTCCTAAATGGCCTTCGCTAGCCGGCCCTGCCTTGTAAATGGTCTCTGCTAGCCAGCCCCGCTTCATAAATGGTTTCTGCTAGCCTGCCATGTCTTTTAAATGATCTCTGCTAACCTGCCCCGCCTCATAAATGGTCTCTGCTAGCCTTCCTCAACTTGTAAATGGTCTCTGCTAGCCTGCCCCGCCTCATAAATGGTCTCTGCTAGCCTGCCATGCCTTATAAATGACCTCCGCTAGCCTGTCCTCCTCATAAATGGTCTCCGCTAGCCTGCCCCGCCTCATAAATGATCTCTGCTAGCTTTTTATCTAAAGCCGGGTTCTAAAATTCCCATTCTTGCGCAGCGAGCCGCCAAAAGGATCATCGATTCTCTTCGTTGATCCGCTGGGACATTCCAAAAACGGGAGCTAAAAAAAGCTCGCTCAGCTAGTGCGTAGATGAGGGGTCCATGGGTTTTGACAGCTTGGCGCGTCCTTTTTTCTGGTGTGCGCGCGGCGAGAAGCGGATACGGATCCGGATTCGGCGCGCCACTTTATCACCCCAGAGATGCCTCCCTATCGTTTCTATCTTTGCAATCTGATAGCAAATATGTATCACTTCATGTAGATTTTTTTATTAGACCATAATGGGTGTCCCAAAAAAAAGCACCCCCTTATAGCGGTCCGGGGGAAGCTCAGATCAGGATGATTTTTATACCATTCGAAAGCCCGCGAAAAGGCGAGACAACAAGCGGACTTCCCTTTCTAAAATTGATTCTCATTCTTCCGATTCAACGTTTTTTCTAAAAAAACAGGCAGCTTTTCAATAGGAATTTCGCAACTAGCATGTAGATCTCGCGTAAATCTGCCGTTTTCATGGTTTTTGGGAGTGAAATTTGGGAATAAAAATACATAATAAGGAAAACAAACCCTCCTTGTTTTCTCGCCTTTCAACGTGCTTTCGATAGATACCTGAACGGTGAAAATCGGACACGACTGCGCGGGGCTAGAGGGGTGCTTTTTTTGGGGCACCTTGTAGTCTAACGCCATTCGATAGTGCGTAAAAAATATGTTGAATACTTTAATTTGGTGTCAATATTGATTTTGTGCTTTTCAGCCATTTACTTGCTTCTTCTTTCTGGTCTTTCTGGAGGATCTTTCTGGATCCGGAAAAAGAAAAGAGAAAAAGGTATCGGATAAGCTTTTTACGCTTAAAAATTTCAGAAAAATTGTCAAAAACTCAATTTTTAGCAGCCGTCCGTCGCTTTAAAATTTTCTGTTGCATGTCTGTCTGTCTGTTTGCCTGTTTGTCTGTCTGTCCATCTGTCTGTCTGTCATTATATGTCTGCAATGTCCATTGGAATGGAATGGCACCTGTTCGTCCTGCTACTCCAATTACAGCCCCACTGAGCAAAAGTATCCATTTTGAACGTTCCTGACCGGAAGACCCCCGGAATTCCGCTACATTCCTCTTTACATTCTATAGCAGGACCTTATTATCGTACTTTATCCATTTTCAAATTCGAATTCTTTTTTGTAGTAAATTCTGAGTATTCAGCGCGCGTTTTACTGTGGAATGACAGGATGACCGATTTCTCCTTTACAAACGCTAAATGGAGCCGGTAGGTGGAGAATTTCAAGGGTCTCTGCTAGCCTGCCAATTGGATCGTTTTTCCTAAAGAATATCTGCGAGCCTGCCCCTTCGTGGCCTTGTCCCCCAAAGAACTCTGCTAGCCTGCCCTTCCCTCGTTTTTTCCTAAAGAATGTTTGCTAGCCTGCCCCTCCAATTTTACCAAGAATGCTAGCTGGCCCCGTTTACGAAAGAATTTTCAGGTTTTCCGAAATGTCCTCGGCTCTGCCCTCGATTTTCCCCAGAGAATTTTGGTAGCTACCCGTCTTGCAAATTCCAAATTCCCTCTGCTAGCTTGCCACAAATTCTCGACCGCACAGGTTCGATCCCCTCCGCGGTGCGCTGTTTTTGCTTTTTGCCCCGGTCCTGCCCAGAAGACCGGGTCTTCTGGATGTTCCAGCGGATTGCCGCGTACTAAGACGCTACGCGGGCGCTTCACACCGAGATTAGGGGTCTCTCTCCCTCTCTATCTCTCCCTCTCTCTCGCTCTCGCTCTCCCCCGCTCTCTCTCTCTCTCTCTCTCTCTCTCTCTCTGGCTCTCGTACCCATAACACTGGTCACCAACCCCTGCACCCCATCATTCTGCCCGTGCCAATCTTTGCCCTCCCCTTTCCCTAAATCATGCCCTAGCTACCGTACCCCGCCATGCCCCATATTATCATCATTAATGGCCGGAAATCCATTAAAAGTTCCGCGAGAGTCCGATTGGCGAAAAGGGCAGCGCGTCGTCTGCTCGGTTTTGCCGATTTTGTATCGAGAAGGAGCACATTCGTATGGTTGGTTTTTTGCCAAAAATCCTCAATATCTCTGCTAGCCTGCCCCCGTCCATCCCCTCCAATTCCTCAAAGAATCTCTGCTAGCCTGCCCCCCTCCATCCCCTCCAATTCCTCAAAGAATCTCTGCTAGTTTGCCTTCTTACCATGCACCCCACTCTGACGTGCCAATTGTTGGCTTTGAAGGGCCGTAGGGTGCTGTAGCGACGTCTAATCACTTGCCTCTCTCCTTCCTTCTCTCACTCTCTCTCTCTCTCTCTCTCTCTCTCTCTTTCTTTGTGTACAAAGCGTGTGCGCGTGTCGCGCGCGGCGGGCCCTTTCCTCAGAACTCGATTACCCTCGAAAATCGGCTATCCGCTGGTAGCGAATTGTTAGATGAAACGTGTGCCAAGGGGGCAGGCTAGCAGAGATCGTTTGCGAAATTCCTCGCAAATTTTTGCAAAATTCTCAAGCTTGTAAGGGAGTATTTCCGGTGGCCAGTCCGCCTGGTAACGTGATCCACTGGAATTCGAAGTGTTCGTGGGGGAAACAAGCTAAAGAAACCGGGCTGGGCTACGTCTAGAGTTGTTATAACTCAAACAACAAACAACAAATTATTCAAACAACTCAAACAAGTTTGCTTTGTTTGAGCTCGACAAGTTTCAAACAAAACAATCTTGTTTGACTTGAGTTCCAGGGGGATCAAATCAAACAAGGTTGTTTGACTTGTTTGAACTTGTTTGAGCACCCTGAACTGTGAGATTTTTGGGGATTTTTCGATGGACCGGAAGTGGATTCAAACATTCAAAAACAAATTTCACGGGAAAAAATGTATGCATGCATGAATGCTAATTGCAAAAATACTAAAAAAACACGCTTTACATCCAAAATTAGCATACATTTCAAACAAGGTCAAACAAAACTCAAACTGCTCAAATAGTTCAAACAATCTTGTTTTGTTTGAGCGATCAACGGTCATCTCAAACAAAACATGTTTGATTTGAATCTCCAAAATCCCTATCAAACAGCCTTGTTCAAACAGGCTTGTTTGAGGCCTTGTTTTGTTTGAGTTATAACAACTCTAGTTACGTCAGACACCTTTGAACACCCGGCTCGCAACAAAGCGCAAAGCATTGGGGTTACCGTACGTCACGGAGGGTTGGCAGAATTGACGAAAAATCGACAAAACAGGATTTTCCGGGCTCTGCAAATAATTTTTCCGCGGCGCGACACGCAACGCGCCCGATTTTTCGTTGTGTAATCGATTCGAGCCCGCACGCGTGGCGTGTCGCGCCGTGCGGATCGACTACGCGCGTGTGTCCCTAGCGCGCTGCGGGTAGCTGCGTTGCGTGTCGCGCCGGCTCCGTGTTAAAAACAGCGGTATACTATACTCAAAAAAATCTACAGTACTCGCTAAAATCTATATTTTTAGGGCATCTCGTCTAGCCGTTCTGTTTGCCGTCCTCTTCCTCGTCACGCTCCTCATCGCCATCTCTTGTGTCACCGCATTTGCCATTTTCACGGATGGATTTGAGAATATCGGAGGTAGAGCGAGAGAGAGAGAGATAGAGAGAACGGAGAGAGAGCGAGAGAAAGAGCGGGAGAGAGCGCGAGAGAGCGAGAGAGAGAGCGACGATTTAAAGCCCAAAAAGCCTTATTTTCAGCGCTTTTCGGGAGTGCTGATTGCCCTCCAAAATCCGGATCTCATCCCCATCCACCATCTCGGCCTCATCTACATCAACAAATACCGATTCCCTCCAATATACCGACATTATTCCCGTGGGAGAAGCCAAAAGGGGGAGTGGATACTGGAGGAGGAGATGTTTGTATGAATGAAGAATGTATACGGCTTGGTATGTTTCTTTCAATGTTTGGGTCCGCATCCCAAATGGTCCCTGCTAGCCTGCCCCCTCCATCCCCTCCAGTTCCTCAAAGAATCTCTGCTAGCCTGCCCCCTCCATCCCCTCCAATTCCTCTAAGAATCTCTGCTAGCCTGCCCCCTCCATCCCCTCCAATTCCTCAAAGAATCTCTGCCAGCCTGCCCCGGTCCATCCCCTCCCATTCCTCAAAGAATCTCTGCTAGTCTGCCCCCGTCCATCCCTCCAATTCCTCAAAGAATCTCTGCTAGCCTGCCCCCTCCATCCCCTCCAATTCCTCAAAGAATCTCTGCTAGCCTGCCCCCGTCCATCCCCTCCCATTCCTCAAAGAATCTCTGCTAGTCTGCCCCCGTCCATCCCTCCAATTCCTCAAAGAATCTCTGCTAGCCTGCCCCCGTCCAGCTCCTCCAATTCCTCAAAGAATCTCTGCTAGTCTGCCCCCGTCCATCCCTCCAATTCCTCAAAGAATCTCTGCTAGCCTGCCCCCGTCCATCTCCTCCAATTCCTCAAAAATCTCTGCCAGCCTGCCCCCGTCCATCCCCTCCCATTCCTCAAAGAATCTCTGCTAGTCTGCCCCCGTCCATCCCTCCAATTCCTCAAAGAATCTCTGCTAGCCTGCCCCCGTCCATCTCCTACAATTCCTCAAAGAATCTCTGCTAGCCTGCCCCCGTCCATCTCCTCCAATTCCTCAAAGAATCTCTGCCAGCCTGCCCCCGTCCATCCCCTCCAATTCCTCAAAGAATCTCTGCTAGCCTGCCCCCGTCCATCTCCTCCAATTCCTCAAAGAATCTCTGCTAGCCTGCCCCCGTCCATCCCTCCAATTCCTCAAAGAATCTCTGCTAGCCTGCCCCCGTCCATCTCCTCCAATTCCTCAAAGAATCTCTGCTAATCTGCCCCCTCCATCCCCTCCAATTCCTCAAAGAATCTCTGCTCGCTGACCAGCTCCATTTTTAGCGGCCAGCTACCTGAACAACATGAACCCGGATGTGTCGCCGTGCACCGATTTCTACGAGTTTGCCTGCGGCCAATATGCCAGTACTCGGGTGGGTCTTTCCGCAAAGAATCACTGCTAGATGGCCCGCTTTCGAAATTTAGTGATCATTGCGTGTTCGTGATTTTTGGGGGTATGAAAAATACCTGATCTTTTTTTTCAGATAATCCCAGAGCACGAGCGAAAGATTACGGTATTGACAGAGATGAAAACGAGGCTGGATCGACATTTGAAAGGTGAGCGGAATACAACGGAATCATGAACGAGAATGCTCAGATATTCTCGAAAAATCGTCCCGAGAAGACGCGACACCGGCTATGAGATTGGCACAGATCTATTATGACTCGTGCATGGATGGAGAAGCACAGGATGAACAGGTAAGATAGCAGAGATTCTTTGAGGAATTGGAGGGGATGGACGGGCGCAGGCTAGCAGAGATTCTTTGAGGAATTGGAGGGGATGGACGGGCGCAGGCTAGCAGAGATTCTTTGAGGAATTGGAGGGGATGGACGGGCGCAGGCTAGCAGAGATTCTTTGAGGAATTAGAGGGGAAGGAGGGGGCAGGCTACCAGGGATCTTTGAGGAATTTCAAGCTCCTTTCAGGATCTTCTCCCTCTGAATGAAATGTTGTCCAAGCTGGGCGGCTGGCAACTATTGACGAATGCCCGCTTCGAGCAGCCGAATTTCCATTGGGAAACACTGGCCGGTTAGGCTACCGGCCACAGACTAGAAACCACGAATTCAGGTCAAACGGCGCTGTACGGTGTAGGGAGTCTGGTTCGATTCTTTGTTCACAACTCGTTCACCGACAGCACACAGCACATGTTGATGGTCAGCGTTTTCTGCAGGTTCAGGGCAAGCTAGCAGAGATTTATGGGGAAATCTGACTCAATAGAGGGGCAAGCTAGCAGCGAGAATTGAGGAAATTGCAAAAACAGCCGACCGTTTTTTAGTTCAGCCCGCCGAAGCTGCTGCTCGACAAAAAGAAGTTCTACCGCGAGCCGCTGGCCACCAACAGCTACCTCCAGTTTTACAAGCAGTACATGCTGGAGCTGCTGCAGATGCTCGGTAAGTTCAGGATTTCCATCTCTCTCACTCTCTCTCTCTCTCACTCTCTCTCTCTCTCTCTCTCTGTCTCTCTCAGTTCAATCTTTTTTCAGGCGCCGAACCAGATGCTATTGAGCCGCATGTCGTGGACATCATCAATTTTGAGTGCCAGATTGCTAATGTGCGTATTTTGGACAATTTTTCTAGATTTTTTTAGTTGACCCGGTCCACCGAAAATCAACGAAACCACTCGACGATCAACAACGTGATGTCGATGGGGGATTTCCGGACTAGATATGAAAAGGTTAGTCCGGGAGATTCCACAAGAATTTCTGCTAGCCTACCTCGATATTTGCCAATTTCTAGAGATTAGCATTCTATTTTTTCAGATCAACTGGGATCTGCTGTTCAACGACGACATTCGCGCGTATTTGGCTCCGATGAGCGATTCGGTAGCTTATTTAGGTTGACGGTCGGTTGACGACGATTTTTAGATGCTGGTGAACGTGCTCGACATTGGGTATTTCGACCAGCTGGCGAAGCTGGTGGGGGAGACGCGGATGCAGTGAGTTTTTTTGAAGGAGTTCTGCCAGCTTGCCAGGCAGCAAGAGAAAGAAAGAGAGAGCGAGAGAGAGAGAGAGAGAGAGAAAGAGCGGGAGTGAGAGAGAGCGAAAGAGAGAGAGGGGAGAGGAGCGAGAGAGAGACATTGAGCTCCACTCTCGGCTTTCAGAATCATTTCTGACTACATGCTATGGAAAGTCGTCTCAACTTTTGATGCCTATCTACCCCGACACTACCGCGAGCCGTTCGATCGGTTTAAGGTATTTTTTTAGTCTAATAGATACCATAAAACCTCCATGGGATTGGTAGTTCGATTTCGCTTTTTTAGGCTCGCGTAATGGGTTCATCCGAGGTGCCCCGGTGGGAGGCGTGTGTTCACGAGACACGCGAGAAGCTCGGTGTACCCCTGTCGACGGCATATGCTCATAAACATTTCGACTCGGTCCATTCGGCTATTGTAAGTCCGCTTTAGCTGCGATTTTTCAAAGAATCTCTGCTAGCCTGCCCACTTCATTTTTTACATTTCCTCAAGAATATCTGCTAGATTACTCTCGCTCTCTCTCTCTCTCTCTTTCTCTCTCTCCGCTCTCTCTCTCACTCTCTCACTCCTTCTCTCTCCGCTCTCTCTCTGCGCTCTCTCGCCCCTGATTTTCACAAAACACCCTTCCCTAAGGCACGTCTCACCGTCAGGAGGCACGTCGCCGTTTTTTGGGCCACGATGGATTCCTAAAGCACCTCAGCTAGTTCGCCTAGGACCACGATTCATTTTCTTAAATGAAAATGCTAGTTGGCCTCATGTTGGAAAACCTTTCAAAGAACCGTTGCTAGCCTGCCATTCCTGACATAAGTATTTTCCCAAAAAATCTCTGCTATTCTCTCGCTCTCTCTCTCACTCACTCGCTCTCTCTCCTCTGTTTCTATCTCTCTAGCTCTCTCTGTCTCCCGCTCTCTCTCTCTTTCTCTCTCTCTCTCTCTCTCTCTCTCTCTCTATCTCTCTCGGCCTCCCGCTCTCTCTCACTCTCTCTCCCATCAACCCCTCATATGGCTAGGTCTCGACAGCGTACTGGCATTTAATTTGTTGCTCAGGGCCGTCAAATTGGGATTTAACTGCGTAATTTTGATGCGACGCGCAGCTGTCTAGAGCTAGTCAATTTATACGGTTGATTCTGACTTTAAACCTTAAAACGACCAATCTTTGCCGAAAAGCTCTTCTCAACGTGCACCTCCAGGCAGAAGAGTTGATCGTGGACCTGAAGGAGTCGATGCGGCAGACGCTGTTGAGCACGGACTGGATGGACGAGGAGACGAGAGAGCACGCCCTGCATAAACTCGCCAAAATGGGCCATAAAATTGGTACATTACGGGGGTTTTTTTGGGTTACACATTTTTTAGGCTACCCGCCAACCCTGCTGAACGAGACGGCCGTGTTGATGCCGTACGCGGGGATACGGTTGACGGCCGATCGATATTTTGACAATGCGGTGGCGTTGAAACGGGTCGAAATGAGGTAGGAGGGTCCTTGCAAGCAGGCCTTGGAAATTCCCCAATGATCTCTGATAGCCTACCCTTGGAAATTCCCCAAGATTCCCCAATTCTGAAAACCCCATGCCAGTTCCAGACCCTGTCCGACTGACCCCACATGTGCCCCCGAAACGCGCCCCACCTGGCCCACCCATCTGCCGGGGGTATATAAGGAGGGTCCTTTCCCTGCCACCCGTTCATTCCTATGAACATATACTAAAATTGAAACAATACAGAGAAGATTAGCATGGCCCCTGCGCAAGGATGACACGCAAATTCGTGAAGCGTTCCAAATTTTTTGACTTTTTTCGGGATTTCGCGACTGGGATCGGGCGGGCTAGCAGAGATTCTTGAGGAATTGGAGGGGATGGAGGGGGCAGGCTAGCAGAGATTCTTTGAGGAATTGGAGGGGATGGAGGGGGGCAGGCTAGCAGAGATTCTTTGAGGAATTGGAGGGGATGGAGGGGCAGGCTAGCAGATATTCTTTGCGGAATTGCGGAATTGATGGACGTGGCAGGCTAGGAAAGTTTTATAACGAATCCGCTCATTGGTTTTTGGCTGCATTGTTAACACTGGTAAGGCGGTAAAATCTAGCACTTTTTCCAGCGCGATAGCAGGGTTTTTTTTGAGGAAATTGAGGGTTCTTCTGGTGCTAGGCAGCAGGGGCGTAGCCAGAAAAAAATTTCGGGGGGCGGCCCCGAAAAAATTTTTTCGAAAAACTCAAAAAATTAACGAGAAAACAGCGCATTTTAGGAAAAAAGGCTATATGGCTCTACAAATAGCAGCAAAAACGTGAAGAAAAAGCGCCGCCGGCGGCAAAATTTTTGAGAAAATAAAAATCATAAGGGTCCCCCCTTATGAAATTTTCGGGCCCCGGCCGATTTCGGGCGGGGGGCCCACCTTACGCTACGTCCCTGCTAGGCAGCCTAGCAGAGTTCCTTGCGGAATGCGGGCGGCCAAACAAGCAGAAAGCTCGTGAAATAGCTAGTAAATAGCTTTTTTAGGGAAATCCTGCGCCGTCTGCACCGCCCAGCCGACAAGACCGAGTGGGTATCACCGGTGATTGCCGTCGACGCTTACCATTATTTCAACGGAAATGAGATTAGTACGTTTTACAGGGATGTGGAAAGGCAAAAAAAAAGTGGACCTGGATTTCTATACCATAACCTCGCAAGTTTTTTTGTAGTATTCCCGGCCGGAATCCTTCAATTCCCGATGTTCGTCCCGCAGGCACCGGCATATGTGAATTATGGAGCGATCGGGATGGGGATTGGCCACGAGATAACGCATGGATATGATGACTTGGGTGAGAAGAGAGAGAGAGAGAGAGAGAGAGAGAGAGAGAGAGAGAGAGAGTAGGAGGCAGGCTAGCAGCGAATCTTTGAGGAATCGGCTTCTTCCAGGAGCCCAATACGACGAGCAGGGCAATTTGCGGAGGTGGTGGCTGGGCGAAACGATGCGTGTATTCCAGTCGAAGAAACAGTGCTTCGTGCAGCAGTATAACAACAAGTTTGAGCCGACGACAGAGAGAAAGGTGAGGGAGAGAGAGCGAGACAGAGATAGAGAGAGAGAAACGTCAAGTTTTAACCCCCTCTTCAGCTCGACGGCCGATTGACGATAGGGGAAAATATAGCCGACAATGGTGGGCTTCGAGTGGCACATAAGGTGAGAGAGAACGAGAGAGAGAGAGAGAGAGAGATGGAATCCCATTTAGCCAAGCCGCCAAAACCTTTTAGGCGTACGAAATCCACGCTAAACGCGCCACCGACCTTCGCCATCTCCCCGGAATGCAAAACTTCACCGACTCGCAGATGTTCTTCTTGGCTTTTGCGAATGTACTGCTTTACAAATGCTTCTAAATTGTAATTTTTCTCCAGACGTGGTGTGAAGCGGTGAAACCCTCTGCAATCGATTACATTATGGAAACCGATGTGCATTCGCTGGGAATGTTTAGGCAGGTTTCCTCAAAGAATCTCTGCTAGCCTGCCCCCTTGCATCGCCTCCAATTCCGCAAAGAATCTTAGCTAGCCTGCCCCCGTCCATCCGCTCCAATTCCTCAAAGAATCTCTGCTAGCCTGCTCCCGTCCATCCCCTCCAATTCCTCAAAGAATCTCTGCTAGCCTGCCCCCGTCCATCCCCTCCAATTCCTCAAAGAATCTCTGCTAGCCTGCCCCCTTCCATCGCCTCCAATTCCGCAAAGAATCTTAGCTAGCCTGCCCTATAACCCCAAAACCATGAAATTTCAGGGTGAACGTTCCGCTGCAGAATTTCCCGGCCTTTTCCCAATCGTTCAACTGCCCGATTGGCAGCCCGATGAACCCGTTCGAGAAGTGTCGTGTGTGGTAGCGGCGCCGACTCCATCCGTTTTCGCCTTTTCCGGTGCCATTTTTGGTCTTTCTGATGCTCAACGTCTGTAGAAACCGTCTTAATTACGCTTTTTTCTCCCGGTGACCTCCTTGAAACAATTTAATTCGATCATTTTTAGTATTGCTATGACTGTATAATATTAGCAACCGAAATCTCGTGGCCGTACAACGAACCGAAACCGAAAAACCTCGAAAAATCCTCGGAAATCAATAAAACTCTACTATACTTACTTACCCCCGAATAATCAGTATTTTTTCGACTTATAATAATGCTTAATAATAATATTTATTATTATTATTAGTATTGTTATTGCATAATTCAGTGGTGCTAACTCTTTTTACAATGCTATCGAATCATTTTAGAATCTTTCGTGTTATCGGGGGGGGACTATTTTTTCTACACGTCCAGAAATGCCAAGCGACGTAATATTAAGTTTTTTAATAGTGTTTCTAGCAAATTTAACTATATTTACGTGGAAAAAACAAGCGGAAAAGCTTGAAATTTGGTCAAAAAATCTGTTTTTGGCAGAAAAATCGATGTATTTTGTATTTATTGATAACATTTTGTAGTTTGTACGTTTAGAAATCGTAAAAAACAGTCTAGAAACACTTCCTCTATTTTTATAAAAAACCTTGGACCCACAGAAAAAGTCCCCCCCCCCCCCCCCTTTAATGCGAAAGAACCTATTTTTATTGTCCCCCAAAACGGGTATTATTATATTTTTTAATGTATCGTAACCCAGCGGGTTATTGCAAACGAAAAATGACATACGACCCTTGTTTCCCCCCCGAAATTGCTCCGCGAACCCGAGATTGTGATTGTTTTTTTCGAACATCGATGTATCCATTTTTGATGTATTTTCAGTGCTAATAAAGTTCGATTAAAATTGGCTTCATAAACCTTGGCAAGTACGGTCTCGAAGCGAACTGCAGCTCTTTTTCACGCTACGCCATGGTCCTCTGGCCGCCCGGAACCCGCGCCTGCCAACTAACCGATCATTTCCCCACCCGGGAGGGAAAAGCGGCCCAAAAAATCGCCACTTTCATCATGGTTCACCTCCCAAGTCCGAGGCTTTATGGCCTGGAAAATGAAGCTCTGGACGGTTAGGGGGGGGAGGGGGTTAGCAGGGGAAAACCACTTTTTGTTGTTTTTAGTAGTTTTTGGATTGCTAGAAAGTTTCAAAAAACTTTCAGAAATTTTTAAATTCGCAAATTTCGATCATTTTTGACCATTTTTCTAAAACTTTTCGCCAAAAAGCCAAAGAATTTCAAAAATTTTCATAATTTTTATGAACTTTTTATACCTAAAAACTATGTAAACTACAATAAAATGGTCTATATTTCGTGATCGGCCGTAGGGAATTACAGAGAAAAATTGCCCCCTCTCGCTAACAGTCCAGAACCGCATTAGTGCCATTTAGCTAAATTACAGAAGCTGGAGCCTATCTATGTTTTCGAATCCCTGCCGGACATGGTTTTTTCGATTTCTATGAAGCCTTTATATTGTTAAAAACGCTAGCAATGAGTAGACTTACAAGGAGACGTTTTTTAGTGTGAATGGAGTTTTAAGTTGAAACCAGGCCTATTCTGTGCAGAATTTTGCGCTGATTCCGATACTGTTTTCCAATTTTGCTAAATAGCTCGATTTAAAAAGTTACAGCTATTTTTATAATAATTTTTAGGCCCAGAGTAGCCATATGCTATGCTGTGCTACTTTTTTGTTATAATGTTCTAATTTATTTTAAGTAGCCTATCTTGTAGAGAATTTTTTTCTGATCCGAATGGTATGTTCGATTAGTGCGCTATTGCCGATCGTCGATGGCTTACAGGGGTGAGAAATAGGCTGTTTTTCACCATTTACCATACAAAAATCGCAGTCCATACCAAGTATCGTCGATTTTTTCGATTTTCAACAATTTTTTGTTAAATAGCTCATTCGATAGAGAAAATAGTTCTGAATACGGTGACGATATTTATTGTTGGAAAAACAGCTGGGAAAAGCAACATAATGTTTTCTAAAGAGGGGAAAACTTGGGCTAAAATGATCTTAAAATTGCTGTAACTTTTGAAATCGATCTATTTAGCAGAAATGGGAAACATATTCGGAATCAGCGCAAAATTCTGCACAACATAGGCCTGGTTTCCACTCAGAACTCCATTCACACCAAAAAACGTCTCCTTGTTAGAGCAAACTTCCGGAATTTTGCGTCGCGAAATAGCTCGTTCCATAGCCCATTCCACAGCTGGACCTTTTCGAGAAAAACTCAACGTTTATATTCTGTTCAGCGCGGATGAAAAAATCAAATGACAAGATCGCCTTTTCGGAGCAAATTTTCGCCAAGACACTAGCCGGTAGGCAATTTTGGAGTGCGAGAAGTTGTTCAGAATCTCGAGCTCTATCGAATGAGCTACGATGCATTGCAGGTTCTAATATCACTTAAAAACACTGCCTTGTGAGAAGAAAGTCCTGGACCAAAGGAATAGAGGAAACGCAAGTTACGGCGTGAAAAGCCATATTCCGAAACTGTACACTTTACGGGGGTCAGGTCCCGCCTGGAAATTACTTTTGTAGAAAAATCGTGACGGGGACTCGGACCTGCCAGAAATCGTCTTTTTCGCAAATTTCGCCTCGGGTCTGCAACCCTTTTTGTTTTGTTTTGCTACTTCCTGACTTTCGGCGCGGGCATTCATTTAGGTCCTCCTTCCTCTCTCTACCTTCGTGATCCTTTCCGGGACTTGTTACTAACAAAAAGTTCCCTCCTCTTTTACCTCCATTTACTCGCTATTTCCTTCTCCATTTGTTATTTCGTTTCACCTTGCTCTCTTTATCTTTTCAATTTCAGCCGCTCCACTTCCGTGATCAGCGACTACTGGGTGAAAATGGGCAAGCTCTACGGACCCGCCGATAGCTTCCGCACGAAGAAGGTGCTCGTCGCCGCCAAGTTCGCCAAGAAGAACGTTGAGCTGATCGATGATGCACCGCCAGCCGCTGTTTCGCCCCTGGGTTTGGTAAGCTATTCTCCTTTCTTGATAGTTTTGTTTTAGACCCCGGCCTACTCTGATGGAGCCGACCATCTGTTCGGCGCCGATGCCATCGCGCTGCACTTGGTCGCCGGGGTTCTTGGATGCCCGAAGAGCGTGAGTTCTCCTTTCATCGGTTAGACCTTAATTTCTTTTAGTGTGGCGCTGTCCTTCAATGGGTTCAATGGGGCGAGGCCAACCTACTTCCCAACATCCTAGGTTGCGTCCTCCCCAAAGTGTCGAAGGCCCAATTCGATGAGGGAGTCGTCGCCATCTACAAGCAAGAACTGCTGGCCCAACTCACGCAGCTCAACGAAGTGCTCGAGAAGAAGACGTTCCTGGTTGGAGAGCGCGTCTCGTTGGCTGACATCTCTGTCGCCCTCAACCTTCTTCCCGCCTTCGAAAACTTCATCAACCAGACGCTGCGCAAGCGATTCATCCACGTCACTCGTTGGTTCAACACCATCGTCAACCAGCCGCCAGCCAAGGAGGTGCTCGGTGATGTGAAGTTCGATGCAACTGTTGGAACGGAAGGTGATTTTGGTTTTCCAGTTTTGTAATTCGAATCTGTTTAGAACCTCAGGCCAAACCTGCCAAGGGCGCGCACCAACAACCAAAGGCCGAGAAGTCGAAGAACGCCAAGCCAACGACGCCTGCAGCGCCAAAGGCTGAAAAGAAGAAGAAGGATGAAGCGGAAGAGCTGGACGCCGCTGATGCAGCCGTCGCGGCCGAGCCCAAGCAGAAGGACCCCTTCGAGTCGATGCCCAAGTCTTCGTTCGTGATGGACGCTTTCAAGGTAATTTATTTTCGCTTTCCGGAATCCCCATCGCCTAGTCAGCAGATATTTCCCATCACGGGCTATTTGCGTTACAGTGATGGAAAAGAAACCGATCTGTTGTCCGCGATTGTTGGCGCAGTTTTTGCACCTTTTCTCGTAGGGACATTTCGGCGGGGCACGAGAGTTGAAATAGTCTAGCCGCAGCCCCTCCAGTAATGGAAATGGCCCTCGACTATTTCTTAGTGTTGCCCAAGACATATCTAGAGATCATTTGGCCTACACCCTGCTTTCTTTTGATGGAGAATTTATATTTTCTTTTTTTCAGCGCGTCTACTCTAACGAAGACACTGCCACCAAGGCCATCCCCTACTTCTGGGACAACTTTGACGCGGAGAACTGCTCGATCTGGCGGTGCGACTACAAGTATAACGATGAGTTGACGCTGTCCTTCATGAGCTGCAACCTCATCTCCGGTATGGGATACTTTGTACCTTTTTATTTTTTATGTTTAGGCATGTACCAACGCCTGGAAAAGCTGAAGAAGAATGCCTTCGCCTCGATGATTCTCTTCGGAACCGACAACAACTCGCAAATCTCTGGCATCTGGGTGTGGCGCGGACAAGGCCTCGCCTTCGAGCTGTCGCCCGACTGGCAGGTAACACTTTTTTCACTTTGCAGATGATTTTGAGTTTAGGTTGACTACGAGTCATACGAGTGGAAGAAGCTCGACCCGAAGTCTGAAGAGACCAAGAAGACTGTCAACGAGTACTGGATGTGGGAGGGAGACTTCGACGGCCGCAAATTCAACCAAGGAAAAATCTTCAAATGAATCTACTGTTTGTTGTCACTTTTTACCGGTTTTGCTCGTAAACATTTGTTTACTGCCATGTTTTTGAAATAAAATTTTATGTGAGAAGTTTGTAAGGTGGATGGCAGGAAGAATGAACTGTATCGCAAGTACAACGCATTTTTGGGGGAGTTATCACATTAGGGAGAGGTATTCTACTTGTTTTGATGTTGTCGAATCTTGTGGATTGGGTGTGAGAGTCCGCCGCTTCAGGTCGTTGTTCAGTTGAGCGTTGTGGTATGCATGCGCGTGTGATTAGTCTATCCTTTTTTTCTCCAATAGCCACAATGGGGTGACAAAAAAGAAAGGGGGGGTCAAATAGTCATTGGGTTAATAGTAGATGATTGTTTTCTCGTTCAGCAGTCAGAATGGAGGGACAGTTGAGGCATCGACACCGAGCGACGGGTCTGCGGAGGAGGGATGAGCGATGTCGACGAAGAGTTGAGCGACGTTTTCGACGCGGAGGAGGGCGTTCCGCGCAGCACATTGCGAAGACGTCCTCCCAAACGCTTCAGCAGCGACTTTTCACGCTTCGGCGTCTCCAGCGACTCGGATCGCTTACCGCGATGCACCTGAATTTGGGTTTTAGAATGGACAAGTTATGTGCGCAAGTCCTTGAAATGGCCTTTCACCTACCTTGAAGATGACGGCCTGGCTGTTGCCGATGTCGGTGGTGTCGGCCGACTCGTTGATGCGGATGCGGATCCGTTGCACGGCGTAGAAGTCACAGTCAGCGGTCGGCTGACGGCCCAGGTAGGTGGCCGCGTCGAGCAGGTCGATGGCAAAGTCCCATTCGATGCTGCAAATTCTAAGTTTTTTCGCGTACTTTTCGTACTCGTAATCGTGAAGATAAATGAAAAAGCAAATGGAAGAGAGCGTAAGTAGAGACCCACGCGCTGTCCTCCTCTTCGGCACGTTTGTCGTAGTGTCGTGCCTCGCGGTCGGCGTATCGGAAGGTGATGCGCGGCTTGGCGTTCGGGGCGTCAATTTCGGGAAGGTAGTGGACGTAGAGGAGGCAACGATCCGGGTGGGCCATGGCCGAGTGAGCGCTGCCAAATTCCGGTGTCACCAGGTAGGCGTCCTGAAAAGAGGCTGACGGTAGGCCAGCAAATGATTTTGTGGAACCTGGATGAGCTGCGGCATCTCGAGCTGGAAACGGTCATCGAGCTGTTCGACCGGCACCTGGCGCACCTTCATTTGGACGATGCCGGTGGGTTTGGCGGCGGTTGGCGCCTCAGTGGGTGCCTCGGTCTCACTAAAATTTAGCATTTCGTGTCGTAATTGTTTATCCCCACCCTTCCGCCGTGCCAAGGAACTCTTGAAGCTGCAACGGCAACTCATCATCCCCGCAAAAGCACACGATGGCGATGAGGACGGCCGAGATGAGCGCGTCCGTCCAGCAGAAGGGGCCCCGCAGTGGTTGCTCGATGGTCGACGCTTCCGGCAGCGTGTAGAATGGAGGCGACGGCTCAACGACTCCCGGGAAATCTAGCAGCGCCGTGGTGTTCAGCTGCGCGCCGGCGAACGGGGAGAAAACTGTAAGAATTTGCATACGTTGGAGAATCTGCATAACCAACCGATGAGAATAGTCAGTAGGTTAGTGGTGAAGGTCATTTTGTCGGGTCAGCAGCAGGTAAAAAACGGGTGATATTCGCGATTTACGAGGAGTTTTTGTACGGAAATTGGCATGCTAATAGCTGGGAATTTCCGGAAAGTCATAGGTTATTCTAATTTTATATTCCAGGTGGGCGGTCTATGCATTAAAAAATACGACAAATTATCGTATTTCATTAATGCCGATTTTTGGGGTTATCTCGGAAGGTGAGAGGTCATTGCAGGCGGGAATGCAAGCGGTTTCAGCCCGTCAAGGCGGGTTGCCGGATTTGAATTGTTTGAATCGTTAAAAATACTTGAGTAGCGGTTTTAGTTACTACTGGACTGTTAGCAGGGGGGGGGGAGCGGGGTGAGTAATTTTTATCTTTCCGCCTATACTCTGATGTTGCTGAAATAGAATTTATTTTTATGGTCCTTTTAGTTTTAGTTTGTGATTACTAGAAAGTTAAAAAATATTTCAAGTCTTTGACATTTTAAAAATGTTTACGTTTTGCCGTCATTTTTCATAGATTTTTGACATAGATTTTTTACCCTTTTACGAACTTTTTTACATCGAATTCGTTATCTAGACCCGTACAGGGTTATTGGGAAAGGTTTAGTTTCTCCTGCTAATCTCCCACTCCCCCCGTTAACAGTCCAGTACCGTTTACGTTGAGTCTCATCGGGTCGTCTAAAGCTGAATAAATGCCACCAACAAAAGTCAGTTTAGCCGATGGAATTCGGTCGTTTGCCATCCGAACTCCAACATGCGGTATTCGATCACCTCGAGCCGGATGATCTCATTTCCCTCCACCGCACCACCCAACAATTACGGTAGCAATTTTTCGGAGCAGAAATCGTCTTTTTGTATATTTTGAAGTTTAGGATTTAAGTTTAAAAACCGCCTTAAAATTCCACAATCTTATAGACACTGCATTAATGGTAGAGGGCTACTGCCGGGTCGTGTCGCGAGGGTGACAATCAATGGATTGCGAGTGCCGGGTGGTGGTCCAGATGAGGTATCCGCTCTATTAAATGCCGTAATCGGTTATCCGTTCAGATGCGAGTATCGGGGCTGTTTGTGGTGGTGGAGAGTAGTGAAGGAGTTCGAATCAGTACATCCTACCCCAACAAACGTCTGTATCACTCACTTGACAAAAGGTTGGTTCAGCGTTTCCGCTTTCCGCTTCCTCGAGTGAGATCGAGAACGAAGTGAGAAAGCTAAGCCTTGATCAAGCCAAGCGATAAGACAAGTGAAATTATGCACAAGGTGTGCTATTTTACGTATCGAACTTCCACGGTCACTAAAAACCGTTACAGTAAGCCTAAGCCTGAACCAGGTCAGCCCAAGCCTAAGGGGAGCTAAGACGAAGCCAGCGGAAAAGACTCATAAAAAATTATCCAGAATTTTTTTTAAAATTTCCACTTTTGCACTTAACAGCGCGATCACTTTTCCAGTATTGCACCCGGCACCACCTGGCCGGGCTATCCGCCATCTTTTATACCGGACGATTGGCCATCCACTGATTACAGGATGCCGATGCGGTAAGTACACGCCATGGGCTTTCTTCCATAATGTCGTGAATCATAATGTCTAAATTTCATGATATCGAAATTTACTAAGCCAATTGGTTCTTGTGTAATCCCCGGGTGGCGAGACCTAACTTTTTCGGCCCAAGCCTAGATTTGTTATATAAATAGTGGAAGTGTTTCGAAATTGTTTATAGCTATTCCTAAGCCTAAAAACTTTACAAAATTTGATTCAATTTTTCGACCTTTTCAAGCGTTTTTCTAACTTTAAAAAAAAATTCGGATTCAAATAGGCTGAAATTTTGCTAAAAACAATGTGAAAACACTTTATATTTGATTATTATCCTCAACAGGGCCGCCAGGCAAAAGTTGGTCCCCCCTCCGGGAATACACAAGAACCAGCCAATTTCCTCGGAGAAACCCCCGAATCCGATGCCAAAAAATTTCGACATTTCAAAATTTCGCACATGTGATAGCAAATCGGCGCCATGCAATTTTGTTATCATTTAGTCGATATCGGATGAAAAGTGCGGCATACTTGGTGAAATTTGCCCGTCTACTCGAACGGACATGTGCCATGCGAGTTTTGGAGTTTGGACTCCACCACGAACATTTCGTGGTAAGTACGGTACGGGGAGGGACCGATTTTTCCCTAGTAATTCCGGATGGCACATAACGCCATAATAAGCCATTTTTTATGACACTTCACGGGGTTTTTGGGCATAAAAGCTCATCAAAAATGCCAAAATCAAACTATTCGAGCAAAAATTCATGAAAAATGGCCAAAAAAGGCCAAATGTTTTAGCATTTTAAAATTTATTCAAGTAGGATTTTTCTTATTTATGCAAGCAATAAAATACAGGAAAAAAACTCAATTCGCTCGAATTTGATCTGATCGGACCACTTTTTTAGGCGCCACATGCGACGCCATTATCCTCCTGGGGATTTCATAAAGGCCGAGCGGTGGGTTCTAAGTCCAAAAAAGACCCCTCTAGCGTTCCGCCGTGGTCTGGATTTTTACGATTTAAGTGGTAGCTCTCAACGAGCGGAGGAGAGATGTTATTTCCGATTTGCGTAATTCCCGAATTCCTAGCTTGCTTTTCATCATTTTTGTCACATTTTTCCCCCAAAAACTCAATTTAATCGTTTTCCGCCCCATCCAAGCTGTGTTTTCTCAAAAGGCTTTCAAAAAGCTGCTCTCGGGCTGCCAGGAAAGTGTACAAAGATTTCAAAACGGGGTTTTTGTTAAAAACTACTTGCTTGGGAAGAGCAACAAAAATGCCCCAAAAATTAGTAAATCTTATAATCTTAGTAAATGTAAAGAAATTCGGGAATTTGGAAAAATCGGAAAAATATATCTCCTCAGCTCGCCGAGCGCTTTCGATAGATACGGAAGTCGTCAAAATCAGACAGGATTGCGGGCCGCTAGATGGGGCTATTTTTGGACACGCTGTACTTCATCATACCGTCTGGATTTTAGGCTGGATTGGAGGAGGCGCTATGGTACAGAAAGACTCACCCCATACAGGTAACACGCCAAGTTTTCGTGGCGCGTTCGCAATTACGGGGGGAAAACTTTTTTTAGTTTTATTCAGCTATGTCTAATCCCATAATAGTAGGTATTTTAATCGTGTTTTTGTAAAATGAATTATGTTTGAAGTGGAAAAGCAATAAACAAACTTCTAAAAAAATTTTAAATCGAGTTTTGATCGAAAATCGATCATTTTTGGTCGAAAGATCTATATTTTTGGGTACTTTGTACAGTTATTACGTTTATGTATAGTACAACCAGTTTAGAAAACCGCCTTGATTTTGCATGAGAAAAATTGTATCTTTAGAAAAAGTTTTCTGCCCCGATAATGCTAAAGAAGAGCTTTTTTGTCAGCGACTGTTTATAATGTGTTTATTATAGATATATAAAAAATATTGTTGAGTTACAGCTGGGCCAATTGTTTCGGTCGTTCCGATGGGTGGGAAGATTCGATTGTTGGGCCCTTGAGGAGTCCTTTTTCCCTGGATTGACTCAATTGCTCGGCGGTCGACCGGATGTCTTTCAAAATCGTTTGGTAATTCACGCTAATTGATGTTGGTTAATTTTTACCTTTTTAGGGTACCTGTCTCCGCGCAGTCACATTACCGGTCAGTTTTACGCCACGAAATTGAACAGTTTTCGGTTTTGTGGCTCGCTAGCGGAGCTGAATTTCCTCTATTTATTTAGAATCTGGATTGTAATGCACTCTGAACTGTTTTTGTAGTGTTTTTATCACTTTTCTGTTACCCAAAAGTTCCCAAGCCATTTTTTGAGAAAATAGAACATACGAAATTTTTCATAAATCGGACCAAACAGCCGATTTTTCGAAAATTCCAAACTTCTTCTGGTTAGCCTTTCAACTCTAAGAGACGAAAAACTTAAATAGCGCCGACGAGAACACTGTAAAAAGCTAATGACTCCCCCCCCCCCCCCCCCGTTAAGGAACGAGAAACATGTCATATTTGAACACTCGAGGGTTGACTTCTTCCAGGGAATGACGGAGGAGACGCACCCTCACAAATATCGCCGTGATTTCTGTGAGCCGTGGCCGACACGGGCACATATTTGGGAGAATTTTATTTTTGAGGATACGATGACTACCGTAGAGGTAAGCCACAATATTGCCGTGGCCGACTAGATTTCTTGTTTTATTTTTGGTAAGGGGTCCTTCTGCGTACTACAGGGTGTCCAAAAAAAGACAGCCAGAGGTCCTTTCCCTCCCGATTTTCACGATTTAGGTATGAATCGAAAACTCTCGGCGAGCTAAGCAGATCGCTTTTTCCAGGTTTTCGAAATTCCCGAATTTTTATTTCATTTACTAACAATTTTTTCGAAATTGGTTGAATTTGCGATAATTTTCCCATGCGTGCTTTGAACCAAAACCCCGATTTTCCAAATTTTTGCATCATTCCTGGCAGTGCAAGGTGGGCTTTTTCAATGGCATGTGAGAAAACGCAGCCTGGATGGGACTTGAGCCAATTAAATTGAGTTTTTGCACAAAGTTGCGTAATTGATACCCCAAAAACGATGAGAATCGGGTTAAAATATCGGGAATTTCACAAATACCTCCTCAGCTTGTCGAGAGCTTTCGGTCGATAACTAAATCGTAAAAATCGGGCATCCCCTCTGGAGGGGGCCTTTTTTTGGGACGCCCTGAATAAAGAAAGCGGTCGATATTCCAGAGATGTTCTGATTTCCAGGAATTGTTGCCAAGATCTGCATCATTAACCCCCGGCTGTCTCTACACCCATTTCGGTTCATGCTACCATCGCGACTTTGTCTGGGTTTGTGTATTTCAAAAAAAACCGAGGGACCCGGCGAAAGACAAGACTACGATAACTTATATTGCACTTTATAATGCGCCGAAGCCCCTGAAGCGCCGGTATCAAATAACGACTGCCCGTTTCAGGATTGGTTACAAGGGCTGGGTCTTGTTCCGATCTCCTCCGATTGCCCGTCTGCCATCTATTTCCGGGATGCCTACGAGAAATATGTCGCCGAGGTACCGCTGCAAAAAAAACGCAGTGTTTTGCCTAAAATGACAAAATCTAGGATAAGTGAACTTTAGGAATTTGGGGCTGAGATCGAAACATGCTTCCTCGAATGGCCCAACCCGGAAAGAGGTGGGTTGATCTTTTCTTCTATGATTCGAGGATTACAACCCATAAAACCACGCTATTTGCCGCAGCGACGAGCTTTAATTCCGAATTTCAGAGGTACTGCTACTATTCCGGATGCACGATTGTGATAGGCGATATGGACAAAAGAATAACATTCATCACACGATCACCCTCATGGTCAACCCCAACGAATCAAATCTACCTCGCTGATACGCTGTTACGAATTACCTTACGACTCTGTTACAAATCATGCTCAGGGTTCTTCCATTTCTATCGATCCTACCGCTTCATTTCTCTCATTTTTCACGTTTTTCAGTTGACAATAAACTTTTTATTTGCGTCGGCTGCTTGAATGTAGTACGTTACGTTCCGCTTATATAAAGCAAAAGTAAAAAAAATAACAATGTAAAAACAATTCCTCTATATATCTTCGAAAATTTAAAGAATTTTACGGGGGAATTTAATCAAAAATTTGGTCCCCCGTAAAAGAGAACGAACCTATTTAGGACATTCCGCTTCTAAAATATAGATAAAATGCTTTGTATTAAATGTATTTTAGTTTATTAAATGACTTCCGGCAACCAGCAACGATCCGACTCGCCAAGAGGCCGCCAGAATACGCACGATTCCATGGTGTCAACGCTTGGCCGGCCCCTCTTTTGCTAGAGTGAGATAGAGGGCAAATGGATGGCCTTCCCCGGAAAAAAGCAGACACGCCACACCTTTCCTTTTATCATTTCTTCAGGGTGCTATCGAATGAGTGAAGCACAGTTTCAGAAGCTTCCGGTTTAGAAACCGGCTAAATTATCGTGGAAACCACCTAGATTTGTTGCTGCTACAAGGCTGCATACTTTTAAAATTGAGCGGTTGCGCCGGCGAGACCCGATCGCCCCGCTTGTCTTATCAAAACTGTTTTTTTTCTTCGAGTTTACGTCGCACCAAACGTTCGCCGTTTTGCCCCACGTTTCGCTATCCGATCCCCGGAAAAACTCCCGATTTCATTGCGTTGGGTAAGAAGCCGGCTGCGTTTTCATGACGAAATTGCCTTATGCTCTTCGTTCTGCACCGCGAAAATGTTCGATAAAACTATCTGATTGTACCTGGAACTGGAAATCTGAAAGATGTGACGATTTTCATTGTTCCTCGATTCATTACAAAATTTTCCTGCTTTTAAAACGAAGAAAAGTAGGCTTTCAAAGTGTTCTTTTTAGAAACAACGAAACTAGTCTGGCGAAATTGTTGTGCGTTGCCTAAATAGAGCTAGAAATCGGGAATTTTGCGCAGTTTTCTTTTCGCTGCGATTCGTTTAGTCTTCTGCCCATAAACCGAGCAAAATTTTACGATGAAAATGTGCGCCTTCCAAAACTGAGCTAAGAGCCTTGAAACTCAAACGCTAAAACGATAAATTCTAGTAATTCGCGCAGTTTTCGTGGCTCCTTGATTTGTGAAAATGTTCTTCTAATTGCCCTCTACCTTTTCCGCTCCAAATCCTCACCGAAACCCTTCATTTTCAGGCGATCAGCCGATATCCGCTGATCGATTCTGTGAACTGAGTGTGTGGCTCTGGATAGCCGCCACGACCACGTGTGTTTTCTGAAGACAACCCGCAGAAGTGAATTTCTCGAGTGCTCGGAGCGATGGGTGTTCCAAAATTCTATAGGTAAGGCTTCTGCTTTTGAATCGTTAATTAACCCGTTTTTTAGATGGATTAGCGAGCGGTATCCCTGCCTCAGCCAAGTTGTCTCCGATGCCCAGGTCCGTATTTTTCATAAAAAGCGTCAAAATCCTTTTTAGATACCGGAATTCGATAATCTGTACCTGGACATGAACGGCATCATCCACAACTGCTCCCACCCCGACGACGACGACGTCACGTTTCGCATCGAGGAGGAGCAGATCTTTGCCGCGATATTTAATTATATTGATGTAGGCGTCTTTTACTGGTCTGACTATCTTTCTAGACGTTGCTCCGCATCATCAAGCCGAAGCGCTGCTTCTTCATGGCCATCGACGGGGTGGCGCCGCGCGCAAAGATGAACCAACAGCGTGGCCGGCGATTTATGTCAGTAAATTTTGTACTCAGAATTTCGACGGTTCTTTTGCATTATCGGGCTTTTCCTGGGGAAAAAATAAGAAAAGTGAAAAAGCAATCCCCATAAAAATCGCAGGACAGCCCGTCCCAAAAAGGCCCCGCTAGCAGTCCGTATGAATGCGGGATGTTTTACGATTTAGGTATCTATGGAAAGCCCTCGAGAAGATGTTCTCTCCAATTTTCGAAATTCTTGGAGTTTTTGACGTTTACTAACGTTTTTTCCCAACGTGCCGAGTATTTGTTGCTTTTAGGATGAAAGGATTTTCAAGAAAAACCACAATTTCGCAATGGGTTCCCCGACGCCCAGTTTTTTGCAGTTGATGTGCAATTTTTGCATAAAAATATCGAAAATTGAGCAAAAAATTCGTGGATTTGACAATCGGTGAGAAGACCTCGCCTCTCCTCGTCAAGGGCTTTCGATAGATGCCGAAATCGTAATAATCGGACACAGAATAGAGTAAAAAACATTGTAAAGTTGTAAGAAAAAAATAACTGTGGAAATATCTTATTTCCGAGATAAAGATAAGTTTTTACCAAAATTGATAAGATTATTTATGCGTGTTTTTCGAGAATAATTTATCCTCTTTCAGTTTGGCTTTACTGAAATACTATTTACTAAAGAACTTACGCCCCCCTCGATAATGCGAAAGCTCCTTCTAGATAGATCAATCCGCAAAACTCAGCAACTTTTTCAGGTCTGCCCGCACCGCCGAGTTGGCCATGGCCGCCCACGAGCGAAAGGGCGGCGAGGCCGTCGAGGGCGAGCGGTTCGACTCCAATTGCATTACGCCAGGTAGATTAGCCATTTTTAGAAAACGATGATTCTCATTATAGGAACGCCCTTCATGGACCGCCTTCACAAGGCCATCGACGCGTGGGTGGCCCGGAAGATTGTCGACGACCCGCTCTGGCGAATTAGAGTCATTTTCTCAGGGCACAACGTGAGTTTTGGTTCTTTCGCCTTATCGGGGGGTGGGGGCGAACTTTTGTATAAGTCTAGAAATGTCTAGTAACTCAAGACGAGTGTTTTAATAGTGCTTTTTAAAATAGCTGTAGTGCAACCCGAAAACTATCTAAAAGTTTTGAAAAGTCGAAATTTTGGTAAATAACCAGCCATTTTTGGTCGAAAAATCGACTATTTTGACGTTTTTTAATAAAAAACCAGGGTTGAAAAGCCGCTTCGCGACTTTTCAACCCTGGCCCCGTCTGACCCCATTTTATCCTCAACCTTTACATAATTACCCTGCATTCTGATGACAAAAAGGAAAAACAACCTTTTCTGACCGTTTATATAGTCGAATCCCCACTTCCGGTCTATGCTAATTTTTCCTAACAAAGAAGTTTTCACAAAAACTTAAATTTAATGTCGAAAATAGGTGATTTTGTAAAATTTGATATGCGTGCAGTCATCTCAAGACCTTTGCGCACCTAATGACGTATTATACGTACCTGAAAATCCACCCCCTATCGAGATATCCTCCGGACAGACAAACGGAAGTGGATGCAAAGTGGCACACACACACACAAACACTATTTTTTTATATATAGTAGGATAAATAAATAATTAGACAAATTATAGTTTAATAAAATTAATTCTCAGCAAAAAAAGTCCCCCCCCCCGATAATGCGAAACAACCGGTGTTTTTTCCCGATCGAATCCGTATTCCCCCTTTTTTTAGTGTCCCGGCGAGGGTGAACACAAAATCATGGACTTTATTCGGGCGGAGCGGGTGAAGCCCGACTACGACCCGAACACCCGGCATTGCATGTATGGACTCGACGCGGATTTGGTCGGTTTTTTCGGGAATTTTCGGCTTTTTGCTGGCAAAAACGTCGAAAAAAATTGCACAATTAACGCCGTGGTTCCTTTCAGATGATGCTCGGCCTCTCGTCGCACGAACCGCACTTTTCGTTGCTGCGCGAGGAGGTGAAATTCGGACGGCCCCCGTCAAAAAATGCCGCCAAGAAGGGCCAAAAGACGAGAGAACTGAAAAAGTGCGTTTTTAGCTAGTTTCCAAGCGAACTGTATGGCGCTTGAAAGCGGATCTTTCGCATTATGGGGGGTGGGGCTTTTTCTACGGATCAGATTTTTTTTTCTAATAAAAACAGAAGAAGGTTCTAACTTTTCTACTATGCGAAACGTAGAAACTTTGCGAATTTCAATGAAAACGGACAAAATATCGATTTTTCGACCAAAAAGGCCCTTTTCGATCAAAATATCAATTAAAAAATTCTTTCCCATTTTTTTAGGCGTTTTTCGGCTTGAAATATGGGTAAATTTTGCTAAAAACGTTATTCAAACCGTTACTATGACGTTACTAGCTATTTCTGGAATTGTGGCAAAAACTTGCCCCCCCCCGGTAATGCGAAAGAACCCGGGAAAGCAAACAAGCAGCAATTGCTTAATTCAGCCAGCCGACCGATATCACCTTTCACCTACTGCATCTGCAGCTTTTCCGCGAATATTTGAGCTGGGAATTCCACGAGCTCGAGGTGGCCCCATATTGAATTTTTCAAAAATAAACCCTTTTTTAAGACAAAACTCAGCTTCCCGTTTGATTTGGAGAATATCATCGATGACTGGGTGCTGATGTGCTTTTTAATTGGTGCGTTTTGAGTTGACAAGGCGACGTTTTAAGCGACAATTTCCGCACGTGACCAAGCCGATGTTCTGCAGGACTTTGCGCGGATTTCGAATCTGTTTTCAAACTCGACGAAATGAGCAGATCACAAAAGTTAGAAATTTGCGTTGGAATTGCGAAATTTTGGCACAAAAAAGCTTCATAACTTTTCTCATTTTGTCCTGTCGCTGATTTTGAAACAAGATTCGGAACCAGCGGAAAATTCTGCACAAAATAGGCGTGGTCCCGTGCGGAAATGTTGTCAGAAAATCGGGTTTTTTTAGGTAACGATTTTATCCCGCATCTGCCCAACGTGCACATCCACCAAAATGCACTGCCGCTCCTCTACAAGACCTACATCACGGTGCTGCCGACGTTGGGAGGTTTGGAAACGAGTTTTTCGTAATTTTTACGTTTTTAGGGTACATGAACGAGAAGGGCGTGCTCAACCTGAAGCGCTTTGAGACGTTTTTGAAGGAGTTGGCCGATACGGACAGGTTGGAGAGGAAAATTGAGGCAGAATCTCGTCAAGCTCTTGATGCTGTTTGAATGCCACCTCCGCGAAACAGCTATTGTTCATGTCGTAATTTTGGATGTCGGTATTTGGTTATGTCGGCGTTTTGGCTGTCGGGATTTTCGCGTTATCCAGTTTTCAAGGATTCTTTTGGAAGCAGCTGTCCTATACGGTTTTCAAGGCATTCCAGCCAAAATCCCGATGCCCAAAATCTCGGCAGTCAAAATCCCGGCATGTTCCTGGCGCTAATTTGTATGCCACATCCTCGAAACAGCGATTTTTCATGTCGGTATTTTGGTAGTCGCAGTTTTGACTGTCGGGATTTTAGCAGTGGGGGTTTTTTACTCTCGGTATTTTGGCGTTATCCCGTTATCCCGCGAGAAAACTCAGCGAACATTCTCCTTTCAAAGAAAATTCCCTCAATTTCATCCTCATTTTTCCAGAATTGACAATTTTCCTTCAGGAAATGCTTCATCGAGAAGATGGACAACGACCAGTTTATGGACTCGAAGCGCGGCGTGCTTTTTGGCGACGCCGAGGGGCAAGAAGGAGCGGGAGAAGAGGAAGCTGACGATGGGAAACAGAAGAAAAAGAAGAAGGTGGGCATAGTCTAGCCAGAAAATCTGATTTTTGGAAGTTTTATTGGAAAAACGCGGTTATCTGACTATTTTTAGCTGGAACGATACGCGGATTCTGACCTGTCGGCGGCCTCCGACGAGGAGTCTGAAGAACAATCTGACGATGGTTTGAATTTTGTATAGCTTGAGAACCCGAATTTTCAGCGGCCTTCGTGACGTCAGATGAGGATGGGGAAGTTGACAGCGACGCGGATGACGATCTTCTGGCTACCGGCGTGCTGTCTGCAGAGGATGCGATGGCCTCTGACGGTTGGTTTAGACGTTCCAGTTCGCCGATATGATGTCTTCCGATGTTATAATTACAAAATTGTAGAGCATTTACAATATTTAGATTATTTGTTTTTGAGCCGATTTTGCACTTTGTCAACTACATTTTTTGCGACAAATGTTTTTAAAGACGAATTTTTACATTTTTATGGTATTTTTTGAATAAAATAGCCAATTTTATAAAAGTGGCAAATATTTGGGTTTTTTCGCATTATCGGGGGGGACTTTTTCAGATGAGTCTAGAAAGGCCTAGTAGCGTTTTTGCAAAATTTAGTTTTATTGAAGGGGAAAAACAATCAAGGAAAAGTTATAAAAAATTTGCAGGCGAAATTTCGTTGAAATCGACCGTTTTCGGTCAAAGAGAATCGAGATTTTTTTGCATTTTTCAAATCAAAATTGTAACGTTTTCACTTTTAGGAATAGTAAAAAGATAGATTAGAAACACTTCCGCTTTTCTGTTAGAAAAAAGGGTTCCTTAAAAAAGTTGGGGCCCCCCTGGTAATGCGAAAGCATTTCAATTCAAGCAATTCAGAATTTCGATCCATCAAATTCAACCCTAAATGTAAAAAGTTAAATTTAGAAATGAAAAGCAAAAAGCCACTTAAAAGCCCAGTTTCCAGATTTTGACGGCGATTTCGACGACGACCTGGGCGCAGCACTGCGCGGAATGGACGACGACGCCTTCGAGAATGACCCTGACGTAATTGGGTGTATTTTGGAGCCTCAAACCTGTTTTTTTTTGTAGAAATGCTGGTCGGTGGCCATCAACAACAAGTTCAAACGCCATCGCCGCGACTACTACCGCGAGAAGATGAAGTTTGGCAATATCTCGAGGGATCAGCTGCGAGCACAGGCCGAGGGATACATACGGGCCATACAGTGGAATCTCCATTACTACTATCATGGATGCGTGTCCTGGAGCTGGTACGGCGGAATTTGCACTATGGGGGGAACTAGCAGAGATTCCTGGCGGAATAAATCCTTTTTTCGAGGCAGACTAGCGTAGTTTCTTTCGGAAATCTTTCACGAGGCTAGCAGAGGATTTTGAGGAAAGAAGCCCCTTTTTCGACGCAGATTTCCATGGTTTCTTTCGGGATTTTCTCGCAGCCTAGCAATGATTTTTGCGGAATTAGACCCTGTTTCACGAGGCTAACTAGCATAGTTTCTTGAGGATGTTACCGATTGCGGTTTGGACGGCAGGCCAGCAGAAATTTTTGGGGAATAAATGTAATGTATGATCTTCTTTCCAATTTTTTGTAAAACCAGGTTCTCAGAATGGCTGACATGCGGAGGTTTTTGAGTAAAAAAGTTTTCCAGGCAGGATAAGGCATTTTTTAGGATCCGTTCGTAACGTTTCCCTAACGTCCCCTTTTCCAGGTTCTTCCCGTTCCACTTTGCCCCCTACATCTCGGACATTCTGAATTTCGACGAGGTCGACGTCTCCTTCGACCTCAGCGAGCCGTTCAAGCCGTTCGAGCAGCTGCTGGCCGTCTTGCCGGCGGCGAGTGCGAATTGTTTACCGGTGCCTTTGCAGGTGGGAAAATCTGAAACATTTCAAAAGATTTTTGGCTTCTTCCAGGCGCTGATGAAGGACGACAACTCGCCCATCCTCGACTTCTACCCCACCGACTTCGAGACGGATCTGAACGGGAAGGTGAACGACTGGGAGGCCGTCGTCCTGGTCCCGTTCATCGACCAGGCGCGGCTGTTGCAGGCCATGGAGAGCAAGGTGGGGGTTTGCTGGATTTTTGGCGGCATTTCCGAGCTTTAATAATTTCTCGAATTTCAGCAACGCTTCCTATCCGCCGACGAGAAGCGCCGCAACACCCTCGGCCCCCACATCCAATACACGGCCGACACCAGGCGTCTCGATGCCGTCAAGCCGATCAGAACCGAGATCGACAAGGACGAGTATCGCTTGCCGCGCAGCAAACTGGTGCTCGGTGGGTTTTCTCAGATGGCCTCTGCTAGCTTGCTAGCTCATTTGAAAATTAGATCTTTCAGATATGACGACTTTGTTTCGAGTTCCGGCCTTAAGTCCATTTTTTAACGCGGCATTTTGTCGTTTTTGATCGAAAAAATTGCTTTTTCTAGCTGAAATTCAATGGCTTTTTGAATATATAATCTAATTAATTCTAGTGAGAAAGAAAAACTTGCAAAAACGTGAACATTCGATTTGGCGAAATTTTGGTCATTTTTGGGTCGAAAAAATAGATTTTTCTACCGAAAAATAAATTTTTAAATAGCTAAACACGTGACAGGCACGGCCTGTAATTTTCTAAAAAAAACCCGCGGATCCTAAAAAGCCAATATTTATTCTATTTTTTCGCTTTCTAGGCCTCCTTGCCGGCGTCAAGCTGGATGTGCACTTCCCCGGGTTTCCGACAATGTGCCACATCCCGCACACCGCCATGCTCGAGCCGGTCGGCGTCAAGGTAGGGATTTTTCGCTGGTAATAAACCTATTTCAGGTATTCACCCAAACCTCGAAAAAGCCAAGCATGCTGCTGAAACCGAAATGTCGCCCCGAGTTCGAGCGGGTACCTTTCGTCATTTTTCATTTTTGATTTCCCCTTTAGGACCTCGACGTCATCGCCAAGGAGCTGCTCGACACGCAGGTGTACGTCAAATGGCCGATCCTCATCCTCGCCAAGGTCAACCAGATTTGGGACAAGGTTCGTCGTCCGGATTCGATTTTTATGATTTTTATTTTTCTAGGATTGCCGCTTCTTCTACGACGGCACCGAGATCAAGAAGGCGGCGCTCGATGACGACGAGCGCGACGAGTTCGTCAGTGCCGTCAAGAACGAGCGGGCCGAGTATGAGTTTTGGTCCTTTTGCATTATCGGGAGGGGGGGGGGTGCAAAATTTTTTCTAAGGATTGAATTTGTCTAATATAAATAGACCAGGCGTTTTTAAGCTTTTTTACTATTTTAAACGCCAAAACTATAAATTTTCGTTAAAAATATTGATTTTTCGACCAAAATATCGCCTAAAGTTTTGTTTGTTTTGATCGTTTTGCACTTAAAATTTAGCTAAATTTTGCTGAAAACCCCCATTAAAAGTTACTTACTATTACGTTACTAGGCTTTTCTGGAATTATAGGAAGAACCGCCCCCCCCCCCCCCCCGATAATGCGAAAGCACCCGATTTTAACGTTATCTTTAATCTAATTCAGACTTCTCCACCGGTACGCCATCGACACGGGCCCCGTCGAGCGGATCGCGTTCTGCTCCAAGTTCCTCGGTTTCACTTATCAAGGTATCTGGAGGTCCCCTAGCTAACCAGCCATTTTTTACAGCGAAAAACGGTCAAATGGAGCAGGTGAAGCAGTGGTCCGGCTCGGCGACCACCGACCAGATGCTTCGCGTCCCGCTGCATCTCATCGTCTCGGTACGCGAATACAGCGAAATTTCTTGCCAATGCCAATATTCGCAGAACATCAACGTGGAGGCGAACCGTGCCGCCCACGTCGTCCCGATCAGCACCATTTTCCCCGTCAATTCGAAGGCGTTCGTCATCCACACCGGCGTGCCGGCCACGTACGGCCATCCGGGCATCATCACAGACATTATGGAGCCGGGGCTGCCGACTTGTAAGTGATTTGCTATCAAAATGTGGAAAATCATGATGCCGAAATTTCGTAATATCTAAATTTTGTACTGTCGAAATTTCATAACGTCGAAATTTTTTGCATTAGCTATTTAAATTTCGACATTGTGAGATTTAGATATTCTGAAATTTCGGCATTATGAAATTTCGACATTTTGAAATCAGTCGATGCTGAAATTTGCTGAATCGAGTTGTTTTAGCGCGCATCGTGCTGAAAGTGGCCATCTACCCGGACCCGAACCTGCTCCTCATCCGGAAGGAGATCAATCTCCACTCGCTCGTTTGGCTCGACCGTTATCAGTGCGCGAGGAGGGCGAATGGTACGTTTTTGGCTGTACTGACGATCCAATGGCCCTCGCATAACGGAGGGTTCTTTGGCATTATCGGGGGGGGGGGGGGGGAATGAAACTCAATCCCAAGTGACACAATCGAAAAGTTTAAATTTGAAATTTTGTGGCAAATCGATATCTTGCGCAATATTTAATGGATTAGGCTGTTGGACGATAAAATAATGTGACTTTTTCGGTTTTTATGAAGCGCTATAATACGGTCTGAAAAAGACCATAGAAACCCGAAAAATTGTTTTTTTTCGAAGTTTTGAATTGTTTTTTTTCTAGTCTCCACGCTGCTCTTCCTGCGCATCGTCGGCTCAATGTACCTGATCACCGACCCGAAGGCCAAGCACGACGAGAATCCGAAGACAGCGGCCCGCATCCCCATCGGCCTGAACCTCAAGTCCGACAAGTTCAACAAGGAGGTCGGTTTAGGATTTTAGCGTTGAGGGTTTATATTAAATTTTTGTACCCAAATTTTTCTATAGCGGTTTCGAAAAACACTTTTGAAAACAGCTTAATTTATTTTTAGTAAAAGTGATAGTAATTCCCATTTTTTTTGCTATTTTGCCTAAAAGTCACTTCAAAAATTCTTCATTATAGGAAAAACAACTTTAGCGAAAATTACAGTACGATTTTTTTCTATAATAGTTTTTTTCCAAAAATCGCTTTCAAAACATTCTCAATGCTGAGAAATAGGAGATTGAGCCAAATTAGCAAAATTTCACTAAAATGACACTAATTACACTTTCAGATTCCCGACTACTCGCGCAAAAACGGCCAATATTGGGACTACTCGAACATGTCGATCGCCCTCATCATGGAGTATTACAACAAGTAAGAAATTCGCTATTTATTTTTTGCACTTGTCAATTTTGCAGATTCCGCCCAATGTTCGACTACATCGACCGGAAGTTCCGCGTCAGCGAGGACTTCCAGGAGCCCTACTTTGCCGAAGAGGTGCGCATTTGTTTTGCTCCGACGGGGAATTGCCGTATTTTGTAGATTTGGCCAAACGAGCAGTCGCGCGAGAAGAAGCTCGACGAGCTGAAGGCGTACCTCAACGACCTGCCCACGAATACGATTGCCAAAATCCCGTGCGGAACGCCATATCTCGACTCGGGCTGTATTAGTACGTTTAAAACGCTTTTAAAGGATTATAAAAATTATCGAAAAATTTTGATTTTGCTCTGAAATGCATCAAAAAAAAGCCAAAAAAGGTCTAAATTTTTAAGTTTTAAAATTTAAAATTTTTTTGTAACTTTTTAGCAATCAAAAAACTGCTAAAAACGCTATAAAAATACACTATAGGTTATTAATATGGAATAGGCGTAAAGCTAAAAACTGATTTCTCCTGATACTTACAGCCCAGTACCGTGCTTTTCGGCAGTACCCTTTCGTTTTTTCCGCAACGAGATTCGATTCTCAATGCTCCAATTTTGGCTTCATTGGTCCTTTAAAATAGCTCGGCAAAATCGCTTTAAAATCGTAATTAAAAATTAAAATCGCTATTTTCCAGAGCAACTCGAGAAAGCCGCCAAATTGGCCGCCGGCTGCCAGCCGACGATGAAAAAGCTCGCCGTCCTGCCCGCCTATGTCTTCAAGGTTGGTGCCCATCAACCTTCACGCACTAATCACCCCATTTAGCGCTCAATGTTGGGCGGTCGTGTGCTGCCCGACGCGGAGGCCGACTTCGAGCTGTTCGACCGGGTCACCTTCGTCGCCGAGGGGCTGTCGGTGCCGTGCGGTAGAAAATACTGGCGGAAATTTTAATTTTTCATCATTCTAGGAAGTCGCGGTACGGTAATCGGGAGCAGCGACGACAAGCTGGAGGTGTTCTTCGATCGTCCATTCGGCGCCGGATACAAAATTCGGTAAATTCAGTGTCTAAAACTTGAAAACTTGGGTTCTGGTCTCTTAGCGGGGGGGGGAGACGAAATTTTCCCTGTCATTCTCGACGACCCCATAGCAAAATATAAATATTTTTATAGCCTTTAAGTAGTTTTTAAAAATAGGAACAATATAAAAATGATAAAATTTTGACATTTTTTGGTTTTTTGGTCAAAAATGTATGAAAAATGACCAAAAAAAATTCAAATTTTCGAGTTTAAAAAATTTTTAGATATGTTTCGTAACTTTCTAGAAATCAAAAACTACAAAAACTATAAATTACCTTATATATCATCAACTGTTATGTATAAAGTGAAAAACAGAAACTGCCCCCCCCGCTAACAGTCCAGTACCAACTAATTTTTACAGAAGCTCGCTGGCGCAGTGCTACAAGGTGAACAAGACGGACGTGCTGAACATCACCTTCGCCCTCTACAGAAAGGGCAAAGAGGCCGAGCTGAAGAAGGCCAAGGCCGCACAGGTTTTCCTACTCTTTTTCTTGTGAATCTTTGCAATTTCAGAAAAAATTCACCAAGCCCGGCGCGGTGGTGACTTCCGGCGAGTTTGTCGCCTGGGCCCCGCCGATCCAGAAGCAGAACAAGCCGGACCGTCAGCCCGAATCGTCCGGAAAATCGTGGGAGCCCGAGGCGCCCAAGATCTTGACCCGGCCCAAGAATGAGGACAAGCCGGCGAAAGGCAGCAAGAAGGACGAGTCTGAGGTTTGGGTTCTTTCGCATTATCGGGGGGGGGGGGGGGAAGCTTTATTCTGTGGATCCAATTTTCCAAATAGTATTTCTAGACTTTTTGTTTAGATTCCTAGAAATGTAAACTTTACAAAAATTTTTAAAAGAAATAACGTAAAAATCGAGTTTTTTTGCCACCAAAAATGGCCGATTTCTGACCAAAATTTATACTTTTTCTAAATTTTTGGAGGCTTTTGGATTTGTTCTATTTGTGATGTAGTTTTATTTTACTGAAAACACTGTTCAAGCCATTCTAGACTTGTACAAAAAATGTCTTCCCCCCCCCCCCCGATAACGCGCAAGATCCAATTTCCGGTTTAGAAGCCCTCAAAGCAAAGCAAGAAGCAGGAGAAGCCCTCAAAGTCTCCGCCCATCACGTCGAGTACGGAGGAGAAGACGTCACAGAAACCGCCGAAGCCGGCGAAGCAGCAGGAGAAGCCTTCCAAGTCTTCGCCCACCACTTCCAGCTCGGAAGAGAAGACGTCTCAAAAACCGCCGAAGCCGGCGAAGCAGCAGGAGAAGCCCTCAAAGTCACCTCCAAGCGTTTCGCCCTCTGAACAGAAGGTGTCGCAGGTATTTTTTACCGCGAAATTCTACTTTTTTGATTTTCCCTCTAAACTTCTTCTGTAGATCCGTTTTTTCTAGGAAAAGCCGAAAGCCAAGCAGGCGAAGCCCCTGACGAAGCCACCCGCCAAGTTCAAGCCCGAAGATGTGGAAAATGTTGAGGTAAACGGATGTACTTCAAAAATTTACCGCAAATATTAGGCTTCGGACGCGCTGAAAAAGCTGATCGACCTGGCGCTGAGCAGCGGGGCGTCCGACAGTCTCGAGGCGGCCGATCGTGACGAGGATGAGGAGCTGGGCACAATGTCCTTCCTCTCGCCCGCCAAGGCTACGGTAGGGTGTTTTCGAGGGCATTTTGTTGAGGAGCTTTCGCATTATCAGGGGGGGAGGTCCAGGTTTTCCTTGAGTCCAGAAATGCCTAATGTAAATTGACAACGCGTATTTTAGTAGTGTCTTTATTAAAATTTGGCTATATTTAAAGGCGAAAAATTTTTTTTAAAAGCTTAGAAAATTCTTTAGCTAAAATTCTAACGTACTAGCGATTATTTTGACAGTGTTTTTAGTGAAATTTAGCTCCGTTTATGTGTAAAACTAAAAAAAACCTGATTTTTTAGGCCAAATTTGGTGGAAAGCCGTTCATTTTTCGTGGAAAAATCTATATTATTTTTTTTGTCATTTTAATGAGAATTTGTGGAGTTTTTACATTTAGAAAGAGCGAAAACAGCTTAGAAACACTTCCTCTATTTGTTTAGAAAACTTGGGTTATTATAAAGGTCCTGAAAAAGCTCCCCCGCCCCGATAATGCGAAAGAACCGTTTATAACGTGTTAGAGGGAGCAAGAAAACTACTTTGTTTCAGAAATCGGCCGAATCCGTGGAACCACCGCCAACCACCGAGGCGTCAACACCACCAGAAGTGGTGGCGACGGAAAAGAGCGAGACGTCGAAGGCAGATGAGATGGAGGTGGACACGGTGCCACCGGCGGACGAGGAGCCTGGTGAAGTCGTCGCCCCAAATCGCCATCACAGTGATGGAGAGTTCCGCGGAGCAAGACGTGACAACGAATCGCCAAATGGGTATAGAGGGTCAGTTTTTCTATTTTTCCACAGCAGCTGGGGCACACTAGCAGAGCTTGTGAAGAATTTACATGCCACTTCAACCTCCGAAAATCGAGAAAAAGGGGCAAGCTGGCAGAGACTCTTGGGGAGATCCGGTTGAAAACGGCGGTGCTTTCGAATTATCGGGGGGCCACTTTTCGCCTTCAATATTTTGTTAAACATATCGATTTTCGACCAAAATCCATAATTTTGCCGAATTTTTAGAACATTCTAAATGTTTTTTAGACTACCGATTATTGTTTTATGGGCATATACAGAAATTTTTCTACCCGGAAGCGCCGCAAAACGAACCATCAAACAGAATTCCAGCCATAATCCCGACTGCCTAAATCCCGACATTCAAAATACCGACAGGTCAAAGTGCCGACAGCCAAAAATCCCGACATTGATATTTCCGGTCGTTTTTGCCCATATATGGTTTTAAAATCTAGGGTTTCTGGCGGTCGGGATTTCGGTGTTTTTCCCCATCCGCAGGACCAAGATGTGATTTTCAGGAATCGTGGCGGACCTAACAATCGTGGATGGCGCGGCGGCCATCACCAGCCCGTGCCCCCGTATATGATGCCCAACTTTCCGCCGCCGATGATGTTTGCCCGGTTAGTTTTTTTACCAACATTTTTATTATTAATTTTCCTTGCCAATCGGCTTTTGTCACCAATTTCAATTTTAGCGGTCACCCGATGATGCAGCTGTTCGGACCGCCGCGCGGCATCAACCAGCAGGTATAATTTGGGGTTTCCGGACAGAATTATACTTCCGTTTCAGCCGCCACAATCCTTCTTCAACAACCGAGGGCATCAACAGCATCATCAACAACAACATGGAGGGAATGATGGAGGGCGAGGCGGAAGGGGCGGACGAGGCGGAACGGGAGCAAGAGGAGGAGGAGGAGGACGGGGCAGCTACATCAACCAGCAGCTCCTCAACAACGCCGACCTCAAGCCCAGCACGGTACGTTTGTGACTATTTGTGGGTCCCGGTGCTACAAATGATGTGTTGCACAGAGGCCGATGATTCCATTCGGGACCTAGCCTCTATTTTACAGAATTTTTCCTTACAAAGATGCATTTTTTAATGTGAGTTGAGTGAGATCCGGATCTGTTTTGTGCTGAATTTTGCGCCAATTTCGAACCTGTTCTAAAACTGCTGAATGGTCATTTCAAGAAGTTGTAAAGGCGATTTAGCTCGAAAAACCTCCAGAAATTTCAAATAGCAGATCAAAAATTACAATTAAATTAAACAGAAAAAAAAGATAAAAGCTCCCCTTTCGAAGGACAATTTTTCCAAATCTGTAGTCGCTCGGAGTCGTCCAGGACCGGTTCTTATTTTCGGAAATTTTGGAAAAATTGTGCTGAAATATCGCATTTAAAGGCGAGATTAAGTGGTTTTTGCCTGTGTATTTTTTTCTGACATTTCTATGGGTGTAAAGTGTGCCCTTTGTGGGCATTTTTCGAGCTAAAAAGCCATGTAGCTTCTTATAAATGACGATTTAGCAGTTTCTGAAAACAGATTCGGAATCAGCGAAAAATTCCGCACAAGACACGCTGGGTCGCGAATCGATTTTCCAGCATATAGGAAAACAAAATACAGCAAATCCTATGAACGTTTTTTCTAGTTGATGCGACCACGCGGCGGTCGACCCGGTCGCCCAGGCCCACGAGCAACACCCCGCGGGCTCGACCGGCAGTTCTCCGACGAAAATCGCCAGTCGACGAGTTCTCCATCGCCACCAACCGTCACCATCCCGACGACTCAACCCCCCACAGCCAACGTCGACCAGAAGCCCAGCCCGCGCCAAGGGCCCAAGCCCCGCAAACAACGACTGGCCGCCAATTTTGCCGCCTCTTAAATGATACCCCACGCTGAGAACGGCTCGCAGAAAGGTCCTGGTGCGTTAGCGGGGGTGAACTTTCTTTTTTCGCCCTAAAAGTCCATTTTTTTATCCTGTCTTTAGTAATTTTTGACGCTGAAGAAAAAAAATAGAAAAAAAGGTTAGCCAGAAATCATTTAGAAACGATAAAAAGGTTTTACTAAAATTATAAATTTCTCTGAAATTCGAAATTTTTCATTTTTAAGCAAAAATCCCAGTTTTTCAAGTTTTATTGATTTGTATACCTAAAAAGCGCGCAAATGACTATCAAAATGGCTCGATTTGCGCTATATTTTTACCGGGAACCCTGGAAAAAGCTAGCCCCCCCCCGCTAACGCACCAGAACCAAGAGCAGTACGGTTGCCTGTGATTTTCGCTTTTTCTCTTGGAATTTCTGTGTTCTCTCTCTGTATTTGTAGCTCGTGTGTGATTTTATCTACGCATTTCCCTTATCGACCGTTTATTTCAGCTTTCTGGTGTTTTAAAGGAGCCTTGAAGTCAAAAAATACGAAATCTGTGCCGTTTTTTCGGCGGCAGGCTTCCAGGTTCCTTTAAAAGGTCATCTTTTCCGCGTCGTGACTTTATGGTGATTTTCTCCTTTCGGCCATTCATTGTTTTCTGGCGCCTAAACGGGCCGGTGATTTAAAATTTGTTTTTTTAATTTAAAAATGAATTTCTGACTTTCCGGCCCCTTTTCGTCGCGTTGTTACTGTTATTTCGGTGCTTTTGCATTATCGGGGGGATCACGGTGAAACGTAGGTTTTGTTTTATAAGTCCAGAAAATGCTAAAAACTTTCGAAATTTCGGAAAATTTGAAAATTTTTGGTCGAAAATCAATTTTTGTTTGTTTGTACTTTCTGAAATGGATACCAAAGAAATAAGGTTGTTTTCGCCCTTTATAAACCCGATTCTCACCCTTCCCCCGATAATGCAAAAGCTCCATACTGTCTCGTGTTTTTATATATGTCTTTTCCTACAAAGATTTCGAATATCCGCCACCTGTGTCTGTACCCTTTTTATATTTGTGTAGAAACTGTTTCCTTGACGGGTCCATTTTCTATGTAAAAACCAAACAGCTGCTTTGCTTTTTCAAATTGCCCGGGATTGATCTAAATTTTGCCGTCTCGTTGTTCTCCTCATCTTCGCCGGTGTCCCTGTGTGTTGATAGTATTTTTATCGGATTTCTCGTTACGGTTAAATATTTCATTCCCTGTGCTTTCAAAGTGGCTACAAGTAATCGGTTGTCATGAATCCGTATAACTGCATGCGTTTCTTTGAGAAGAACTGAAGGGGAAGCCGGGCGGACTAGCGAAGATCATTTAGGAATTGCCTTTTGATGCCCGGAAAAATTATGAGGATTTTTGATGTTGTCTTTTGATAAAAAATTCCATGAAAATAGTCAAAATTTGAAATTCTTTTGTTCTTTCTAACTATGGGGTAATTTCCGAGTTTTTCAAGGGAAACCCTTTTTGCTTTAGATTCTAGTTAGTTTCCAAATACTTTTTTACCCTACTCAAATGCCTTAGAGATTTTTATTAAACATACGAAAAAAAATAGATTTTCCGAGGAAAATGTCACTTTTTAAAGGTGTACCGCCTTAGACCGCCGGCGCCTTAGGCCACTCGGCCACACCCGGCCCCCTTCCCCACGCACGCTCTGATCTCCCGTGAGTGCCAAAGCACCCAATCTTTCTGAATTCTAAAAACTTTACTTTTTTCGAAATTTAAATTTTTAAGAATTTTCCAGTTATCCCCCACCGCTAACAGCCCAGCGCCAAAATGGCGATGATCTGGCGTTTTTTGGCAGCGAATCCGGCCCTGGGCAAACTAGCAGTGACCATTTGGGGGACAGGACTCACCCCAGCTGGGTCGGCCCCTTTTTAGGGTGGCTCCCTTGGGCTGTAGACGTAGTATAGGGTAGTGTGTGTCTGTGTCCGCTGCGTGTGGAAGGGCTCGATCAATCAATATATAGCATTCCTTCGCTCCTTCCTCTCGGCCCCCTCACTATTCTTCGGCCACCCATGCACAATTCTGTGCACAACTATTCTCTCTTTCTCGCTCTCTCTCTCTCCCTCTTCTCTCTCTCTCTCACTCTCACTAGTCTCGACTGACCGATTGACCACCATTCCGATAAAAACTGCATACGCATTTCTCTCGCTTTTTTCCTTCAGAATTCTTTTGACGTACAATTCGCTTCTACTCTAAATACCTTGTACTCCGCCCCTTCTGAGATGCTATAATTTGGTGCTTTCGCATTATCAGGGGGGAGTCTCGGGGACTATTTTTAAGCCGAAAAACTATCTAAAAACTTTAAAAAGGGCTAAAAAGTCGAAATTTTGTAAAAAATCGGCCATTTTGGGTCAAAACTCGAGGCTGTTTTTTATCAAAATCTGTAAAGATTTTAAATTAGGAATGGTGAAAAAAATTTATAAACACGTCCGCTATTCATATTTGAAAACTTGGACCCAAAGAGGTTTTAGATTTTAGATTTTTTTTGCGGCGCCTTCGGCTTTAGATTCAGTGCCGGAGCTTTATATTGATGTTTTTAATTTTAAAACGCAGTTTTCTACGCCCAAATCGATCGCCATCCGCCCCGTCTACCTATTAAAAGCCTTTTGACAATGACTCAGCCATCTTCCGGTGTGCCAAATAAGCCTATTCGATGCGAGATGTGATTCAGCGATAAAATGGCAGTCTTGTGTCTCTTCTGTTCTGTTTGTGCTCTCCAAAAGTTGCTCTCTTCAAACGTTCTTTAGATGTCACCCCACGTGGGCCACGACGACTCGTCGATCAAGTTGAAGACGCGGTTCGGGGATCGGGTGCGTTTTTTGCGTTTCTGCGTTATTTTAACGTAGAAAACGTTGAATGAATTATGTTGCAGTAATAAACCTTGGAAGTATGAAATTTAACTTTACTAGTTCGCAGAATCGACATTTTTTTATGTATTTGCCGGAATAGTGTATCCAGGTTAGGTAAACGGTAGCTAAAAAGCCTTTTGCAGTACAATCCTTTGTTCCGCTTTATATAGGTAAATATAACCTATATATTATATATATAAATAAATAAAATAAAATATAGGTAGTATAATATATAGGTATATATAAGTATATATAGGTAACGTATAATAAAGTAGGTTAGGAGCAGGTTGAATCGATTCGGCATTTTTACGATTCGCCCAAATTGGCTGTATTTGGTTTATTCTCCAGCATTCTAGACCCTTGCCGCGTAAACGGCCGCTATAAAGATAGATACGTATAAAGTTGTACAGAATGTACAGAATTCCGGAAAGTACCTTTCTAACCCTTTTCCAGGTACTCGTCCTCTACGAGAGCCAACCGCTGCGGCTCGACGCGTTTTGGCGCACGTTGCGCGAGGCGTGCAAGTTGGGGTCAAACCAGCCGATCACCGTCAAATGGGTCGACGATGAGGGTGAGAAATTTTCGCGTATCAGAAGCTCTCATCTCGTTTGTAGCAGATATTCGCGTTTTCGCTGTGGCATAGCTGATTCGATAGATTGAGCTGAAAATTCTGAACAAATTCCGTCCTTCAAAAGCCGAGAAAACAAAAAAAGTGTTTCTAAAAGTTTCGTAGGCAAAATTTCGTGTCTAAAGTTTCGGAAGTTTCTAAATGTTTAAATTCCGTGAAGCACAGGCAAAAATTGGCAAAAGCCGCCTTTTCAGAGCAATGTTGCTCCAAAACCGCAGTTTTCAGCAAGTTTTGACGTCTTTGGTTTGTTGAGTATTTCAAGCTTTTTCGAACAAGCGATGCCATATCCCAAAACCACAAAAAACGGCTAAAACGACTGTTAGAGCGTTTCTGAGGCTCTAAAACTTTATTTTGTCCACTTACCCTGTTTTTCAGGCGACCCGTGCACAATATCTTCCCAACGCGAACTCGACGAGGCCGTCCGGTTGTACAAGGAGAACAACGAGGCCGACATTTCGCTGCACGTCTTCGAGGGGTTGCCCGCGTGCCCGGGGCAATACGCACAAGGAGAGGATAGTACGTGTTCCGGCCCGACTTTTTTTAATTGTGGGCCTTCAGAAAGCGTCTACCGACGAGGGGCGAGACGATGGAAAAAGTTTTACCACGTCAACGGGCATCGTTTCCAGGCGAAGAGGTTGAATAGGTCGGTTTGGGAGCCCACTTGATAGGGTATTTTACTAAGTACCACCGATCTTACCTTACTATTCCAAGTCGAAAATCCCTGCTTTTGCGTGATGGGCTTTTTGAGGGACGCGTGAGAACCTTGGGAATCGGGGCCTCGAGTCGGCGAGCGGGGTTGGCTAGCTTGGGCTGGCTAGAGCAGGACAAGCTTCTAATTGGACTGCGCTAATATTGGAGTTTCTCCCTCCCGTTAAGAACTTTCTATTGTCATTTGCTATTTCCCGTCTTTTTCCTTTTTTGCATATCCTTGCTGTTGCCATTCCTTGAGTTTACGCACAAATTCTCGGGCATGCGGTTTTTGCGTATCTAAAAAAGGCGTAATTTTTATTTGAGGCCGACGGTACATCCCAAATTTTCTAATTAGAAAAATCAAGGTACTAGCACGCTTTTTTGAGGTTTTTTGCGTGCTAAACATCGTTTTTTTTGTTTCTATTTTCGGTGGTTCCGGCTCAGTGGGACGAGAAATTTTTTGCGAGACGGTTTAGGCGCCTTGTAATTACATCTAGACGATTTTGATAGGGCCCTTGCACTGCCTTAATGAAACAAAATACTGTAAATAAAATTACAAAAGTATCGAAAACGTTGCCTTTTTGAACAAAAACTAATGCAAAACGACCAAAACGGGCCAACAAAACCGGTTCCGATAAAGCGTTCGGAACTGCTAAAACCGTTATTAAACCGTATTTTATGATTATTGGGCAGGCATATGATCAATTAAAAAATTCCCTTACTCCCCCGCTAAAATAGCAGCACCCTAATTTCTAGTTTTTCCCATTTCCCGTTTCGCGTCACCTTGATCTTACCATCTTGGAGTTTGCTTAAAATCCCCAGAATCCAGCAGCAGCAAGAACAAAACCTCCAGCCCTCCGTAAATTGGCTTTGCTCGGCGCGCCGTTCGGGGGCGCCCACTTGCTTTTTTCAAATTTCTAGGACCACTTCTTCGGGGGAGGGCGATGGCATTGTGTGGGTGAATTGCCGGCTAATTATTATGGCCAAAGGGCCGCCTGGGCCATTTTGTCGCCCCTCCATCCAGTTTTCGCGTTTCGTCTTCGCAAACGCTTTTTTTGGAACCGCGAACGGATTTTTGAAAAATCGTTTTTCCGATTTCGATGTCATTTTTGGTCCTGGTTCCTTAGCGGGGGGGGGGGGCTAGCTTCTTTTTTTAGATGTATCATCTCTACGCGGATTTTTTATTGTCCTACCTCTCCCAAGAAAAACGGTACTCTGCTGTTAGGGGGGCGGGGGGGGTGTTTTGTCGAAACCTTTTCTATGGTTTTAGCAGGGCATTTTGATTGCTAGGAACTTATCAAAACAATTTTAAATTTTTTGGAATTTTGATAATTTTGAACTCTTTCATTCTTTTTTCACCGGAAATTCAAAAAATTTCGCTAATTTCAGATTTTTTGGGTGCTTTCCGGGTCTAGAAACAGTCTAAAATACTTTAAAAATGGGTTACATTCCGTTGTAGGGCCCTACGGGAAAGAATTTGTTACCCCCCGCTATCAGTCCAGTACCATAAAAACAATTGCACAATTTTAGAATGACGAGATTTTTGATGTTTACAGCGAAGTGGGCGTACTTTCCAAAAAAAAAAGCGCGCCCGTCCCTCTGACAGGTGCTTTTCAAGCAGTCTTTTTCCTGGCGCTGGCCTTTTAATGCTATTTTCTGACCTTTCAATATCTTGCAAGGCTCGTGTTATGGTTGACTTATTTTTGCAGAATAGCTCCAATTCATGGTTTTTTTCATTTTTAAAGTAATCGTTGTAAAATTTGCTTTCTCAGACGACGGCCAAACTGGGCTCCGCACCGAGCATTTATTCGCTGGCCCTGCGACCCGTGTTTTCGACGATCAAGCGCAGCCGATTCCGGGCCTGCAGGTGCTCGAAAGAAACTACCGGAAATATTGATTTTATGTGATTTTGAACCAGGCAACGAGCAGCGTTTTTTGGGGGAATTCGGTGCCGAGCTTCTTGCGGGAAGATCAAGGCCTCAAGTTTCTTTGGCTTCTGATAGCTTCACGGGACCAAAAAAGGCAGGCTAGCAGCGATCACTTAGGAACCGGTGAGCAGAAACTATTGAGGATATTTATAACGAGCGGATTTTTTGGGAATTTTTAGCAGTTTTTTGGCGCGGACAGCCTGCTTTCCGGCGCTCAACATGGCTTGCCTCAATTTCCGCTGCACGGCACGGACCTGCAGTGATTTTTGAGGATTTGGGGGTCCCGACGGGCTGGTTTGCCCTGGAGGCACATATTTGACCCTCGGGTCGGGGCCAAGGGCAACCGACGGGATTACGCGAGAGCGGTCGCTTTGTGGATACACTGCGTTGAGGGTTTGGGCAGGCTAGCAGAGACGTTTTGGGAGAACGGTTTGGTCAGAAAATCCTTCTAAATAATAAGGGACCAACTTTCTTCCTAAGGGTCCAAAAATCCCTAGCAAGAAATATCCACTATTTTCATAGTATCAGTAAAACTTAACTATATTTTCAAGGCAAAACAATTATGAAAAACGTGGAAACATATTTAGGCGAAATTTTGGTCGTATTTGATCGAAAAGTCGACATATTTGTGTATTTTAAAGTAAAAATTTCTCAAGTTTTTACGTTTAGAAATGCTAAAAACATTTAGAAACACTTCCTCGATTTATATTAGAAAAATTAGCTCCCTAGAAAAAGCCCCCCCCCCCCCCGATAATGCGAAAAACTCTTGTAATTGACCCCATTTTCAGACGAATCCAGTGCGCCTACTGCCACGACTACGTGTGGGGCATCGGCCGCCAGGGCTTCCGGTGCGTCGATTGCAAGATTTGCGTCCACAAGAAGTGCCATCGGCTTGTCGGCGGGCCCTGCGGAGATGTAAACATTTTTTGGTATTTTTGTATTTTTGCTTTTTCAGACGGTCGCGCCGATCATTGGGACGGGCGAGCCGGCGCCGCGCCCGCTACAACCGCGCAATGGGGTCCAGGAGGTCCGTTTTTTCAGCAGTTTCACGGAAAAAATTTCCGATTTTTTCGTGTATTTCCTAGGGCCCTATAACGAAATATAAACCATTTTCACCGGATTTTACACGGTTTTTAGATAAAAAAGCGCATAAAAAGTTACTAAAATTTTCGAAATTTGCTTACTTTTTGTCTAAAATGTATTAAAAATTACCAGAAAGATCAAAAATTTTGAAATATTTATCATAGCTTCATAGCGATCAAAAACTACTAAAAACTTGTGTTTTTTTCAGAACAAGGGCTTCGTGAACGGCGCCTTCAAGGAGAGCGAGATCGAGGCCGATGAAAACGGACACTCGGTATGAGCTTCCCCAGGAATCGTGGATTTCCCCGTTTTTCAGACGGCCGTGTCAACCGGGTCGACGACGCAAAACAGGTGGCAGGTCTCCCTCAACGACTTCAACCTGCTCACCGTCATTGGGCGCGGCTCGTACGCGAAGGTACATCCCGAATTTTGCCTATACGCCCAGATATCGTATGGATATCGTAACCATCGTAGCAAGCATTTTGATAACCTTTTTAATGACAGCTAGGTTTATTGAAGCGGCAAAACGATCTAGAAAACTTAAAAACGGTTTAAAAGCATGCCATTTTCGTCGAAAAATATCGATTTTTGAATTTTTATGGGTTTTTGTGACGTTTTTGCGTTTAGGCATAGTTAAAAACTTTTTCGATTTTTACTAGCTTTACTAAAAAAGGCTCGTATGCGAAAGCTCGGTTTATTTTTTGCTCGATTCTTTCGGTTTCGAAGCTTACCCTGATGCTTTCAGGTAGTCCAAGCCGAGCACAAGCGCACCAAGCAAATATACGCCATCAAGATCATCAAGAAGCAAATGTTCAACGAGGATGAGGTACGATTTTGTGAATTTATCAGTTTCAGCGCTTTTTAGGACATTGACTGGGTACAAACCGAAAAGAGCGTCTTCGAGACGGCCTCCAATCATCCGTTTTTAGTCGGCCTTCACTCTTGTTTCCAGGTATTCGCCTTTTCTCAAAATCAATCCGAGTTTTCAGAGCGATTCGCGCCTATTTTTCGTCATCGAATTCGTCCCTGGCGGAGATTTGATGTACCACATGCAACGACAACGAAAATTGGCCGAGGATCATGCTAGGTGTGGATTTCATTTTTACACCTTCCCTAGGCTAGCAGGCGAAGATCGTTGGGGAATGAAAAACGTGCTCCCCTTACATCTTACTTTTGGCCTATGGAGTTAAATACGCGCCACATATAGAACTTTTGTGCCGTTTTAATAGAGAGTTCATGAACATTTTACAGTTTGAAAGGTTTTTCGCCGCAAAAAGACGAAAAATGACCAAAAAGAAGAATGCATTCCTCGTCTCCGATATTTTTCTCCGCAATTCCATCTCTTTTTTGCAGATTCTACTCAGCCGAAATCATCCTTGCCCTCCACTTCCTCCACTCCCGCGGCATCATATATCGGTATTTTAGAGCTTCATTTCACGATTATCCTATTCTTTTAGAGATCTCAAACTCGACAACGTGTTGATCGACGCCGATGGCCATATCAAATTGACCGATTATGGCATGTGCAAGGTAGCTTAGATAGCGGTTTTCAATGTGTTTCTTTTTAGGAAAACATCGGCCCCGGCGACGTGACGTCCACATTCTGCGGAACGCCCAACTACATTGCACCCGAGATTTTGCGAGGCGAAGACTACGGCTTTAGGTACGTGAAGAGCATCCTTTTCTTAAAGAGCCTCTGCTAGCCTGCCGAGGCATTGCGTAACCAGTTACGAAGCATCTTTTTCTTCTATATATTTTTGAACATGCTTCTAACCTTCCTTTTTCAGCGTCGACTGGTGGGCGCTGGGCGTGTTGATGTACGAAATGATGGCCGGCAGATCGCCGTTCGACTTCGTCTCGCCGGGCGATCAGGAGAACAGCGAGGATGCCCTCTTCCAGACGATTCTCGAGAAACAGATCCGAATCCCTCGCACCCTCACCACAAAGGCCAGCGCCGTCCTCAAAGGGTTCCTCAACAAGGTCAGTGTTTAGGTATTTTCAAAAGATATTTGTATATGTTTTTAATTTTTAATTGTTTACTCTAATTAATTTTTAAATTTTTTCATTATTTTAGGATCCGGGCGAGCGTCTGGGCTGCAATCGGGACATTGACCAGTCGCTGATCGACATGCAAGAACACCAATTCTTCAAGGGGCACATCGACTGGGATCTGGTTAGTCTGATTCTCCGGCTACTGACTGACGCCTTCTTTTTAGTTGGAACAGCGCCAGGTGAAGCCGCCCTATAATCCACAAGTCGCCGGCATACGCGATCTCCAGCACTTCGATCAGCAATTTACCGATGTGAGGATTCCTTCGAAAATCTAGTCTTTTATTTATATCAATTTTACAATAATTTAATCGTTTAGGAACCGGCGAATCTGACGATCGACGACCCGGCGGTGATTGCCCGCATCGATCAGAGCGAATTCGACGGGTTCGACTACGTGAATCCGCTGAAGATGGACACCGAGGATGAAGTGTAGATGCCGCAACTCGAAAGCCCATTTTCTTATTTATTCCGCCTTGTTAGCTCCTTTGCAGCATCCGTCTTTCTAGAAAGCAATGTCCAAAACGTGGCTTTTCCTTCCCTTCCCTGCACTGGTTGTGTGCTCATTTGTCTGTGATTTTGCTCTTCCGATTTTCGCCCGCTTCTTTTTTTTGGCTACTATCTTGTACACGTTGTGACGACCAAATTGTTAGAAGATGACAAATCTTTCCCTCGTTCGCCCGCCTCATTTATTTATTTATGTCCATATTTTGAAAAGAGAAAACGTTTTACACAAAGTCGATTCATACAAGGAAATGCACCGTGATTAGACAGCAAAAAGCATGATTTTAATCGGGTTTTGAAGAAAGCAGTAAAAACGAAAAAATTGCCGGCCTCTTATTCCGCAAGCATACACTTTACGGGCGCCAGTGTAAACTGCAGCTTGACGTACAGGCTTCCCAGTTATCGTAACCAGTAAGCCAGAAGACGAGAAATTTCGCCATTTCGCCTTTTTTCGCAACTTTACTCATTTGGAATTTTTGGAATTTTTGTCGCAATAAATTTGTATTTTGCACTTAAACCTGGGCTGCTACGATCTATTGAAGTTGGGTGGCCCCGAGGACGCTGCAAAACCTTGCCCGATCGGTTTACTAACCTCAAAAAGTTTTTTTTCGGTTTTCTGAGCTAGTTTCTGTGTTGAGTTCGAATTTCACCAGTTTAGGCTGTATAGACTAAGCTTTAGGCTACGTATAGAAAAAGCCGACATTGTAGCGTTTTCCGCTTTTTTGCCGTTTTTAATTTTCTCTAACGTTAAGTCCTCCCTGTCGCTTCAAATCAAGTTTGTATAGTTTTGAAGTGTGCAATTCGTATACAGTACACAAAACTGGCACAGAAATTTTATTCATGTTCTGAAACTCGGGTACTGCCGATCGCGCAATGTTTTTCAGCGTCCTTTCTTCGATTCGATCGCTTCTTTTTCTCTTTCTCTCCCCTGACCACCGTTTTCTTTATAATGGATTTGCTGCTATTATCCTTTTTTTAGTGTACGAGATGTCGGATGATGAGGTGCCCGACACTGAACCGGTAATCATACTCCTTCAGCTCATTGACCTTTTTGTTTTTAGAAACCGCTGATTGCGGCGAGCGACATCAGCATCAGGGACCACTTCGAAATCCAGGTATCTTGTCCCGTTTTGTTCTTACGACTCGCCATTTTTAGGAGCAACTCTTTGAGGCAAGGGACCAGATAGAGATCAAGGTACGCCTCGTCATTTTAATAGTTTCTTGCGCATTATCGGGGAACTTGCTTCCTCAGGGTCCAGGAAGCCTATTTTAGCAATAGGAATTGTTGTAATATTTTTTTTATATATATTTAATGAAAAGCTTAGAAAAACTTTTTCGTTGAAATTTTGGTCGAAAAAGCTTTTTTTTGCGCCTTTTGTAATCAAAATTTGTAGGTTTTTGCGCACGGGGATGGTAGACATTTTAGAAAGAGTCTGTATGTATGAAAAAATGTCTATGAGATTAGTTTGGCAGAACCCCCCCCGATAATGCGCAAGAAAATTTTATTATTTACTTTTGTTCAGAGCGAGCAAATCATCTCAGTGCAGGAGCTACTCAACGACAGCATGGAACTCAACTTCAAGCTCTCTGCCCACCGCAACACGTTCACCGTGAGTTTTTAGGCGCCTTGCCAAACTTTCGGTTTCAGGTCGACCCGAACGTGCGCAGATTCGAACCCTATGAACGGATCTACGCGGCCGAAGGGCCCGCCACGCACAGGCCGAAGCCCGCTTCGCGCGACATCAGAATCGCCTTGGGTAATCCTTATTTTTTAATTGATTTTTGTTTTTTTAGGAATGCCGATGGGCGACCAGTCGTTCCAGGAAATGCGCACGAAGGCTGAACAAGAATTGCGCGGCCTTCGCCAAAACTTCCAGTTGCGCGACTCGGCGTACAGGTAAGGATTTATTGGAATATCTAAACTTTCCCGTGTAGGTTCCTCCGCGACAACTCGAGGGATAACTGGACGACGCTCCCGCTCAAGCGCGACCTGAACGACTGGATCAGGCCGCCAAGGTGATTTTGCGAATATTATAACGTTCAAAACTTGTTTTAGGCTGGAACGGGCTGCCTGCGACTTCAGCCTGGGCAAGCGGGCCCCTCGCGCCAAGGCGGACCCCAGCAAGACCAACGCCGCCAAGATCAGCACGAGCCGCGGCGCCGCCAGGAAAAGTTTGTTTTTTTTTTAACTTTTTACGAAATGATTTAGCCATCGCCAAACCAACCCGCGCCCCGCCTGCGCCCAAACCGATCAAGCCGGACACGCCCGAGCCGCCCCGCGCCTCACATCTTCGCTCCTCCACGCGTCGTCAAGGGTTAGTAAAATTAACGAGATGTTTTTATTATTGTTTTTTTTTAGCCCGCGCGTGCGCTACACCCAATTCTTCCGCTGAACCGGCCGGCCACAGAAACAAGAAGCACGCAGAATAAGAAATAACAAATCGGACCCTACGCACAGCATCATATTTGTCTAGCATTGTTTTGTTCTTTCATTCCGTTCATTGCTCATTCTCGAATTTTTGTTGATAAATTGCTTTGATTATTACCGGCTTGCAGCGATTTTGGCAGGACTTTTCTGGCTTCATTTCCGGTATTTTTGGTGGTCGTTTTTGGAAGATGGCGAAATGTGGCGCTTGGTAGTGATTTGGAGTTTTTATTTGGGCATCATTGATGTGAAACGCTGGTTGGTATTTGAACGGTTTGATCAACCCGTGGTACTTTTGGCGTTATCGGGGAGGGAATCAGATTTTTATTAGACGTTTAGAGATGCCTGCAAACTTATTAGGAGGCTTTAATTAGTTTTTAGCAGGATGCTTTTGAATATTCCTGCTTTGACTTTCCTGAATTCTGAGTAATTTCCATAACTCTCTTGTTATAGAAGATGAAGTCGAGCGCCGAGCCATTCATTCCGGCTCAACGCCACCACCCTGCTCACCTTCCAATCCAGCCCGTTAAAGCGTCCAATGTCCGATGACTGAGCCGTTCGTCGAATGCGCCGACGACGGCAATGGATACCTGGTGGAGAAGCAGTTTTTGACAGGGTACGCTTTTATTTTGGTAACTTGAAAACGTTCGCTACTTTCGTCTCGGTTTTCCGGCCGATTCTAGGGTTGTTTTGCGCGCTGAGCTCGAACGTTTTGTCTAAAATCAATCTGGGATGTGGTTTTTCGAGATCAGCACCTTAAATTTCTTAAGGATCGGTCAGAAAAGGGCGGAAAACCAAAGTGGGCCTGCTTAACGGAAGTAGCGCCGAAAAACGCTTTCTTTCAGTTAGGTTAGAACGCTTTATTCGACCTCTAGAGTTATTCTTCGGCTTTCTAGAGATTTTCATCTTTCCTCCTCCTTTTTTTTGCTTTTAAAAGGCTTACTTTGTTGCACTTTTTCTATCTTTTTATTTCAGCAACAAGTACAAATGGACGATCATGGAGCGAATCGGCGACGGTGGCTACGGATCGGTTTACAAGGTACGCTTCCCGACTTTCGACAGGGCCAATTCGTCGTGATTTAGGTGAAAAACGAGGCGGGCCAGGAAGCGGCGCTGAAGCTGGAGCGACGAGACAACCGGCGCAAAAGGATGAAGCTCGAGATGGAGGTATCTCTCTTTTTCTAACCTGATATGGAGCTCTTTTTCAGACGATGGTGCTGAAGGAGATGCACGAGTTCATCAAGACGCTCAGCCCACCACCCGACGAGCATTTTACAGTCATCTATGTAAGCCCTCTTGCTGTCACCGCTTTATTCCCGTTCAGGATCGGGCAAAGAAGGAGAACTTTGGCTTCTACGTGATGGGGCTCGTCGGCGAGTCGTTGCAAGACCTCAGAAAAGCCCGAAGACCCTCCGTTTTTTCGTGAGTTTTGAGAACGTTGCTTTTGATTGTCTTTTCCTAGGTTGGGCACGGCGTACGCGCTGTCGATCAGCACGCTGCAGCCGATCGAGCTGATGCACCGCGCCGGGTTCCTCCATCGTGACATCAAGCCCGCCAACTATGCCATTGGGCTGCAGGACCGGCGTCGCGTCGTCTACATCCTCGATTTCGGCATCGCGCGCAAATATCTCAAGTCTGACGGCAGCTCGATGAAGACGCCGCGCGAAAAGGTGCTTTTTTGGCTTCGAGGCGTGTTGAATACGTCCAGAAATGCCTGGGAACGTGATAGCAAGCGTTTAATAGCATTTTTTAGCAAATTTAGTTACACTTCAGCTAGAAAAAACTAGCCAAAAACTTTTTAAAAAGTGGAAATTCGGGTAAAAATCGACCATTTTTTCATACAAGTCCAGAAGTGTCGAGTAGTACCCGTTTTGATCCAGTTTTCAGCAAATTTAACGATGTTCAACTGAAAAACTAACTAAAAACATTTAAAAAGTCGAAATTTTGGGTTAAAACTGACCATTATAGGTCGAGAATCGAAGTTTCGTATTTTTGGAACCATTTTTGTTCAGGTCGGCTTCAAGGGGACGATCCGCTACGCGTCGCTAGCCTCGCACTCGCAGAAAGAACTCGGCCCCAAAGATGACGTCGAATCGTGGCTGTACATGTGCGTCGATTTTGCCAACCCGGATGGCTGTCTCTGGAAGGGAATGAAGGCCAAGGAAATGGTACGCTTTCGCCTGTGCCTCATATTCTTTTTCAGGTGGTCCATTCCAAGACGGTCTCTCGAACGCCCGACGGCAAGAAACGTCTCTTCCAAGGGGTACTGTAGCTTTTGTGGACGGCGTATATTAATTTTCTTTGCTTCCAGATGGACCACAAAGAGTGGACGCTGATCATGGACTACACGGACTCGCGCGAGGTGATCGACCGCTTCGACTACGAATACCCGAAAAAGCTGATACAGCGCGCCGCCAAAAATGCCAAGGTTTACTTTTAAAATTTCGAAAATTAGTTTTTTAACAATTTCTTTTTTTCTTAGCATCCAATTTTTCTAAAAAAATGAAGAAAGTGTTTCTAAATATTTTATGCTGTTTTCAAACGTAACTACTTTACAAACTTTATTAAAAAATCCGAAAAATATCGATTTTTCGACCAAAATGTCGAAAAATTTGTCTAAACTTCGTTTTGATTGGTTTTCGACTTGAAATATAGTTAAATTTTACTATAAACTATGAAAATTTCTGCACTAGTAGGAACAATTTGGTCCCCCGATATTGCAAAAGAGCCCGAAACTCTTTTCAGCTCGACCTAAACGCCCCGTACGACTGGGAATCGACGGCACCGGCGACCGTTTTGCTGACAGCAAAACCGCTGGCACGACAGGACAGCAAGGAGAGGAACAACAACAAGACGAAGAACCGGAAGACGTTCACCCAGACCGTCAGCAAGATGGTCAGCATCCAGCAGAACACCCCCGACGGCGCCCGTTCAACAGAAAGTAAGTTTTTTACTTAAAAATTTTAATTTGTTATTTAGGAAAAGGCACGAGAGCGTCGCGCGAGCCGAGTACGGGATGATGATGGTGTTCTACTTCCGCTCCTCGCCCGCCTCCATGCCGTCCAGCCGACCGACCGATCGATTACTTGTCATTTTGCTTTGTTACTCGTTTCCTTCCCTTCATCATCATTCAAATAATCAATTCCATTCCGATTCCGTGCGTCTTTTGTTATTCAAACTGTCGCAATTCGCCTTCACCATTCTCTCGTTTTAATCGATTAACTCGCAGAACTTGTATTTGTGTGTGCTTTTCTTTTGATGGATGAAAAGAATAAACCGTTTCTTCCGGCATTTTTCTGAGCATTGTGGTTTTGTACTTGTGTTCTAAACGCCATGACGTATATCTGCTGCGTGACGAGACATTTTGGCGGATGCTTGACGGGATATCGGATGACTGACGTACAGTTTTGGGGTGTCGCATAAAAATCTATTCCGGTCCGCAGTATTATACAATTTAGTCTTCTGTCGAAAGCTCTCAACGGGATGAGGAGATGTGTTATCTCCGACATTCAAAACTCTGGACTTTTTCTTGCGTTTACAAATTGGACGATTTTCTGATGTTTTTCCTATGAAAGGATTTTGAAGACTACACGATTTCTGATCCTTGACGCTTTGCTGGCAGTCCAACGTCAACTTTTTGAAGGCCTTTTGCGAAAATTTAGCCTCCGTCACGCTGGCCGATTAAAACGCGTTTAAATTTCGAAATTTTGAAAATCGGAGAAAACATATTTCCTCAGCTCGTCGCGAGTTTTCGATAGATACCTAGGTCGTCAAAATATATATATATTGTATACTTTATTCAATATATATATATATTTTGACGACCTAGGTATCTATCGAAAACTCGCGACGAGCTGAGGAAATATGTTTTCTCCGATTTTCAAAATTTCGAAATTTAAATTTAAACGAAATCGAAAAGGTCTGCGGATCGCTAGCGGGGGTCATTTTTTCTGAAAACTTTCTGCTTTCTGATCAAACAGCAATATTACTGTGAATTTTGGCGCGCCATGCCGTGAGCATTGTGGTATACTTTTTTCCTATGATTCTGATGTCGCTTCTAGACGAATATGATGCTTTAGTCTATATTTATTTTATTATTAGGCCTTTCAGTTTTCGTCAACAATGCCGAAAAAGTTGGTGCTGCAACGGATTCGCAAGCGGCCCTCCGACCGCCGGCGCTTGATTTTCAGAATTCACAAGCGATTCGCTAAGGTCGGTATCTCGCTTTGGTATCGTCGAATAAAATTATTTTCCAGGCCGCCCTGAAGATGTCCAGCAACAACCGGCGGAAGCTCGTCAAGAAGGTCCGCGCTAGGCCGAGGCGGATTGAGCAGGTTCGTCGTTTCTAAGAGATCGCAAGAAGATGGGCTTACCTTTTCGGTTCTTTAGGATTCGCGGGGGAAAACCAATTTTTTTCGAGGCAAGCCTAATTTTTGTTTATGAAAGGCCGATGCGTTTCTACATTGTTTTTAACTCGTTCTAAGCATAAAAACTTCAAATTTTAATCAAAATTTAATTTTTGGTCGAAAAATTCTTGTTTTTTCAAATTCGACTTTATGAAACACTTTTCCAACTTTTTTGAAAGTAGTCCTACTTTAAGTGCAGTTAAAACGTACTAAAAACCGTGTAAAACACTATATTTTATGCCTAGGCCAACCGGGGAGCGCCGAGAAAAAAACTGGCTCGGCTCCTCCGCGAGTCCTAAAGAACCACATTTTCTACTGGCGCCTTTTTAGAAGCCGGCGAGAAGCCCATGCCCCGATCGAAAGATTGACGAGCCGTACAGTGATTCTCAAGACGTGCAAGAACTGCCTTCTGAAATGCCAGCCATCCCCGCCACCGAGTCGACAACGCCAAGCAGTTGCCAGGTCTCCCTCAACGACTTCAACCTGCTCACCGTCATTGGGCGCGGCTCGTACGCAAAGGTGTGCAACTTCTTCTCATCTTTTGCTATACCTTAAACAGCGAATAAATCATTTTTGCAGGTAGTCCAGGCCGAGCACAAGCACACTAAAGAGGTCTGTGCAATCAAGATTATGAAGAAGCAATTGTTCAACGATGTGGATGAGGTTAGGTTTTTGAAATTTTGCAATTTTCAACGGTTTTCAGGACAGTGCCGCGGTACAGACGGAGAAGAGCGTCTTCGAGACGGCCTCCAATCATCCGTTTTTAGTCGGCCTCCACTCTTGTTTCCAGGTATCAACTTTTTCTTCATAATATTCCAAGTTTTTAGAGCGATTCGCGCCTATTTTTCGTCAGCGAATTTTTCCCTGGTGGAGATTTGATGTACCACATGCAACGACAACGAAAATTGGCCGAAGATCATGCTAGGTGGCGATCATTTTAATAGTCGGCGGGTATAGGCCTTTTTGCAGATTCTACTCAGCCGAAATCATCCTCGCCCTCCACTTCCTCCACTTCCGCGGCATCATATATCGGTATTTTTCAGCCATTTGACGAAGATCCTGCTCTTTTAGCGATCTCAAACTCGACAACGTGCTGATCGACGCCGATGGCCATATCAAATTGACTGATTATGGCATGTGCAACGTAGCGTAATTCTTAAAAGGCCGTCCGCGGCTCACCCGGCCTGTCCCCAATATGGCTTGGTACAGTTTTTTTCGACCCTGTTTTTTTGACGTCATCTGAAAGAGCATAGTCTAATTAGCAGGGTGGCACTATTTTGAGATTTTTAAAAGTTTATTTCCCTAGTTAAATTTGGCGCTAAAGTCGCAAACCTCAAAAAATTATCTCGAAAACTACCGGGCCGAATGGGCTGAAATTTTGTGACTAGGCCTCATTTGGGATGAGGATCATTTTGCTAATACATTGCAAAGCACGAAAATGGTCGGAACATATGCAGAATGCGTACCAAAAACAGTTTTTTGCAGTTTTCGTCTTGATGGGTGTTCGGCCGCATCATGAGACTGGCATAGAAAGATGCGCCATTTTTTTCCGCATCGATTGATGTATCTTTTATCAGGCGGCCAGCTACCCATTTGCTGGAATATTCCATTTAGTATGCCCAAAACGCACCAAAAATGTACCCGAAAAACGCATAACAAAAAGTTTTCGGATTTTAAAGCATGAGAATACATCTAGAAGACGAGCTGAAGCTATTGCAAAAAAGAGCAAAAAGAAATAACATTTTTAAAAGGGGTCTGAAATCCGGCAGGAATCGAACCCGGACCCTCCGCCTGGGAGCCCTGTGGCGCAGTCAGTAGAGCGTCGGCGTGCCAATCCGGAGCTGGCGCCAGTTCAATCCCAGCCCCCTCCAAAAAGCTGAATTTCGTTTTGCTCTTTTTTGCAATAGCTTCAGCTCGTCTTCTAGATGTATTCTCATACTTCAAAATTCGAAAACTTTTTGTTATGAATTTTTCGGGTACATTTTTGGTGCGTTTTGAGCATACTAAATGGAATATTCCAGCAAATGGGTAGCTGGCCGCCTGATAAAAGATACATCAATCGATGCGGAAAAAAATGGCGCATCTTTCTATGCCAGTCTCATGATGCGGCCGAACACCCATCAAGACGAAAACTGCAAAAAAACTGTTTTTGGTACGCATTCTGCATATGTTCCGACCATTTTCGTGCTTTGCAATGTATTAGCAAAATGATCCTCATCCCAAATGAGGCCTAGTCACAAAATTTCAGCCCATTCGGCCCGGTAGTTTTCGAGATAATTTTTTGAGGTTTGCGACTTTAGCGCCAAATTTAACTAGGAAAATAAACTTTTAAAAATCTCAAAATAGTGCTACCCTGCTAATTCGACTATGCTCTTTCAGATGACGTCAAAAAAACAGGGTCGAAAAAAACTGTACCAGGCCTTGTTCGGGTGACCCGCGGACGGCCTTTTAAATTGCTGTAGTTTTAAAGAATCCTCGCTTTGAAAATGGCCTTTTTTATTTTAGGAGAACATCAGCCCCGGCGACGTGACGTCCACATTCTGCGGAACGCCAAGCTACATGGCGCCCGAGATTTTGCGAGGCGAAGACTACGGCTTTAGGTGCGTGAGGCCATTTTCCTATAGATTTATGCTAGCCTACCGAGGCAGTGCGCAACCGGTGCTGCTTCTGGATTCGTGAGGGGAGCCAATTTTTTTACCCGGCGGTCCCGGTTAACCAACTAATCAAGTATAAAGTGTTTTGATTTCATTTTTCGGGGCGTTTTCATATATTTAAAGTAGAACAACTTTCAAAAAAAAGGTTAGAAAAATGTTTGGAAAAGTCGAAGTTTGGTCGATTTCGATCGAAAAATAGATTTTCGAGCGAATCCTAAAGAACCCGCCTTTGTTGCTGCTATTTTTTTCTATTTGTTTCCAATTTCTTTTTACAGCGTCGACTGGTGGGCGCTGGGCGTGTTGATGTACGAAATGATGGCCGGCCGATCGCCGTTCGTTATCGTCTCGACGGACGATCAGGAGAGCAGCCAGGAAGCCCTCTTCGAGGCGATTCTCTGCAACAGGATCCGCTTCCCTAGCACTCTCACCAACACAGCCAAGGCCGTCCTCAGGGGGCTCCTCAACAAGGTCAGTTTTTAGGTGTTTTAAAAAAAAAACAAATTATTTTGAATTTTTAATTATGTAATTTAATTAATTTTTCATTTTTAAAAAATTATTTTGATGATTTTAGGATCCGGGCGAGCGTCTGGGCTGCAATCGAGACATTGACCAGTCGCTGATCGACATGCAAGAACATCAATTCTTCAAGGGACACATCGACTGGGAGCTGGTTAGCCTGATCTGCGGTTACTGACTGACGCCTTTTCAGTTGGAACAGCGCCAGGTGAAGCCGCCCTACAATCCACAAGTCGCCGGCATACGTGATCTCCAGCACTTCGATCAAGCATATACGGATGTGAGCACGTCTTAGAAAATCTAGGAACTCCATTAATTTCATATTTTTTTTGCTAACGGGAAGCTTTCATGAGTTCTGGAAAGCGCCGCAAGGGCCTCGGCGAAAAAAATTGGATGCCGTAAAAGACAGAAAAATGGTTCTTTCGCATTATCCGGGGGGACTGAACTTTTTTGTATAAGTCTAGAAATGCCTAGTTACGTGATAGAAAGTGTTTTTGGTAATATTTCGCCATATTTCAACCAGAAAAACTGTCTAAAAAGTTTAAAAAAATCGATATTTTTGATATTTTTAGTAAAAATTTGTAAAGTTTTCACATTTAGGCATCTAAAAAATCCGTTTTGTTTCCCCGGATAATGCGAAAGAACCAAAAATATTTTTACCAAAATGAACGTATGCAAAATCTAGTTTTATTTTCAGGAGCCGGCCAACCTGACGATCGATGACCCCTCCTTGATTGCCCTCATCGATCAGAGCGAATTCGACGGGTTCGACTATGTGAATCCGCTGAAGATGGACACCGACCACCAGCTGCTCGACGAAATTTTTTATTAATATTTCGGCAATCGCATTTTTTAACCGACTGTGATTACGTGCCTTTGTTTCTCACTTTCTAATATCGCATTATTTTGCTGCCTCAATTCTATTCGCCCCCGATGTGACTGCTCTATTTTTTTTTTTGGAATCTATCGGTCTGTTCATGCAGAATAAAATGTTTGTGAATGTGTGAAACGAAAGATAAGGCCGGTAGCAAGGTACCACGACAAGTACAGCACCTAACATATAAAAATAATAGATTTTCAACCAAAATTTCGAATTTTTAGCCTTTTTTAGTTTTAGATATTGAAATATTGTTCAATTTTTCAGTTTATGACCACTTGAAATATTGTTCCATTTTTCTAGAACTCAAAATACTGATTATTGCGTTACCAAGCGTTTTATTAATCAACAAACTCTCCCCCCCGATAATGCAAAAGCACGCGATCGCACGATTAGCCCAAGTTGGGGCATATGGGCCATTCTAGATCAACGAGCCATTTTACTGTGATTTTCGAGTTTTCTGACGATGTGAAAGGATTTGTTCTATTCAAAAATTGCTAAGAAACGTAAAACAACGGGCTTGAATTTTCTCAGAAAAGGTCATTTTTGCCCCGCTTAACAAAATGTAAACTTAGAAATTTTGTTCTCGAAGCCCGTTGTCGTTGAGAATTTTTCCAGAGATGGATGTTTTGCAGAATTTGAAGCTCTTTCGAATGAGTTAGGTTGCCGCAGTGAAAAAAAGGCGCTCCGCAGCAGTTTTTGTCAGTATCACCGAAAATCGTTACCGTCGTTCCTTATTTTTTCATAGAAATTGTCTAGTAGTCTGCAGAATAGCTAGGAAACATGGTCAAATTCGCCCTTAAACTTCAATAGTGTTTTTTTCTTTTTTAATGAGTTTTTTAATAATTTTGTTCAGGTAATAAGCTTCAAGGAATGCCGAAAGCCGACCCACCATCGCCTCGCTTCGATGGACGCATCTATCTGGAGATGCCGCCAGTGGATTTGCCCCAAGGGACGCCAGCCCTACCCAGGACTGCATCTACGCCCATCATCTATAGCGGTTTGTTGTTTAGCTCTTGAATTAGATCCAATTTTCGCGGTTAAAAAGGGGTTTTGGGCGAGCGAGATCGATTTTTTGACTAAAACAGCTGATAAATTCGAAATTTTTAGGAACATTTTACACTTGAAATATCGTTACATTTCGAAAAACGAGAACTCTGAAATTTTTTTTGTTAAAACCGGTTTTAACTTTGTAAACTTGGGTTTTCTCGAGATTCTGAAAACGCTATCGGAAACAGAAGGGTCGTTTGCTCCTGGTGACGAAGAATTAGAGCATTTTATACACGATTAGCATTGCAGAAGATCAAGGAAAAAATTCGGATTCCTCGATATTGCCAAACCCCCCGTTAATTCGAACCTTTTTCAGCCATCCCGGCGTCGCGGATCAACTACATGAGAGTGCAGGATGGTGCTCGAATGATGCGGCCCGCCGGTTCTCCCACTGGTCAACACCCGCAGCCGCAGCAACATCATCACGCATCCCAGCCGCAGCAACATCATCACGCAGCTCAGCAGCAGCAACATCATCACGCAGCCCAGCAACAGCAGCATCATCACGCAGCTCAGCAGCAACAGCAACAGCAGCAGCGGCAGCACTTCTATCAACAATATCATCATCATCATCAGCAGCAGCAATACCATCAACAGCAGCTCCATCAACACCAACACCAACAGCAGCCGCAGCATGCTCACTCGCCGCACTTCCACCAACAACCCCAATATCAGCAACAGTCACTGGAACGGCCGATGCCGCGTAAGTTTTTGTTTTAACACGGTTTTTATACTTTTTTCATGTATTTTTGACGAAAAAAGAGAATTTTTGAAAATTTGCGGATTTTTATGGGCTTTTGGTTCTTTTGCCTTATCGTATATTTATTGTATTTGTTAATGGAAAATTTATAAAGTTTTTGCGTTTAGGAATATTAAAAAACAGTTTAGATTCCGAGATTTATATTTGAAAAATTAGAAAAAAAGGTTTGAAAAGTGCGAAAGAACATCAGAATCAATCACATTGTCAGGGGTCCAATCGCTGCGGCAGCTGCACGCGGGCGGCGCTGATCATCCGTACGCCTACATGTCGAGGTCGGCCTCTGCCGAGAATCTGCTGAATGAAATGCCCCGATTGCGCCCGGAAGTCGCACACCAGCCACAACAACACCTACAACAGCCACAGCGCCTGCCAAGAAGGGACATGAACGCGTCGGGGCAATTGATGTACCGTGTGCAACAGCTGAGACCGCCCGGTCAGCAACAAGGTCAGCAGCTTCCCGGATTTTTTTTTGTTTTTACGTTAGCGTGGTTTTCAACACTTCCACTTTTTCAGGTGTTGCGCTCCAATCGCCAAACGTGCGCCTGGACGACGGCTTCATCCGGCCGGATCCTCCTCGAAACCCTCGTCGTGCCCTCGTCTACGATGATGACCCACCGGGGCACAACCCACCTCGACAGATCGTCTTCCGCAATCTACAGGGTCCGTTTTGGCGAGGCAAAAAGCATCATTTATTGCTAAAAATCGAGCATTCCGTAAATTTATTTTTGCAGGCCTGAGCGGCGTTCGTTTGCCGGATGGCTACGTTCACGAGTCGCCCAATCAGCCGAGAGTGCAGCAGCAGCAGCAGCCACAGTATGATCCGCTTCACAACTCACCGTATGCCGACCGAAACAGTGAGAAAAGTCTCTATTTTTGATGATGTTTTTGCTTCAGGAGGCCTCTATCGACAGCAGCCCGGCACGCCAAACGCCTCGATTGGTAGATTTTTAACCTTTTTTTTTGTTTAGCTTTGTTTAGGCCCAACCGTGCGTCAGATTCGTCAGCTGGCCCCGCCATCGCAACGTGCGTATCAATTTCTACCGTTTTATTGCACTATCGCAGCGAGACACTTTTTTTATTTAGCATCCAGTTACTAAACGCTAAAACTTTGGAAATTTTCGGTAAAAAAAACTGATTTTTCGAGCAGCAGCTGCTGATTTTGACCGAAAATTAGTGGTTTTTTTGGATTTTTAGAAGTTTTTATGTTTTTTCCACTCTTAATATTCTTATATTCTATTTAAAACACTAATGAAATATTTACTATCACGCTGAGGCGTTTCTGGATCTCAAAAACAACCTCAAACCTTGTTATTTATCAAAAAGGATTTGCTTATTTCGCTTATCAAAATTGTTATTTTTATTTCGGTATTCACAGCTCAAAAAATCCTGCCCTTTTCATGGCTGCGGTCGTAAAATTCGAGAATTAGGCGGCTAAATTTGTCGCACAACAATTTTTGCTTCTCGGCTTTATAGATACCTAAATCATGAAAATCGGGTTTTTTTACGGATTGCTTGTATAGTTCGAAAACCAAATAATTCTTTTAGCCGCCACCGCACAGCCGCCAGTGGCCCAATCGACGCCGATCAAGCGCGAGCCGGCCCCGGCCCCGGCCCCGACCCCGGCTCCGGTGCCGCAGAAGCCGCTGGTGCCATTTGGGCCCCCGATTGCCCCGGTTGAGGCGTGGGCACAAACAGGTATTCGGGAGACAATTTCGTTTTTCTACGAACCAGACCGTGTTTCGGCGTGAAAATCGCTAAATTTAGGCCATTAGCTTGAAAAGCCGGATTTCCGCTTCGACGAATCGTTTTTATGGTTCTTTTGCATTAGCGGGGAGGGGACTCTTTCTTTAGTATCCGATTCTACAAATAAAGGCATTGTTTGTAAACTTTTTACGATTTCTAAGCGCAAAAACCTTACACTTTTTTAATAAATGCAAAAATATCGATTTTGGACCAAAATGACGAGTTTTAATTTTTTCAGTGGTTTTTAGATAATTTTCTATTTAAAATCTATTTAAATTTTACTGAAATACACGTTACGTTACTGTTTATCTCGGGGCTTAGAGAAAAATTCATCCCCCCCCCCCCCCCGATAAGACAAAAGCACTTGTTTTTGAGGGTAGAAAATTCGCATTTAGGTTGTTTGGATCTTGTGAAGCTTTTGTAAAATTCATTTGGGGTAGCTGGAAAAAAATGACAACGTGTTTTCGACCTATAACTAATCCGTTGCAGCGCTCACATGCCTGCACGAACTGCGCGCCGTCATCCGGCAGATCCCGTATTTCGTCAGGCCCGCCGAGGTTGTATTCATCCGGAATTTCGCATATTTTTTATAGAAGATCCCGACACGAGGCGACCTGGTGGAGTCGATGCGGCGGCTGGGCGATGCTTACAAGTAAATTTTAGGTATTCGGGCGGACCTTTAGCTGGACGTTACTATTAAATTTCTAGGGGCCCGGCTGTTCTCGTAGAATTAACGGAATTGTCTCCTAACTGTTTTGCTGTCCCTAAACCTAAAAAATTATTTTGATTAAAATTAAAAAATGTCGATTTTGCGTCCAAAAATGGCCACTTTTCGATGTGGATTTTCAACCAAATTTTACTAGGCTCTTAAAAAGTTATTTTTCTGCTGGAAAAAGATTGAATTTTACTAAAAAAAACCTATTAAATTACTTACCATGAAGTTACTAGACACTCTGGGATTTATCGAAAAGGGTTAGCCCCCCCGATAAGGCAAAAGAACCGGTTTTTAGGGTGTACTTTTAGGGTGTCTGGCAGCAAATAACCTCAATTTTTCAGTGAACTTCGCGGCGCGGTCCGGCAGCCGTGTGACGAGAGTGCTCTTCGCCATGCGGGTGCTCGCTTCGAAGCCGATCAAATGTGCGATATGGATGAAGCGTGTCGATCAGTGGCCGACGCCGACGAGATTTGCCACGGATTCGCCAATGTCAATGTCGGTTCTTTCGCATTATCGGGGGGTGAAAATTTTTTCGTAGCAGCCAATTTTTAAAATATAAATTGCGGAAGGGTTTTAAACTGTTTTTTACTATTCCCAAACGTAAAACTTTACAATTTTTTGTTAAAAAACCAAAAAGAATCGCGGTTTTTGACCGAAATTTCGGCTTTTTGACAAAATTTGCGAAGTTTCGAGATGGTTTTTCTGGTTAAAATCGAGTTTTATTTTACTAAAAACATGGTGAAAATATTTCCTATTAAGCTACTAGGTATTTCTAGATTGGTACAAAAAGGAGAGGGGGTGACCGATTGTTTCCCCATGAGCCCAGAAACGCCCAGTAATCGAATAATAAGTATTTTAATTGTGTTTTTGGTAAATTTTTACGATGTTGAAAGTGGGCAAACTGTCAAAAAAAAACACAAAAATTTGGAAAACCTATATTTTTGTCTTTTTTGACGAAATTCGCTATTTTTCAGGTGTACGCTACCACCGCCGTGTATCATTTTATGTCGAGCCCCGGGCTGCAGCCCCGTATGCACATACAGCCGCCCCGCACCACCAGTCGACAGGTAGAATTTTGATTTAAAAAAATTGAATTCGGTGCTTTTACAATATCGGGGGGGGGGGCTTTTACAATTCGTCTAATTGGAGAAAATGCCGCCAGTGCTGTAATAGTGGTTATTTTTACAGTGTTTTTACTAAAATTATAAAAATTTCAACGATAGAAAAACAAACAAACAACGTGGAAAGCATTTTTTAAGTTGAAATTTTGGTTGAAAAATCGATATTTTTTGTTTTTAAACGAAACTTTCACAGAATTTTTATTGTAAATGTTTTTCTAAAATTGGCATTTTTGCCGGAAAAATCGATTTTTTTTGTATTTTTAATGTAATTTTGTAGGGGTTTTTACGAGTAGAATAGTGCAAAACGGTTTGAAAGAACTTGTTCTAGTGGTATTTGACCAATTCAGGACCTCCGAAAAAGCCCCCCCCGGTAATGCAAAAGAACCGTAGTGAAATCTGGGGAATTCGCCAAAATTAATTATTTCCTCTTCAGGCGCACGCGCATGCCATCGAGCAGCTGCAACGCTTCAGCCGCAATTTCTCGTACGACGTCCGGGTGCTCGAGGAGCGTCAGCTGTACTTTGCCGCTCGCATTTATGGTACTTTTTTGGGGGGTTTCAGGGCAGACGAGCAGCGATTATTTGGGAAATCTTGTCGGTAATTTGAAAATTAAATAAACTGCCAATTAAAATTTATATCAAATTCGATATTTGCGGTCGAAAAATAGCCTTTTTTGCAGCTAAAATGGCTAAAATTAGGATTTTGCAAGCATTCTGCATAAGTTTACACATCCTTTGACTTTATATCTAGTTAAATTTTACGCAAAAAGGTGATAATACCACATATACAAAATCTTTACAAAACTTTAGGTTAGCTAGCAGAGAATCTTGTGGATTTCTGTCCGACCGAGTCCTTTAAATGGCTTTTTCAGATCGCAAGGGCCCCGCGACGAGTGGACGTGGCTCTGGCTTCGAGAAGCAGCCGGTAACATTTTATAGTATTTTTATATTTATTTTTATAAGATTTTTAAGGTCTTAATTTTCTTAAAAAATTAATTTATAAAATTTCAAAGCTCTTCCTTTTCCCTTTTCCGTTCCCAGACCTTTTAACACCATTTTTCCAGCTGAACGTGACGTTTTTCGTGGAAGCGGGCGAACTGCTCGACGTACGCGTCGGCGGCAGGGACGAGCACTTTGTCGGCGAGGAGGTAAAAAAATTTGCTTGGTTTTTAAGCTTATTTCCAGGCACTGCTCCACTCCGAGTACAGCGTCTACCGCAGCATCACCGCCGACTTTTGGCGCAACATCACCGAGAAGACGAGCATGTGGGTGGATCTTGTTTTTTCCGCAAAGAATCTCTGCTAGCCTGCCCCCGTCCATCCCCTCCAATTCCTCAAAGAATCTCTGCTAGCCTGCCCCCTCCATCCCCTCCAATTCCTCAAAGAATCTCTGCCAGCCTGCCTCTTACTAATTCGCCCATTTCCAGGATGCCGAATTTCGTGCAGCTGATCTTCTACTACGCCCAGGTGTACCCGACCTGTTTCCTGTCGAAGTGCGCGGTTTGCGGGTGCGTTTTTAACGCTTTGATCTGGTTTCTGAATTTTTGTATCAATCTAAAACGTATTTTTGTCAATTTTGAAATTTTTGCACCTTATTTTAGATCATAAAATTTAATTTTCTACTTTCAGGCATGTGATGCGCGACTTCGAGCCGCCCACCCGCTTCCACCACGGCCTCAAGCAGTTCACCCATCCCAGCTGCTCGACCATCAAGGAATATTATTGACCTGGTGTTTTGCTCGTTTGCTCCGCATTGTTGCTTCCTTATTTTTCGACGTTAAAAATCTGTCCAAGTTTTAAATTTTTAAAAATTGTTTAGTTCCGGAAAATTCTGATTTCTACGCTTTTCGTTTCTCGAGGTTCGGCATTGTTGGTGTCGCTGCCCCTTTAAATTCCCGATTGCTCGCCGCGAGTTCGCTATTGTTATTTCTTCATCCCAAAATTTGTTGTTGTTTTTCGTTGTTGTCGTTGTTGATAAATTTCATTGAAAAAGCTGCCGAATGATCGCTGCTAGCCTGCCACCGAGTTTCCGGTCTATTTCGGCCAATGGTGCTTTATAATTGTTTTCCCCAAAGGTTGCGGCTAGCTCGCCGGCCTAAGTTTTGCAATGGTCCTAAAGGATCTCGGCTAGATAGCTTTGTTGGCTTCGTGCAGTTTCTCTAACAAAAAGGCGTTTTTCGAGGGATACCAGGATTTCAGGTCGGAATCGAGCCGATCGCCTGCAGAATTTCGCGCTGATTCCGAATTTGCTAAATCACCCACGAATGTTCAGGAAGCTAACTTCGTAGTGTCAAAACCATCGAAAAGCGCCGACTTTCGATCCCTGTAAAAATCGAACGAAAAATACTTTGATGAAAATAATTAGCACCTTCTGCTCAGAAAATAACGCTCTTTCAGATGAGATAGACAGAAAAACACGCATGCTTTCTCCGGTTTGAAAACGGTTTGGTCATGCGCGTCAAACTGCTGCGTTTTCCTACACTAAACTTTAGGTGCGCCAATCCATTCGAAGAGCATTTTTTCCCGAAAAATAGGTGCTAAATATTTAACGCCGGGTTCTAATAGGGTATCCCTCACACTGTTAACAATTAAATCCGCGACAAATTGTTTAAAATAGCTATTTAGCAAATTCGAGAACCACGTTCGGGAACAGATAGATATAGATTGCCTCGCCAATTTTGGCCTGTTTGACCAAGGATCTCTGCTAGCCTGCCCCCCAAATGTGTCGGGGTTTTCACGCTTCGCCCTAAAATTCGGGGTTTATCTTGGTCGATTGCCGACAGGTGACGGGGCGCGTATAAATTAGCATAGGAAAAAATGGAAAAGTCAGAAAACAAAAAAATCGGGATTTCGATATGGAATTAGGTTTTTTAGGGGAAGAATTGAGCGTTGGGCGTCATTTAGAACGGGGAACGAATCTCAGGAATTATCACCGGGTTTGAAAATTTAATTTTTTAAAATTTTTAAAGGGGCCACTGAAGGCAAAATTTTTGATTTAGATTTGCGGATTTAGGGAAATTTAGAAGAGAGACGAAATAAAAGAAAAGGGAATTAGATAGCATGGTATTTTTAGTTGATTCGTTTCCTTCGATTGGGCGGCCCAGTGCAGAGACACGTCTTTCGGCAGAACAAAAATTGTGTCGGTTTGTGCCGTTCGCAAAGGCCGCTGTCCGCCCAATCCCTGCAAAAACACGGGTAGTTTATATTTTAAAACGTCTAAATATTTTTGATTCGATCACGCCAGGAAATTCCGGGGGTTCTTTTTCGTTATCGGGGGGGGTGTATTAATCGAGAAACACCTGATAACTTGGTTTTTTTCTTAATTCATATTCAGCAAGCATCTTCATAATGTTTTTAGCAAAATAAAAGTATATTTTAACGAGAAAAGCTTTCAAAACCTTCGAAAAAGTCGAAATTTTGGTAAAAACCTGTCATTTTTAGTTGAAGAATCGCTTTTTTTTGTGTTTCACAAAATTTTGTAAAGTTTTGACGTTTCAGAATATTAAAAAAAAAACAGTTTAGAAACACTAGCGCTATTTATCTTTAAAAAAATTGGTGACTAAGCAATTTCTCTTTCTCCCCCCGATAATGCACCAGAACCCTAATTTAACTTGGTAATTTTTGATGTTTATTTTTATTTATAAAGAAAAGCCTACTGGCAAAGCATTCCCCGGTCGTCCTCCTCCTTTGCACAATCGAACACGAACGGTTTCCCTGCAAATGTGTTAGATTTTTCTGACCTTCCGGTTCTAGACAAAATTCGATTGGCTTACATCCAGATGCCTTTTTCGTTGTGGCAATCGTGATTATGGGCGTCGTTTCGCTGGTGAAATGATCTGAAATTCGAGCTTGTAAATTTTATGAATGGCCTCTGCTAGCTTGCCCTTCCATATAAATGGTCTCTGCTAGCCTGCCCGGGTTTTCCGCAAAGAACCTCTGCAAATTTTCCCGAACTTGTTAAATGGTCGCTGCTGGCTTGCCCGGTTTTAAAAGGTGTCTGCTAGCATCCCCTCCTTCCAAATGGTCTCTGCTAGCCTTCCCCACCTTGTAAATGGCCTCTGCTAGCTTGCCCTATTTTTCCGCAAAGAATCCCTGCTAGCCTACCGCTTTGTGTGGGCGTTTCCGCGAGACTCCTCCGCTTCGGTCCGTCATCGGGGATTCCCGCGTAGCCGACGGCTTGTGATGGATATGAAAATGAAAGATTTTAATGGATTTTTAGTGAAAAAGTATAATAATAAATTGTTGAAAAGTGGTAATTTCCGTCTAGGTATAAAAAATTTTGTATTGCGTTTTTAGGGATTAAAATTCCTTTCAAAAAAGGGAAAAATGGTGGGCAAACCGATGGGTTTGGTGTCGGGCTGCAGCGGGCCGGCCGGTCCTGTAATTATTGTTTCGTTGAATCCTTTTTATTTTAATCGGTGACGCGAGGTTAATCGCCATCCCCCCTTATAAGTACCTTGTCCATCTTCGTAGCCGGAGGGCAGGATTTTCGGCTCTGCAACGACATTTTATTAGAGGCTTTGCGCGGGGGAAACCAAATTTTTCCGCCTCAACCTACCTACCTATCTACCAGTTGATAATTAATAGTGTGTTTTTCTAATTGTTCGAGTAGTTTTTAATTGCTAGAAAGCTACAGAATCCATTTTTAAATCTTGGAATTTTGAGCGTTTTGACCTTTTCTGGGTCATTTTTCATCCATTTTCGGGCTCTGGTTCGTTAGCGTGGGGACATTTTTGGTCAATAGCCTCTCGTATCTTGAATTACATTATTTTGAGCCGAATCTATAGTATATTTTTTCATGCTCGGTCGGATAGCGTGCACAGAATGGCGAAAAATATCGAAAATCCCGAAATTGCCTTGCTAAAATGATGCAAACCCCAAAAATTATGAAAGGTTGAAAAATCTACAACATTGAGCTAGCCCCGCCCCCTGAAAACGAACTAGAAAAAACCGGTCATTTTTAGTTGAAGAATCGCTTTTTTTGTGTTTCACAAAATTTTGTAAGGTTTTGACGTTTAGGAATAGTAAAAAAAGAACATTTAGAGATCCTTGCTTTATTTATATTTTACAAATTCGTCCGAATAAAAGACCCCCCCCGATAATGCATAAGAACCGAAATTAATTTGGTAGGGGGGAAAGAATTCGCGGGGGGGAACTGAACTTTTTTTGGCCTAAGCCTAGATTTTTTATATCAATAGTGGAAGTGTTTCTAAATTGTTTATAGCTATTCCTAAACATAACAACTTTACAAAATTTAATTAAACATTTAATTTTAGGTCGAAAAATCGATTTTTTCGGCCCAAAAATGACCAAATTTTCGTCTTTTTCAAGCATTTTTCTAACTTTTTAAAAAGTTTTTCCGGTTTAAATAGGCTTAAGTTTTGCTAAAAACAATGTGAAAACACTTTATATTTGATTACTATCCCCACCAGAGCCAACAGAAAAAAAGTGCCCGAAAAAAAGCAGAAAAAAGGTTCCCCCCCCGCGAATTCTTTCCCCCCCCCTCGGGATACTCAAGAACCTTGTTATTTATCCTACCTTATATAAGATTATTTTCAACCCTGGTTTGCCTGGAATTTGCTTCGCCTGAATCACGCTGCCAACTGTCCTCTGATTTCTGGATCAGAAATGGTTTGACTCCAAATTCCACAACAATCTCCGCTAGCCTCCCGGTTCCCGAATTTGGTTTCAGAATCGTTCACGGAGCAAAGAATCTCTGCTAGCCTACCCGTGTACCGAGAATGCGTACCGGGTGCTGGCGGTGAAGCTGGTGCGTGAGTTGTCGTGGCTGTCGCGCTCGTTGGTGGCGCTGGTGGCTGTCCAATTATCTCATTTGACGGCACGCTACCGTTCTGAAAATTGTTAAGCAAATAAAATGAATAAAATAGCCCAGTTTTGGGGTTTTTTTCGGTTTATACAGGGTGCGTCAAAAAAAAAAGCCAAGTTTGCACCAAAATATCTCGCTTATCTTTGAGAATCGAAGGTACGTTACCATGCCAGAATGCTTAAATATGCTGGGTATGAAGATTTAACACAACTTGATTTTTTCGATTTTTGAGTACGCAAATGTCCTATTGACGCTGGTTACGACCGAAAATTGTGCGTTCTTGAACGGGTGGTGGGAAAATTCTGATTTTTGGCCTAAAAATAGTTGACATTTGTAGAAAAATAATAGCAAAGTCTTAGAATTTTTGAAGGCTTAGTTCTTTTTTTACAGGCAAAACAAATTTCCCTATTTTGCTTATTTTTACTTTTTAATTCACAACTCGCTTCAAATACGCTGCCCATGGCTGATATTTTGCAATTAGTGTCTCCGAATGATAATCTTTAGCACAACACCAAATTTTACCTGATTCTATGGTATTTTAATATTGCTTGCTAAAACGTGCCCCAGAGGGATACTGTAGTTTTAGTTTTCCGCGTTTTTCTTTTTATTGTAAGCTGCGATTTCGCTCAAAATTTTATCATTGGTAAACACCAATAAGATTCACCTATCGGCTAAATATCGCGAAGTTCTAGCCATACACCTTCCCAAAATATGCAAAAAACTTATTTTTGAATTTAACCGCGGAAATTTGTAAATATTTTGATGCATCGGACTGAAAACTACTATTATTTGTTTTCCTGGAAGATCAAAACGTTTCTATGGTGAAAAGAGCGAGAAAACAGCGATTTTCTGTTTTCTACCGTAACACGCCTGGAGCGCGTTTTAGCATGCCAAGACAAAATTCCATAAAGTGCCAATTTTTCAACTTTAGAATGTTCTCTGGCTGATTATGAGAACGCAGGCAAAAAATGGCTTACTTTCTGTGGCAAATGACAAAGTTATGAGGGAAAGTGGAAAACCCCTCTCGGGCCCCGATTTTGGACCCGTCGCCCTGGCTCGAAAATCGAATTTTTGAAAATGAGAAAGGCACCGGGGTTTGGTGGATACAATTAAAGTACGTATCGAACTGTGCATGAGAGCAAAATTCTGGAATGATCTGGCTGAAGTTAATGGTTGATTTTGATTTAAAACCCGAAAATAACGTTTTTTGAAAAGCCGACTTTGGGGCGCTCTTCTAAATTCGTTTGCCATGAAAAGGTTTTATATTTACGTGGGTTTTAGTTAACTACCCAAGCTTGGTCTATGCCAGAAAAGTCGGGGCTACTAAACCCTCAAGAATTTTTTTACGTCGCCTCGAATTCGGGTATATTTGGACTCTTCATGAATTTCTTCTGAGAGATCAGATGGCCCAATAAATTTGTAAATATAATTTTAGAACGCGTCCATTAAGTATTATTAAATAAAATTACGACAATAATTCTAACCGCGCAAATGAATTTTATGGACTGGCACGAAGGTCTGCGAAATAGCACGAATCAACCGTTTTGGAGGCGCTAAAAGGCAACCTTCCAAAGGGGTACGGTAGCTAGAAATTTTTTTCTTGATAGATGGTCACTAGTCCTACACAACTAAGCAAAGCAAACACCGAAATTCTATCTGCAATTTTAGAAATATTTTTCCAAAGTTCAGTTTCGTGACCTCGAGAGAATCCATGACCAGGGGGTCGTCGAAAAACTCAAAAATCCGCGGATCTGAAAAATTTTTTTGATATTTTTGCGGGATTGTATCGAGCCTATAGACATGCTGAAAGAGCTTATTTTCAGGTTTCCACCACAGGTCTTTGTAATATTCGAAATTTACGAAATTTCTCCATATTAAATTTGAGCACGCTATAACTTGCCAACTAGACCTTCGAAAATTCCAAAATTCCGGATGTGAGTAGGGGCAGTCCTTAGGTACCCACATTGTAAAAATTGGACGTATTCGACCACCAGCAATCCAAAAAAAATGCAAACGGAGTTTTGCCGGAACGCACATTTTTCGGGTGTCATTTGTATTGATACGTCGCCAAAAATCGAAAAAATCAAGTTGTGTTAAATCTTCATACCCAGCATATTTAAGCATTCTGGCATGGTAACGTACCTTCGATTCTCAAAGATAAGCGAGATATTTTGGTGCAAACTTGGCTTTTTTTTTTGACGCACCCTGTACTTGAATTTTAATGAATTGGAGTTAATTAACTTACAGTCTCAAATTCGGACGGTGTCGTCGTGCCGGTGTCACCAGAGATTTTGCTCGCCTCGTCCGGAATTGGCTGAAGAAATCATTTATTTTGTGAATTTTCGCAAATTGCCTCTGCTAGCCTGCTCGTGAAATTCCTCAAATAGCCTCTGCTAGCTTGCCCTCCGTCGAAAATGACCTTAGAATATGCTAGTTTGCCAGGGAAGCTTAGAGATTTTTTGAAAATTCGCTGTCTCTCACTCTCTCTCTATCTCTCTCTCTCTCTCTCACACCTCTAGTGGCCCGGGTTTTTCATAAGAATCCTCAATGGATTGTTCCACTTCGGTGGTACCAGCTGGGGTTACTGTAGACGGCTCAGAAGCTACCGTAGTTGGGACAGTTGTCTAAAATCCTCTCTTTCTGAGCTTTCTGCGTATCCTACCGTATCTTCCGCCTCGGTGGTGGACGGCATAGCTACGGTGGTATCTAAAGAAAATTTCAATTTTTCTTACAGTTCTTGAATTTTTAAATTTGGCGTCGTATTCCTAAAGGATCTCTGCTAGCCTACCCTCAATTTTGCTGGCATTCATGTGCTGCTCCACGTCTTTATTTAATTCGTCCACTTCTTTCTTCTCCGAATCCATCGACGAATCTGAATTTCGAATTTTTGATTCGGGACTGATTTTCCGCAAATTGCCTCTGCTAGCCTGCCCCCGTCCATCCCCTCCAATTCCTCAAAGAATCTCTGCTAGCCTGCCCCCGTCCATCCCCTCCAATTCCTCAAAGAATCTCTGCTAGCCTGCCCCCCGTCCATCCCCTCCAATTCCTCAAAGAATCTCTGCTAGCCTGCCCCCCTCCATCCCCTCCAATTCCTCAAAGAATCTCTGCTAGCCTGCCCCCGTCCATTCCCTCCAATTCCTCAAAGAATCTCTGCTAGCCTGCCCCCCTCCATCCCCTCCAAATCCTCAAAGAATATCTGCTAGCCTGCCCCCGTCCATTCCCTCCAATTCCTCAAAGAATCTCTGCTAACCTGCCCCCGTCCATCCCCTCCAATTCCTCAAAGAATCTCTGCTAGCCTGCCCCCCTCCATCCCCTCCAAATCCTCAAAGAATATCTGCTAGCCTGCCCCCGTCCATTCCCTCCAATTCCTCAAAGAATCTCTGCTAACCTGCCCCCGTCCATCCCCTCCAATTCCTCAAAGAATCTCTGCTAGCCTGCCCCCGTCCATTCCCTCCAATTCCTCAAAGAATCTCTGCTAGCCTGCCCCCCTCCATCCCCTCCAAATCCTCAAAGAATATCTGCTAGCCTGCCCCCGTCCATTCCCTCCAATTCCTCAAAGAATATCTGCTAGCCTGCCCCCGTCCATTCCCTCCAATTCCTCAAAGAATCTCTGCTAACCTGCCCCCGTCCATCCCCTCCAATTCCTCAAAGAATCTCTGCTAGCCTGCCCCCGTCCATTCCCTCCAATTCCTCAAAGAATCTCTGCTAACCTGCCCCCGTCCATCCCCTCCAATTCCTCAAAGAATCTCTGCTAGCCTGCCCCCGTCCATCCCCTCCAATTCCTCAAAGAATCTCTGCTAGCCTGCCCCCGTCCATTCCCTCGAATTCCTCAAAGAATCTCTGCTAACCTGCCCCCGTCCATCCCCTCCAATTCCTCAAAGAATCTCTGCTAGCCTGCCCCCGTCCATCCCCTCCAATTCCTCAAAGAATCTCTGCTAGCCTGCCCCCGTCCATCCCCTCCAATTCCTCAAAGAATCTCTGCTAGCCTGCCCCCGTCCATTCCCTCGAATTCCTCAAAGAATCTCTGCTAACCTGCCCCCGTCCATCCCCTCCAATTCCTCAAAGAATCTCTGCTAGCCTGCCCCCGTCCATCCCCTCCAATTCCTCAAAGAATCTCTGCTAGCCTGCCCCCGTCCATCCCCTCCAATTCCTCAAAGAATCTCTGCTAGCCTGCCCCCGTCCATCCCCTCCAATTCCTCAAAGAATCTCTGCTAGCCTGCCCCCTCCATCCCCTCCAAATCCTCAAAGAATATCTGCTAGCCTGCCCCCGTCCATCCCCTCCAATTCCTCAAAGAATCTCTGCTAGCCTGCCCCCCTCCATCCCCTCCAAATCCTCAAAGAATATCTGCTAGCCTGCCCCCGTCCATCCCCTCCAATTCCTCAAAGAATCTCTGCTAGCCTGCCCCCCTCCATCCCCTCCAAATCCTCAAAGAATATCTGCTAGCCTGCCCCCGTCCATTCCCTCCAATTCCTCAAAGAATCTCTGCTAACCTGCCCCAGCCATGCCAAAGAACCGACCGTTGTCCGTAGTTGTACCAAGTAGTGGTGCCTCGGTGCTTTCACCCGATTTTTCGGCGCTTTCCTCGGGTTTTGGGGTGGCTAAAAACAGACTAGTCCCTGTCAACATCCCTTTAAAAGGAAAGAAACTAGGGGAATACCTGGAAGCAGCAATTCGGGCTGGTCGTAGCCATTTGACGCATCTACCGTAGCCCCGGAGCCTTCTGGAAAATTGGATTGAAATGGAAAAGAAAGACAAGCTAGCAGAGATTCTTTGTGGAAATGCATACCAGGTACCGTAGTCGCTTCAACTCCGGACCCTACGACCGTATCTAAATTTTTCAGGCTATTTCCAGCACGTAATCGTTGGCGTACCGGGCGCGTATTGTTGCGTAGTGGTCGTGTCTTCTTGGCCGCTCGCTTCGACCTCTCCGGAACCCTCATCTACCGTAGTCTCCGCCTGAATTTCGGGTTTTGTTAAGGGGTTTAAAGGGGCTCAGACTACAAGATGCTGCCGAGAGCGAAACTACAAACTACAAACCACATACCTGTTTTGTAGTGCTCGTCCCCACGGTGATGATAGCCGCGAATTGATCGCCCTTTTTCTCTACGGGACCCGGCTCTTCCCCAGATCCCTCGGAGACGGTGGATGAACTCGTTGTAGATGTTGACGAGGCAGGAGATGAGGAAGTAGAGGGCATTTCGCCAGAACCTAAATGAGCGGCGGGCTAGCAGAGATCTTTTGGCAAACCAGCAAAACGATTATGAGAGAAAAATGGCCAGCTAGCAGAGATCTTTTGCGATTGAGCGGCCATTTCCTGGAGAGGATGCTAGCAGAGATTCTTGTGGACTAAAAGTAGCGGGCAAGCTAGCTGAGATTCTTTGGGAATTTGTAAGGCGAACGAGTAAAGGTTTTTTGGAGATTTGGGAGGCAGGCTAGCAGTGATTCTTTGAGGAATTGGAGGGGATGGAGAGGGCGAGCTAGCCGAGATTCTTTGCGGAATCAGTCGGATCCCGGGCCAACCAGCAGAGATTATTTAAGAAGAATCCAAGAGCAGGCAGCTAGCCGAGACCATTTGGGAATTTCCAAATCTCATACCTTCGACTTCTGGTGGTCCGGTCTCTCCTTCAACAGTCGTCATCTCACCCGAACCTTCGATCGCCTAAAAGTCGCTTTTTCATCGCGTAATCGGTGGCGTAAACCAGGGGATTGCAACAAGCTGTGGAACTGGACTGTTAGCAGGGGGACAGGAACCAAAAACTGCACATAAAAACAAGAGCTTTTGCGTTATCGGGGGGCAGGTCTGGAAATGCCTAGTAGAACAATGCTAACTAATTTAATAGGGTTTTAGTAAAATGGAGCTATAGTTTGACTGGCTAACTAGTTAAAAATAACCGAAGTTTAATAGTTCGATTTTTTTGCCGAAAAATCCGGCATTTTTTGATAGAAAAATCGATATTTTTGGATTTTTAACGAATTTACGGATTTGAAAAAATATACGTTTAGGAATAGTAGAAACCAGGTTAGAAAACCTCTTCTATTTATATCAGAAAAATTGGGCCCTTAAAAAAGTGGCCCCTCGGTAATTCAAAAGAACGAGGAAAATGCTGCAAATGATATTTTTTTACTTTCGAGTCAAAAATGTATAAAAACTACCGAAAAAAGTGCAAAAATTCCGAATTTAAATTTAAGCAATTAAATAGGCAAAAAATTAAAAATCATCCCCCCGCTAACAGCCCAGCGTATTCCCAACCAAAAATTCAACTAAAAAAAGCAAAAAATCAGGAAAAACGGCAAACTTGTAGCTGATCCTGGTCGTACTCGTCGACGTCGTTGGTAATCTTCGGGAATCGGGCGAGTTCGGCTTTTGATGGAGGGGATGGAGGGGAGACGACACGAATTAGACGGTGGCCCTGCTGCGAGGGGGCATCGTTTGGAAAACAACGAAAAAAGGCCACCGCAATTCTAACCAAAAAGGCTGCTTTAATTAAAACTTAATTTCAGGCTTTATGTATTATTGTTATTAGCAATTAAAGCACCTGTTTTTGTTAATAAAAATTAATTTATTATAGCAAAAACTCTTGGGTGAATTTCATGTCGTAATGCAATTTTTCGGACACATTTTTTTCTCAATTTTTGAAGTTTTTTTGGGGTAATTGCCAATTTTTCTAATTAGCAATCAAAAAACATGTTTTTTTTGATACACCACTTAAATCAATATCATCGAAAACGTCAAAGGCCAATTTCATGTCGTAATGCATTTTTTCGGCAATAATTTTTAGACATTTCCTGGTTTTCCAGCGCGTATTTTTCTTATTTTAAAGCAGCGGGTTAAATTTTATATTAATATTTAATAACCACAACTAAATAACTCAAGATTTAATCATATGAAGCGTATAAAACCTAAAAAAAAACTTAAAAACGCTATTTCCAGGTGCTAAAATTTTTCGGATGCATTTATCGTAATTTCGAAATGATTTTGAATTAAATTGGTCGCCAGAAAACGCAAGTTTTCAATTCAAATAATTTTTAGAGATCACTGAAAATTTTTGAGATGAATTTTATCCGATTTTTGGCTCAAAATTGCGGGCTCTCACCGTTGGCTGTTGTGTTGTGGGGGGTCCTGCTGGGGGCTGTGGGGCAGTGGGGGTGGGCGGCGCCGCCGGCTCTAAACGCTCTCCGGGTACCCTCGCTCTCGTGGTCTTGTGGTGTAGTGGTTATCACGTCTGCTTCACACGCAGAAGGTCGCCGGTTCGATCCCGGCCAAGACCTATGTTTTTGCTTTTTGTTACCTGAGCTCGGGGAGGCATCCGGCGGGGTTTCCGAGGATTTTGCGCATGGTTTGGAGTGTTCTGAACGAATTTGAGGGTTTTTATACGGGTTGAATCGTAGCTATTTACTTCAAAATTAAGATAAATAACGTTAAATTAAAAAAATTAAAAAATTAGCTAAAAAATAAGGTTCTTTTGCAAGACCAATTTTTTTTAGTTTTTAGTTTTAGTTTTTAGTTTGTAAGTCTTAGGTAGCGAAAAACCATCAAAAAACTTTCAAAAAATACTTTTAAAAATTCGAATTTTGGTCAAAATTGGCCATCTTTCTAGAAAAATGTATGGTTTTCGGGCTTTTCAATGGAATTTTGTAAAGTTTTTCGCTTGAAATAGTTAAAACAACTTTTTAACAACACGTTCTCTATTTTAGATCGGAAAAACTTGCCCCCCCCCCCCGATAATGCGAAAGAACCAAAAATAACGCATTAAATGGGTCTTATTATTTTATTAGCTTCTAAACATTGACAAAATTACCGTGTAAATCTTCCTGTGCTCTCTCCATATTCGCATCGCCAAAAATCTTTCTTGGCTTTTCGGGGATTTCTGAAAATTCATGTTTCGGCGTTAAACCCGCGGGTAATTCGTAAAATTTAAATTTTAGGCTAAAAATTGGATAAATCGAGTTTAAAATAAATGGCTTGAAATTACACGATTTACAAAATTTAAATCCACCTTTCACCCCGGTTCCGGCTACTCCAATTTTTGCCCCATCTGGCGGTGGCGGCGCCGGGGGTCTGGCTTGCGATTCTGAAATTCAAAAATTGGCCGGGCAAGCTAGCAAAGATTTTTTCGGAAGCGGAAAAACGCCGAAAAATTGCTTACCAGGTACGGCATCATACTGTGGACGGGCCGATGCTATGGACAGTAGTGTGACGGAAAATAACAAGAAATACGGGCGCATTTCTGAAAAAATTCTTTGAGGAATTGGAGGGGATGGACGGGGGCAGGCTAGCAGAGATTCTTTGAGGAATTGGAGGGGATGGATGGGGGCAGGCTAGCAGAGATTCTTTGAGGAATTGGAGGGGATGGACGGGGGCAGGCTAGCAGAGATTCTTTGAGGAATTGGGTGGGGGCAGGCTAGCAGAGATTCTTTGAGGAATTGGAGGGGATGGACGGGGGCAGGCTAGCAGAGATTCTTTGAGGAATTGGAGGGGATGGATGGGGGCAGGCTAGCAGAGATTCTTTGAGGAATTGGAGGGGATGGACGGGGGCAGGCTAGCAGAGATTCTTTGAGGAATTGGAGGGGATGGATGGGGGCAGGCTAGCAGAGATTCTTTGAGGAATTGGAGGGGATGGACGGGGGCAGGCTAGCAGAGATTCTTTGAGGAATTGGAGGGGATGGACGGGGGCAGGCTAGCAGAGATTCTTTGAGGAATTGGAGGGGATGGACGGGGGCAGGCTAGCAGAGATTCTTTGGGGAATCGAAAAGAAAGGAAGGCTAGCACAGACCATTTGAGAGAGTCACCTCAACTTAGCATATCCGCCAGGTTTGGCAAAATGGAAAGTGGTTGAAGTGGCAGAAGCTAAGTAGTGAAAGGGGAGGGAGAATCCGCTTCTTCTCGAGATATCCATCAAAAAATATTTTTTGGCGGGCGTCGAGGGGGCTTTCTCTCAAAAGATGCATATCTTCTTCTTCAGCTTATGCAAATCGTGAATTATGGGGGATGAGAGAGAGACAGACAAAGAGAAGGAGAGAGAGAGAGACGAGAGAAAGTCCGTTTCGGTGGAACTTGAGTGCATTTCGTCTAGTCCAAAGAACGTGAGATTCCCCAAGAAACCCTGCTAGCCTGCCCCCCATAATTTTCCCACCAGGCTGGGCAGCTAGCAGAGTTTCCTGAGGAATTTTTCAGATTTGGATTAGGAACAGAGAACATAAAGGAAGTCAGGCTTGTGGGTCAGCTAGCAGAAATTTTGCCGAAAGCCAGAGAGCGAGAGAGTGTGAGGCGGAGAGCGATAGATAACGTGAGAGAAGATGAGCGAGAGAAAGAGAGAGAGACAAAGGGTGAGAGCGAGATTGAGAGTGAGAGATATCGAAAGAGAGAGACGGAAAGAGAGAGGGAGAGCGAGAGGGTGAGAGAAAGCGCGAGGAAGTGAGAGAACTAAAGATAGAAAGAACAGGGAAGACCGGCAAAAGAAGAAATTTTGTGAATTTTCGCGGAGTTTTACGCAAAAGGGAGGCAAGCTAGCAGGTAGCTTTTCGGAACCTAGCAGCGCTTCTTTAGAAGGAGTTTAAGGAGTGGGAGAGAGATAAATATCCAAGGGGGGTGAGAGAGAGAGAGAGAGAGAGAGAGAGAGGGGGGGAGGGAAGCCGACTTGAAGCCGAGTCAGGTACTCAAAAATGGTTGCAGATCTCGGGATATTCCATTGATGGTTGCCAGCAAAAAGTGAAGAGGATATAAGGAGTCGGGTGGGAGGAGAAGAAGAAGAAGAAGGAGATCCTTGAAGGGAATAGCCCCACTTAACGACAGACAGACAGATGGACGGTCAGACAGACAGACAGACGATATTTGGGTGGATCTGTAAAGTTAATGGCTCGAAGAATCGTTAATTTAAAATAACATAAAATTGGTTATTTTATTTAGATCAAATTTAAATTTAACATTAAGTTTTCAATTTAAATTTAAAGGGTACTGTACTGTTAGCGAGGGAAGCTTATCTTTAGCTTTTCGCCAATACCTCCCTGTTCATAATATATAGCGTATTTTTCCGATATTTTTAGTAGTTTCTGGTTGCTAGAGAAAAACATTTAACAATTTGAATTTTTTGACTTTTCTAGCCATTTTTCATGCATTTTTACCGAAAAATCAAATAGCTTTGGCTATTTTTTTGTTTTTATGAGTTAGTTATGTCCAAAAAATTTTAAAATGCCGTAAAAATGGATTTTGTTTCGTTCAAGGGCCCTACTGGATTTCTGGGAAAATTTTCCCCGCTAAAACCCACCCCCCCCCCCCCCCCGCTAAGAGTCCAGTACCATTTAAGGGCGGCCCAGAGAGAGGCAGGCTAGCAGAAATGGCTTAGAACAAGAGGAAAATTCCCCAAGGGTCGCTGCTGGCCCGCACCAGGTTTTAAAAATTCCTAAACGATCACCGCTAGCTGCTTTTTTGGGATTAAAGGGACGAGGAAGCCCAGCTAGACCTTTACGCGGCCTTTAGGTGGCGTAATCGATTAACTGTCTAGCATTAAACGTTACAAAATAGACAAGAATTTATAGAGAGCGAGAGTGAGAGACAGCGAAAAATGAGAACCGGCGGCTACCGTAACCCGGAAAAGTACGTAAGACGCTTTGACTGTCTATAGGTGCGTGTTGTATTTGATGGCGGGCCTGGAGAGGTGTGGAATGGAATGGATGGCAAGATTGTGTCCGTCCGTCTGTCTGTCTGTCTGTCTGTCTGTCCCACCCCCCTACCTATTCAGGCTTCCGTTCCACTCCTCGAGACAGGCATCGTGTGCCCGGAGGGGGCCAATTATGGCTCTCGCTCTCTCTCCCTCTCTCTCTCTCCCTCTCTCTCTCTCTCTCTCTCTCTCTCTCTCTGTGTGTGTCTCTCTCTCGCCTCTTTAATGCGTAAAGAGGATGGAAAGGGAATCCCCTCATCGTTGTGTCGTTGTGTTGCCAACCCCGGGTCAAGCATCCGGCACCCCCTACGTATTTCCGACCCTTTCCAGATGCCAAAGCCAACTCGAAAACCAAAAAGCAAAAGGTTTGGCGCGTCCGGGAGTCGAACCCTGATCCTTGGATTACGAGACAGCGCCGATAGCCAATTGGCCAAGCCTGAATTTCAATTATTTTCTTTTGATGCCTCGATAAACGAGTTTTTGATTCCAAAATTGGGGGAAGCGAGCAGAGATTCTTTGAAAAGGCGAAAGCTCCTCAAAACCAAGAAGGAAAAAGTTTGTGGCGCCCGGGAGTCGAACCCTGGCCCTCAGATTGAAAGACAGAGTCGTTAACCACCCGGCCAGGCGTGATTTTTGCTCATTTTCCCTTTCTGATGCCTCAAAAAAGCTTTTTTTTATTCCAGGACAAAGGGCAAGCCAGCAGAGATGCTTTGAGAAAGCGAAACACCCCGAAAACCAAAACACAAAAAATTTGCTGCGCCCGGGAGTCGAACCCTGACCCTTAGATTACACGACAGAGCCGCTAACCACTAAACCATACTCCTGGCATTAATGCTTGTTCTTTCTGATGGACTTCGCCTTCCTAGTCCCTTTAACCAACGGGCAGGCTAGCAGAGATCCTTAGGACATTGTACCAAAATCGAGACCGGTTCCGCCGCGCGGGTTTCTGACGGTTTACCGGGTGAGTACCGTTTTTCTGATCGTGCCTGTCGATAGGATGGGTGCGTAGCCTTGGGATGAAGTTGAGGATGGCCTGAGGGGGGATCTCTCTCTCTCTCTCTCGCTCTCTCGCTCTTTGCCTTCCCTTATTGGCCCTTTTATCCAGGCTCTCGAGATCGCGGGCAGTGAAAGTACGCTGGATTCCTATCGACAGCCTTCGGAAACCTGGGTAAAAAGCGGAATTTACCGGGTTTAGGGACGTTCCTAATGTAAGGGGTCTCTGCTGGCTCGCTCGCTCTCTCGCTCTCTCTCTCTCTCTCTCTCTTAATCTTGCTCCTCTGAAGGGTCCATTGTCAAAACTATCCCCTAATGTTATTTGTCTGCCCAATGACACCTTTTCCGCCACATTCCCATGTACACCCTCTCTCTCTGTCTCAGTCTCTCTCTCTTTCTTTCTCTCTCTCTCTCTCTCTCTCTCTCTCTCTCTCTCTCTCTCTTCCTCCATTCGAGACACCAATTATAAGCATGTCCATATAATCGAACCCCTTGACCTTTTCTCCAGCTTTCCCACACCAGCGACTTTTCCATTTCAGGAGTGGGCCAGCTAGCAGAGATTCTTTGAGAGAGACAGAGAGAGAGTGAGAGAACAAGTAATTTATGACCTCCTATCGACCGTCAAAGGCTGGCTGGCAGAGAAACTTGGGGAAAATACGACGAATCGGTGACGACATGAAATGATCTCGAGGGGCTAGCAGAGATGCTTTTCAGGGAAGTGGCTGGATTGAGAAGTAGACGACCGGGAACTTCACTTTTCCAAGCCGCAATGCCCTATAAACCCTTGTAAAAAATTAGTATAGGATTAAGTTTTTAGGGTAGAACCGAGAAAGAGCCTGACATTTTTGTTCCAAGTCGAAGAAAAATGACAAAAAAAACGTCAACAGTTTCTAAATTTTTAAAAGTGCAATTTTCTAGCAATCAATGACTATCAAAAACATTCGAAAAATTTGCCGCAGTATGGTGAAGGGCAACAGACTCGAGATGGGCGAATATCGCGATATCACTCGCTCCCTGCAGCTCGCCGGTAGACGCGCAAAGTCCATTGTTACCCGAGAATCTATTAAAAACGCTATTGAGATTCCACGATACTTTTTTATTTGCCTGAAAGCACCTTTTGCAGTTTCTTAGATCTACAGAACGTTGTCAAAGCCCGACTTGCCGCAGCTAATTTGGGTCTGGGGATGTAATAACACCCCTAAAACCGTACAAAGTTATTGTTTTTGTGTAAAAAAGGTGTTTGACCTTGTTTTTGCCTTCTTTTCTTACTTTTTAGTTTTTGAAAACTCGGGGCGGCGAAATTGGATGCGGAGAGGTGGCAGAGTTCTCGTGTGCAGAGGGTCGGCGCGTAGCTGACGATTTCGTGAAAGTGGCCAAATTCTGAAGCTGCAAAACCCCCGAAAAACCAACCTGAAAACGTAATTTTTCGCGAAAAATCGAACTTTGAAGATCGGGGATAGTGTTTTTCGAAACGAGCGCACAAAACTATGCCAGAAAAATCGGTTTTTAGGCGGGTTTCACGGCGTTCCAGAGTCGGAAATAGCGCCTTTTCATTCCTTTCCAAACCGTTCCACTTTTCTGATGTCTTTCAGCATTTTTTAATACCCTAATCCTAGTCGATGCTGCTGAACAAGGCGCGCGGCTTGACCCGCTTCGCCTCGTTCGCCCACTGCCAGCCATCGACGCTTGCCGCCGCGTCGCAGTTTGAAGGTGGATTTTTGCTTCGAGGGTTGTCAGTTAATTGGCTCAATTTTAAAATGGTGAATAAACTTTGTTAATGTACTTTTTCAGCACGAAGTTTCGCGCATCGCCACCGTGACCGGGGCCACCAGGAAGGTGGCAGCAGCCGGCGAGGGGACGGCAGGGCGAAATGGTCGTGGAACGCACGGAATGCTAAGGTATTTCTCGCCCTGGTCGTATTTTGCATTTGGTGTTTAGTACGGCGCCCCGTTGCTGGCGTTGTCGTGGATCGTGACGCTCAAGGATTTCCTGGGCATCGAAAAGGTGCAGCTCGACAAGGACCCGATAAAGGACAAAATTAAACAGGTAGATTGGCTTCTTTTCGTTATAAATAGATTATTCTTAATGATAATAAATTTTTCGCTACGACTTAGCTTTTAAACGTTTACAAAATTACACTAAAAAAAGGTGTTTTTAGGTTGAAAATCGTCTTTTTCGGCTTCCAAATGACCAAAAATCAAATTTTTAAGACTTTTTAGAATTTCCAAAAAACTTTGATACTTTAAGTATAGCTGGATGTCACTAAAAATCATATAAAAACTTTATCTGGCTCGAAACTCAAAATTAGGTTTCTACGAGAACCAAAAATCTTTTTTATAAGTAGTTAGATTGATTTTATGTTTTTATTTAACGTTTAAAATGACCCCTTTTCAGTCTTGGCTCGACAGAAAATTCGGCAAATTCGACAGCGCCATTCAAGTGCTGGAGGTTGTCCTCGAGGAGGTCAAGGTAAGCTTGTTTAACGTTAAATCTACTAGGCCTATCGGTTTATTAAGGTTTTAATGGACCGGGGCGCTTTTTATTATGTGTGTGATTGCTTTAATTTTATTGTTGTAATTTGGCCCATTTTCAGGAGCGCGGCGAGGAGTTGCCGATCACACGGGTACTCGACGAGCTCGCCAACACCTACTATCAAGCCCGCGATTTTGTGAAAGCCGAGCAGTACTTCAAGCTCGTCATTGATCGGTGCGTGGCTACCATTCCGAAATGATCTATGCTCGCCTGCCCCGATTCCGGCCTCTATTCCACCAATTCCAGGCTGGTCCGGCTGCACGATTTCCGCGACTCGTCCCCCCAATTCGTCGGCGTCTCGCTGAAGTTGGCCGACATTTTCGCGAGTCAGGGCCAGCTCGACCACGCCGAGGCCGGCTTCAAGCACTGTTTGCGCAAGCAGATGCAGGTAGATCATGGATTTCCGGGTTTTTGACGCTTGTTTCCAGGTTCTCGACGAGCATATGAAGAAGTATTCGGTGGCCCACGGTGCCCTCGTCGAGGATAAGCATCGGGGTAAGGGTTTTTTTTCGGCGTTTTCCGGATGATTTTAGAGCGAGAATTCTCTGAAAATGCGCATTTCATGAAATGAATTCTTTGCCCCTTTTTTGCCCTTAAAATTTTCCAATGACCGCTTTCTACCAAAATGTTTCCATCGCGTAACTGATTCGAAAATCCCCAGCGTTTGTTCGACCGCAATGTCGACGTAAATTCTCTGGAAACCCCGGGGTTTTTGGCCCTGTAAAATCCTGCAAAATCCGCTTTCGACGACAATCTTTCCATAGCGTAAATGATTCGAAAATCGCCAATTTTTAGCCAGCCGGTTATCGCGTTAAAAAGGACCCCTTTTAACCTTTCAAATTTTTTGAATTTCTAAGCTATAAAACAAAATTTTCTGTTAATTTTGCATTTTTATACAACCTGCTATCGGCGCGAATTCTTGAGAAAATAGGTATTTTTGAGCCTCTGAAATTAAAAAAAAACCTTTTTTAACCAGGGTTTCCATGGCATGATCGGTTGGCAAACTGCTGATTTTTATTCAACCTGTTATCGGTGCGAATTCTTGAGAAAAATACGCATTTTTGAGTCTATGAAATTCCGAAAAAATCATCTCTATTTCGGTTTATTTCAGTCTATAAAATTCCAAAAAAAAACCCGCTTTCACCAAGGCGTTCCATGGCGTAATCGGTTATCGAAAGACCGCAAAAAACCCCGAGCAAAATGCCATTTTTTTTTTCCCGGCCACCCAGCCATCTGGCGGCTTTTAATGCCGTAATCAATTACGTATGCAAAAAGGCCAACACGTGCCGACTTATTCCCTTCAAAACCCTCGTTGATTTTCAGTGGAAATGTACGGGGCTGCGTACACGGATCCGATTGCCCTCTTCGGGATGGCGCTCGAGGGATACGCACAATTTTTGGTCAGCTCCTTGCCATTGATTTTATCGTTATTTTTCATGTTCAGGTGAACTACCGCGATGAGGATCGGCTAAAAGAGGCAGAAGAATATATGGACGAGGTGATGAAGGTGAGACGGATTTTTGAGAATTTTACGTTTTTCAAGATAACAAAATTCTCTTGAGGGGTCTTGGAAGCGATTTTTCGCCTAAAGAAAAACCGCTTATTTATGTATTTTTTTATTGAATTTTGCCTAGATTGCGTATCAGATATACGGCGGTTCATCCGGGCACGCGCTCAACCTGCTCAACAATTTCGGGGCCACATGCATCCTCAGGAATCGGTGAGCGTCTCTCTGTCTCTCTCGCTCTCTCTCACTCTCTCTCTCTATCTGTCTCTCTCTCCCTCTCTTTATTTTATTTTTTCAGATTTGAATTGGCGAAGAAGTACCTGGAGATTGGCATCGACCGAATACTGCACGTCAACGAGGCCGCCGAGCTGATTCCGGGGTAGCTTTTACGTCATTTTCAAGCAGTGCAGCGCGATGCGAGGCGACGCAGCCGATCGTTGTTTGCAATTCAGTTCAAATCAAATTTAAATTCTGCCGGAAGTTGGCAGATTTCAACGTCGATTTTTGCCAGTAAAGCGATTACGACATGTAATCCCCGGCGCGTAGAATTTTTTGTGGCGTAAAAAGCAAGGCGATTTTTGATGAAATAAAAACTGATTTTGCTTAGTTTGTGCGAAATTTTGGCATTTTTATGGAAATCCGTTTAAAAAGTGCGCATTTTCCAGGTACTACTGTAACTACGCGGAAGCATTATGGCATACTGGGAATCAACAGAAGGCGCTCGACTACGCGAATAAGGCCGTACAACTGAGCAAAGGGGCCGACACCAGGACACAAAAGTATGGTTTTTGCAGATTTTCTGCTTTTCCGCAACGATCCTTGCTAGCCTGCCCTGGACGCGTGTTTAGGTTGGTTTTGCCAAAAATTTCGCCGGAATCTGATGAATTAGCCGGCAAATTTCGCAGGAGATCTGCGCTCGCTTACCTCGCGTTGGGAGCATTTTTTCCTAAAAGGTCTCTGCTAGCTTGCGCCTGGGCAAACTGATCGCGTTTCTTAGCGCGCTTTAGCAAACGGCTGGGGCGTGCTGGCAGCGATTATTGGGGAAAATTGGGTTTTTTCGTCCTTTTTCCGGCGATAATCGATTACGCGGCGGAATTCCGAACTAATTTTTCCTAAAGGGTCCCTGTTATCTAGCTTCCGGCAGATATTTTTCCTCACATGAGCTTGCCCGTCCTCCAGATTCGTCCAAGGGCAAACTGGCAGCGATTCTTTGGGGAAAATGGAGAACTCTCGGATTTTTCCCCGGCGCTGATCGATTACGCAGCGTAATTCCGAAATAACCTTTCCTAAAGGGTCTCGGCTATCTCGGCGCTTGAGATTTTTTCTCAAATGAGCCTTGCTAGCTTGCCCTCCTCGACGTTCGGGCTTGATTTACTTTTATGGTCCCCGTCCGAAAAGTGGTTTTTCGTGTCGGAATCGATTCAGAATTGTTCGAAATGTCGTTTACAGTTGAAAAAAAGGGTCGGAAAGATGTTTTTGCTAGGAAATATGCACTTTTTTATGAAAATTTGAGGACCATAAAATGGGGTACGGGGGACTGAAGTTTATGGTCCTCGGCTGAAAAGCAATTTTTCTTGTCGGAAAATATCCAGAAATGTTCAAACTATCGTTTGCAGTTCAAAAAAATCGTCGGAAAGACCCTTATTAGCTTCAACAAATGCTTTGTTACAAAAATTCATTCAACCCAATTTTAGCCTAAAAATAAGGCTTCGTGCCACCCGGGGCCTAGTCGCTTCGGATGGGTGCGAGCTCGTACAGTGTTTCGAAATCGGGGCGCCCGAGCAGCGCGCAGCGCCCAGGCGCCCTGATTTCGAAAGAGTGGAGCGGCAGCCCATCCGAAGCGACGGCCCGCCTTGCCTGACAATGCTACGGACCACACCCTGTTCCTAAGTATTAGGGGACCAAGAACATCTTTCCGGCACTTTTTTTCGATGTACTATGCATTACCAACATTAATCTATTGAAATGGTGAAAGAAAAAACACTTTTCAGGTGAGGACCATAAACTTCAGTCCCCCGTACCCCCTTTTATGGTCCTCAAATTTTCGTGAAAAAAATTATTTTCTCCCAAAACAATTTCTTTCCGACCATTTTTTTGAGCTACAAACGACATTTTTAAACATTTCTGGATAGTTTCCGACAAGAAAAATTGCTTTTCAGCCGAGGACCATAAACTTCAGTCCCCCGTACCCCATTTTATGGTCCTCAAATTTTCATAAAAAAGTGCATATTTTCTAGCAAAAACATCTTTCCGACCCTTTTTTTCAACTGTAAACGACATTTCGAACAATTCTGAATCGATTCCGACACGAAAAACCACTTTTCGGACGAGGACCATAAAAGTAAATTTTCCCGACGTTCGTCCGCGGGCAAACTAGCAGCGGTCATTTTGGAAACTCGGCTTTTCGATCTGGGGGCAGACTGGCAGCGATTATTTGCCAATTTTTTATCTGTCATGATTCGATTACGCAACATAATTCCTCGATTCCAGATATTGCCAAGATTTCCAACGTCAACTGCAAAAGGACTTCAACAAGGGCAAAGGATGGTTCGGCTTCTAGGCAATGGGGCACCCCTACCAAATAGCATCATATAGACGATATATTTATGTTATATCTAGGCCATTTAATTCTGATGTTTCTCCGTTTGTTCTGTTTTTTTTTTTGCTTCTTTTTCTTTGACTTTTTGTGTCTATTTATGAGCGAATAAAGGATTTTCGATTTTTTGAACTTTATACAGATTTTCGGATCGACTTTTGAGCGCGTAATCGATTGTGGATTAGGAAAGACAGATTTTTTTTGGTAAAACGAGCTAACACGATCATAGTTTCAGGTGTGGACAACGGAAGTACAGCAGCGTGCGGTAGAATTGGTTCGAGTTGTTCGAGTTCGGCACAAAAATGGAAATGGAATCAGATTGAGATCGAGGAATTTTATGGTCGATTCCAGCAGCTGGGGACCACCATAATGGTGATGGTCACGTGGGGTTGGCATTTTTGAGCGTATGGTGGGAAGGCCTCATGGTATCGCAGCTGTAACAGCACTTCTGAAAAATGTCAGATTTCTTGAGGAGCGTTGGTGATGGTGGGAGAGAGAGAGAGAGTGAAAGAGAGAGATCGTGGTTTAATACCTTTTTCCGAGTTTGGCCATTGAAAGAACCACGTTCCCTTTTCAGTACCGAATTCCTGAAATTCTATCTTTATCGCCTTGTTTTTCTTTCTGACCTCGGCCACATATCGATCGAAAGCGTCACGAAAGGCGATGGTAGATGGCCAATCAGAGGGCAAAGGCTTCAAACCCCCATCCAACAACATATCCTGAAAAATTTCCAGATTTCATCGCCTTTTTGAAAGCTTGAAAAGTGATTTTCTTGTCATTTTAAAAGTTTCAACGCGATTTGGCGCACAAAAATACCTAGGGTAGGTAGTCCCCATTCTCAAATTCCCACAAATTTTGAAATAACGGCACCTACCGTAACCAACGTCACCGGATCGTCGGGCATCTCCTCGAATGCCCCAAAATGCGTCATGAGCTTACCGGGGGGTAATGATGGAGATCGAGGCAACAATTCCTGCAAATTGCCGGGGCATCAATCACCTTTTAAGGGGGCCGGAAAGCGCAAAAATCGACGCTTGTATCCACTGGGTCTCGACAGATACGAGACAAGCCGTAAAAATTGCGAAAATTGGCCCTGGCGTCGACCGGCGCTGCAAAAACCAGTGCCAGTTTGAAAGCACGTCATTTGGAGCGCGGGGCGGCTACCGATAGCTAGCCGATGAACGGGGGCGAACCTGTGCCTACGGGTCCGTTTATAATATCTCGTTACCGTACCAAAACAGCCGGCATACTCTCCTCGATCACGTGACTTTCCCAGATAAATGCTCGTGTGGGCCATGGCTCGAAGGAATCGCGGCAAATTCTGTCGGCGATCATTGTCAATTCCGTCAGCTAAATTCGCCGGTATTTCGCCAGGAAAGGCAGCGTCAAAAACAAGAAACAAGCAAACCAAACTTTCGGAAAACCAACCCCGAAATCCGGCGGTCGCGAAAAACACTTAACGTGCCCCCCCCCCCTGTTTTTATCGACATTTATTGATTTTTTTAGCCCACGGCGCTGCTATTTTAGCACAACGTTTCGCACGCAGCGGGCAAATTTAGAAAATTTTTTCTGTGACGTTTTAGAGATTCTGAAATTTCAAAATTCTAAAATTTAGAGATTCTGATTTTCTGGAGATTAGACCTACAGAGCGTGTCGTGGGTCCTAGCAGTGAAGCCTGAAAATGGTTGCACATAGGAAATTGGTGAGCGTTTTGACGATACCCTTGTGACTTGGAAGACTTCCGGCCGGCCACCGATCATTTGCACGATGCGCGGGGTGCGGGTCTCGTAAGGAAAGACACACCAAAATTTTCTCATCCATCGAATTGCGCGCAGCACAGGGTAGATCTGAAACAGTTCAATGACGTAGGCGACGGGGGGAGTATTGCCAGGGGGGGAACCAATTTTTTTTTTCGGCACATGCCTAGATTTTTTATATAAATAGTGGAAGTGTTACTAAATTGTTTATAGCTATTCCTAAACACACAAACTTTACAAAATTTAATTAAAAAATTTAATGTTAGGTCGAAAAACCAATTTTTCGACCCAAAAATGACAAAATTTTCGACTTTTTCAAGCGGTTTTCTAGGTTTTTAAAAAGTTTTTTCCGATTAAAGTCGGCTTAAAATCTGCTAAAAACAATGTGAAGACATTTTATATTTGGCTACTAGGTCAACCGGGACCGCCAGGTAAAAATTTGGTTCCCCCCCTGCGAATCCTAAAAACCCGCGTGTTTTTGTCGTTCGTTTGTAAGCAGATTTTGAAACATGGTGCTGTAAATAATTACCTCTATGGAACGCGAGTTCTTGTACCACCGCAGTTGTATCGCATTCCATAAAGCAGCGTTGTACTGCCAGCCACGTGGCCCCTAAATAAAGCCTCTCTGATGAATGTACAGGGTGGTGAAGTGTTGTCGTTTTCCCAAAGCGTCCTATCTTTCCCATTGACTGATTCGAGCAATTTAATCAAGCAGGGTAGCTTCAGACCAGCTTTAAAGGGATGCCGACGGCATAGTCAATCGGTTACGCGCTGGAAAGAAAATGTCTCTGCGCCTTTCCCCCAGGGCGCGCTCTCTGCCCTGTTGGCTACTTGCCAATTTGTTGAGGATCGACACATGCCGTCGGCAGCCCTTTAAAGGCCTCTGGGACGCTGGGGTACTCAGCCGCAGGGGTTGCGGCTGGCTGCAGAGTGCGGAAACCATGGCGGCGTACATAGGAGCGCCGCGTGGGGATAGGGGGTGCTCGGGCAGGTCATCCCTCTCCGCCGCCCCTCCCAGTCGGCGAGCGTAAACGAAAATCAGGCAAAAAGCGCCCAAAAAAATTGCTCACCGCACGCTGTCTACACAGTCGCCAATGCTGGAATGGGGTATCATCGAGCGGCTGAATGGATTATAGATTGGGACGATCAAGATGATGAATACCCATACTCCGTCGGTATTGCCTTCAATTGAGAACTCAGCTGTGGAATGGATCTTCTGGAGAAGCCGAAGAAATCCGAGCGTATACGCCGCATTCTTCATACGGTAGCGCCTAGGATTAGGGGGCTAGGAGAGGATAGGGGACTAGCAAGCGTGCGGGGATCGATAACCAGTCGAGCGAAGCGGTAGACGCAGGCAAAAAGTTGAGTTTTCCAAAGGATCCGCTGCAGTAAAAATTTTGAGATGTTTGATACGTAATTAGGTGCGTAATGGCGTTTTGAAAAACTACTGTTTACGCTATTAAAATCGATATTTTGTAAATATGTATATCGAAAAAATGAGAAATTTGCATGCGCCGGAAGTGGGGAAAGCCTCTATTAAAGATGTTGTTTATTCGCTTACCGCAATGGGTATGTCTGAGGATTTACAGCCCACGTTTCACAAGATCGAGGGTATCCCGGTACCACTTCTCCGGGTGTTATCCTGAAAAGTTCCCTATTTTTATTAAAAGAACTACGTTTAGATATTGAAAAGCACGGGGTAGATTTCACTTTACGGTATGTTCTCAAAATGTCGTTTTTCAACGGGAATTGATGTATCCCCAATGAGTTAGTGCGTTTTCGGCTAAAAAACGATTGGCGAACGCTTCTGGAAAAAGTTATAAGCTTTTGAAAATAACCAAAAAGATGGGCAAAAATAATCGCCTTTTTGCAGGGTTTTGCCTGCTAAACACCCAATTTGGGCATTAAAAATAAGGCTTGGTACCAACGGGCGCCTAGTCGCTTCGGATACATTGATTCCTGTCGAAAAAATTACGTTTTGAGGGTAATGTGTAATTATCCCCAAAGCAAGACCTACCACTTCTCTAGACAATGATAGAGCTGTTTATGGGGATATCCGGTGCAGATTCGAACGCCTTCCCGACTCTCCACCATCACATAGATGCCCGTGGCGCGAAGCTGAAGTTGGCATTATTTTTGCATCTAGAGGGTGTCTCAAAAAAATGCACCCCCCTCTTTCTCCGTCTTTTTTTCGTCAATTTTCACCGTTTGTGTATCTATCGAAAGCTCTCGAAAAGGCGAGCAACGAAGGAAGGTTGATTGTCTTTATTATGTCTTTTTATTAGCGAATTTTAGGTTCAAAATAGAGTGGCGCTTATTCAAATCAAATCGGCTTCAAATTGATTTGATTTGAATTAGCAAATTTGTGTGCGAAAAAACCAACTTCAAATCAAATCGATTTGATTTGAATTAGGGGCTGGCCAACTCAAATCAAATCGATTTGATTTGGGATTTGAACAACAGGCTTATCAGGGATGCAAATTGAAAATCGGCGGTTCGGAGGGTTTCAGCACATTTAGGTGTCCTTTACAATAATTCATGGGGAGTTTTGATGACATTTATATAAAATTGAGCCAGACGGTTTTATTTGTCGGATTTAGCCTGCGCTATGGTTTTTCTTTGGAAAAGTTAACGGGTAAAAACAATAATAAATGTATAAGGAATCGTTAACTGGGACGCTGGAACAATGCTAAGAGATTATAGGGAAAGAGCGATGCACGAATTACGAGTTGCGTTGGGTTAATTTCTATGAGGTCTTATCCAAATTATTCAAATCGGCTGGATTTGATTTGAACTGGCGGAACTCAAATCAAATCGATTTGATTTGATTTGGTCGGCTCAAATTCAAATCAAATCGGCTTGATTTGAACAATTGGAATCTTATTCAAATCTGATTTGAATAAGCGCCACTCTAGTTCAAAACCCATGAAAACGGCAGATTTGCGCCAGATCGGCATGCTATTTGCGAAATCCTTATTATCTCTGTTTCTTTCTATCTGTTTTTTTTAAGAAAAACGTTGAATAACGGGCGACCAAAAAGAAATCTTAGAGAATGAAGCCCGCTTGTTTTCTCGCCTTTTTGAGAGCTTTTGAATGGTATAAAAATTATCCCGATCTGAGCTTCCCCCGGACCGCTAGAGGAGGTGCTTTTTTTGGGACACCCGGTAGAATCAGCCGCAAAAGGCCAAATAGCTAGCAAGGAGCAGTTTTTAGGTGACAACGGAGTTTTGGAATGGGACTTAGTCTATCTTGTGCAGAATTTTTGGCTGATTAAAAAGTACTTTGTAGAATCTGCGAAACAACGAGAATCGAAAAATTATGAGGGTTTAAAGTGTCAAAAAAGGCCCAAAATGGCCAACTTTCGGCACCTATAAAACCTGGCAGAATAACTTTCCATGAAAACTAGTTGGCGCATATTGCTCAGAAGATCCGGCTCTTTCGAATGAGCCATCTCACGTGGTAGCTTCAAAATTCCCTCAAATTGCTTAAATTTACACCATGTCGTCGAAATTCATTTTTTCAAGAAATTTTCGAACTTGTTGCGTGAGATGGCTCATTCGAAAGAGCCGGATCTTCTGAGCAATATGCGCCAACCAGTTTTCATGGAAAATTATTCTGCCAGGTTTTATAGGTGCCGAAAGTTGGCCATTTTGGGCCTTTTTCACACTTTAAACCCTCATAACTTTCGATTCTCGTTGTTTCGCAGAATCTACTAACATACGTTTTAATCAACGAAAAAGTCTGCACAAGATAGGCGAAGTCCCATTCCAAAACTCCGTTTGCACCCAAAAACGTCTCCTTGTAAATAACCTGATCGTCGGCGCTGGGTACGAACAACGCCCTGATGTGAAGCTTGGCGACACGACCCGGCAAAAATCCTCTCTCATTCATGCGTCGTCTTAATGATAGCTAATTTTAAGCAATAAATTCAACTTCTACCGCAATGTTTTGGTGGTACGGTGGAGGGCAATCAGGTCGTCTGGCTCGAGATGGTCGAATACCACGCCCTGTAGCTGGAGCGGCAGACGAGCGATGTTGATTGCCTTTGCCGTCATCAGTGCCTCGTTGTATTCTGTCCAGAAAGGTATCCCTTACAAAAGGCCCCCAGTCGCATAAAAAGTTCGTAAAACGCTATTTACCGCCATAGTTTTTGCACTTATAAGCCACAGTAACCGAACTAGGAGAACCCGAATAAACCCAGACCCAGAATTGGCTGAAAAGTTGCAAACAGATCAAATCGACCATGCTGATCATCACCTCGCTGTCGAAATTTTCTACCGATCTTCAAAACTCGAGCTTTACCACTTTTAGAGTGATCTTTTAGTTAAAATCGTCAAACTTCGATTATTTTCATCTTTCCGGCCGGTTTCGCAAAAAAAAAACTATCGCCAACGTATCCAGTCAAAAATTGACACTAAAACATCAATGTCTCGAGTTTTGAAGATCGGTAGCAAATTCGGACAACGAGGTGATGATCTGCGTGGTCGATTCGATCTCTGCGCAAATTTTCAGCCAATTTTGAGTCCGGGTTTGTCCGGGCGCTCCGAATATCTATCAGAATCTCGAAAACCAGAATCTCGCATTTTTAGAATCTCGAATTTTCAAAATCCCGTATTTTCAGAATCTCGAAATCTGCCTATGCTGGATTCAGGGCGTAGGCGTGCAATTTCCGGAGCCTTTAATGCTGATTTAGAGCGTGGAAATTTCGAGATTCTAAAATTTCGAGATTCTGAAATTTCGAGATTCTGAAAATTCGAGACTTTGACAGATTCCCGGGTTTTCAGATTCCCGACAGATTTTCCTAATAAGCACAACGTGGAAATGCCCTGCCAAAACATGAGCGCATGCCCAAAGAATGACCGCTATCGCTGGAAGATCTGAGACGAAAGCTATGTAGTAATCGAGTCAGAAGGTCAGTAGATGCGAGACCTGTGTTAGAGAGTGATCCAGGAGAGAGGATGGGCAGAAAAATGGCGCCAGTTTGCCATTACACGTCGTCAGCGCATGATACCATTTATGAAAGGCCGCAGCCAGCTGCCGCCACCCCCCATCGTGGCATCTATTTATGTGCGAATAAAAGATTTTCGGATTTTTTAACCTTTTTTACAGATATCTGGACACATTTTCATCGCGTAATCGATTGTGAATTAGGAAAGACTGATTTATTTTGGTAAAACGAGCTAACACAGATCATATTTTCGGGTGTGGACAACAGAATTAAAGCCGTGTGTGGTAGAATCGGTTCGAGATGACGCGGAAAAATCATTGAGAAAGCGGATGGGGCAGAGAGAAAAAGACAGACCAGAAAAACACCAGCACGAAATGGAGAACCGTAAGATTTCGACGAGTACACGAATGGACTATCGACGAGCGAATCGCTCAACGAATTTTATTAAGTAAAAAGGGGCCAGGGTTTTGTTTTATTACCCAAGAAAATTAGCTAATTTAAATTAAAGTAATTTTTGGCCGTAAGAATCGTAAAATTGGTTCCAAAGCTCAAAAAAGCGGATTTAATTATTACTGCAATTAAATTATCCACTTTTTTTTAATCCGAATAAGCGATTAAAAAGTGATTTAGATTACTCAAAATGGGGGATGACCAGCAAAATTTGTAAAGCCAGTAGAAAATAGTCAGGACCTGCCTGCTAATTCCAATTTTGGTACGGTAGACTACGGTAGCGTACGGTAAAGTACGGTAGTAAAAACGACAAAAACAATCCTAAAAAATGCCTGCAACCGGCGAAACTATCGGGGCATACGGTGGAAGTACGACTAATACCTAAAAACGGACACAGGAAATTGGCAAAAAATAACGACTATTAACCGTAAGATGGGGGTACTGTAATGGGGGTAAAGCTGCCTTAACATCCCTTTAAAACGGGGGCAGACTAGCAGATACCATTTCGGAATCTGCCGCCCGAATTTCCTATCGTAAGCGAAAAAACCTGGAGACAAAAACAAATCACAGCGAGATCACCGCAAAATAGGGGGCGAGCGAGCGAAAGATGGAGGATGAGAGAGAGACAGAGAGAGAAAGAGATATTTTGATCGAGAGAGAGAGAGAGAGAGAGAGAGAGCTGCCCTTCTAGAAGACGTGCTGCTGCTCGTGCTGCTGCTGTCCCTTGAGCTTCATCTGTTCCTGTTCGCGTATCGTATCGCGGACGTAGTCTTTGAAGGCACGAGAGAGACCCGCCTGCCAGAACACCAGCACCAGCTTGTCCTGAAAAAAATAAATTGAATTTAAAAATGTTCTCTGCTAGACAGCCTTCGTTAGAATGCTCAAAAAACCTCTGCTAGCTTGCCAGGGGTGGGAAGCCAGGTACTGGGTTGTTAGCGGGGGGACAATTTTCCCCAATTTCTCTATAATAAAATATAGCAATTTTTATCGAATTTTACTCCATTTTCAGATACACAATACGAAAAAAACGTATAAATGTTCGCAATTTTTACTTTTTTTTCGTGCAAAAGATGTGAAAATTGACCAAAAACTATACAAATATTTGTAACTTTCTAGAAATCCAGAAATATCCTACTAAAAACAATAAAAATAATTTACATGTTATTTCCGGGAAGGCCTAGACAGAAAAAGAAAAATCAGCTCCCCCCGCTAACAATCCAGTACCGAAAATTACCCGAAAATTCTCCTCCTCTATGATCCCTTCAATTTCTCAAAAAAGCTCTGCTAGTCTGCTCATCGAAAGGTAGCCTTAAAGTGTCTCTGCTTGCTTGCCTTCTCCATCCAAAATTCACGCAAATAATCTCTCAAAATTTCTCAGTTGCTAGCCGCCCCGTGATCTTGAAAAATTCCCCCCATTTCCCCAAAAATCTTTACTAGCCTTCCCGACTGATTAGGTGATTGCTGCTGGCAAGTTCCAAACATTTCCACAAATGGTTTCTGCCAGCTTGCCGCAGCTTTTATTTCCTAAGTTTAAGCAGAAAATTGTTAAATTTATGTTTCAGAATTTTTTTAAGCTGGTCCCCGTCGCGTGTCCCCAAGGGCGTCCAATTTTCACCCTGGTCGTGTCAGAAAAAAAAGGTACCCGAGGACCCCGCGCAGTGAAAAAACGACTGGGAAGAAAGTGGCGAAAAAGCCAGGCCCACCCCCAGGTAGAAAGAGAGTGAGAGCGAAAGAGAGAGTGAGAGAGAGAGAGAGAGACAGACAGGCAGAGAATTAGAGATCCAGAGCCGACCCCGGAATCGATAGCAAGGGCGCAGACGGTCAGACTCCCCCACTGACATGTAGAGGTTGTGGGGTCACAGACTCCAAATAGGCTCAAATTTGGTGGAAAAATCAAATAAAATACGGGGAACATGATGCGATAAAAATTATCTGCCAATGGGCACTTTTGTTTAATAAACTTTTGATTTTAAGATTTTATATGGAAAACGACCTAGAATCGCGACCTGGATCGCCAAAACGGTTCGGCGCAGGGGAGGACTCTTGAAGACTTCCCAAGCGCCCCTTCCCATCGGATCGGTAGTGTAGGGGTAGGGTGCAAGGGTGACAGGCAGGGGTCGAGGGTTCGGATCCCGTCCTTATTTTTAATTTTTGCTTTTTGCTGTTTTCGCTTTTATTTTGCAGTGAGAGGGTCTAGAAAGGGTTTTCGAAAGTTTTTCGGTCCTAATAATCCCGAGGGTTTGCCTGGGCAGAAAAATAAAATTTCGAAAATTTTGGAAGTTTTTTCAAAAAGGTCTACCTACCTATCCCAGCTCGATGAAAACCAACGGAATAGTTAATAAATATTATTTTTTGAACCCATATTGTAAAAATAGAATTATTCCGGCAACCTGAAATCTCTCGGTGCTCCGCTTTGAAGCGCCTAGGAGCCAGAACCACCTATTTTAAGCAGCTTTCAACACTCCCAGGACTCGGGGCTATAGGATAGGTCGTCAAATTTTCATGAAAAACTTTTTTTTTCAGATCAATTTTTTTTCGGGTGTGGAAAGGTGTCTACTGTCGTGGCTGCTATGAAAATTCCATCAAAACATTTTTTTCCCAGCCGGAAGGCCGATAAAGCAGCTAAAAGTGCATTTTCTGAGCACTTTTTCCTCTTAAAATCAAAAGTTTATTAAACAAAAGTGCCCATTGGCAGATAATTTTTATCGCATCGTGTTCCCCGTATTTTATTTGATTTTCCCACCAATTTTGAGCCGATTTGGAGTCTGTGACCCCACAACCTCTACATGTGAGCCTCTGACCACCGAGACTATTAGGGCAAACGAGCAGAGAGGATTTGGGAATTTGAGCCCCGGACAACAAGCAGGGACCATTAGCGAAAATCTAAAAAACCAGGCCGGCTAGCGGAGATATTTAAGACGCCTCGATGAACCCTAGCCGACTAGCAGATACGATTTGCGGAAAATTTTCGCCAGCAGGCAGGCGAACAGAGATCATTTAAAACCAGAAAAATCCTAATAAAAGCTCACGTGAGATTTGGCCTTGACGATGGTGACGGCCTGGTCGATGTGGATCTTCGCGTGCTGGCGCTGCAGTTGGTAGCACTAAAAATAAAACTAAATTCGCAAAAAATAGTACGAGTCCTTTAAAATGCTCAAAGTAACGCACCAGCTTCGCCTTGGCCACCCATTGCTCGCGCGTCGAACGGATCGTCGTCTCCAACACCGTGTACGCCACTTCCGGGTCTGAAAAATCGAGATTATATTTCTCAAAGAATCTCTGCTAGCCTGCCCCCCTCCATCCCCCACCAATTCCTCAAAGAATCTGTGCTAGCCTGCCCCCGTCCATCCCCTCCAATTCCTCAAAGAATCTCTGCTAGCCTGCCCCCGTCCATCCCCTCCAATTCCTCAAAGAATCTCTGCTAGCCTGCCCCCGTCCATACCCTCCAATTCCTCAAAGAATCTCTGCTAGCCTGCCCCCGTCCATCCCCTCCAATTCCTCAAAGAATCTCTGCTAGCCTGCCCCCGTCCATACCCTCCAATTCCTCAAAGAATCTCTGCTAGCCTGCCCCCGTCCATACCCTCCAATTCCTCAAAGAATCTCTGCTAGCCTGCCCCCGTCCATCCGCTCCAATTCCTCAAAGAGCCTCTGCTACCCTGCACCCAAATTCCCAAAAAATCCCTGCAAAACTACCCACCCAATAGCAACTGCTTGAATCGTGCGACGATGGTGGGTATTTGTTGCGTGTAGAGTGGGCGACGACGAATCTCTAGCTGAACACCATCGAGCATGAGGAGCTGCTGTCCATCATGGTGTTGATGGTCATCTTCATCAGGGGCGATCAATCGAATCACCATCACTCCATCTGCTTCAAGAGGGACATCAGTGCCGAGCGGGACGCCGAGCAGGTTGTAGCTGAAAAAAATTTGGTAAATCCTTGTTTTAAGGAATTGTTTCTGGGCTATCGGGCGGGCAAACTGGCAGAGATTATTGAGGAGTCTAGCAGAGAGCATTTGGGAATCGAGGGTAGGCTAGCAGAGATCTTTGTGGAAAACCAGCTTCCTGACAATTACCCCCTAAATATAGCCGGGGCGAGCTAGCAGGACCCATTTAGGAAGTGAAAATCGGGCCTGGGCAGGCTAGCAGAGATCCTTTTAGGAGTCGGGGAGGAGGGCCAAATTTGTAACCGAGGGAGCAATTTTTAAATCATAAATAGCTGCATTGTTCCTAGGCTTTTTTTACTATTTCTAAATGTAAAAGTTTACAAATTTTTTTTAAAACAGATTTTTCGACCGAAATTCCGATTTTTTCAAATATTTTGAATGATTTTAGAGTTTTTCCCGTTGAAATATAGTTTTATTTTACTAAAACAACCATTGAAATACTTTTTATTACGTTAATCAGCATTTCCAGACTCATAAACAAAATTTGGGTCCCACCGATAATGCGAAAGTACCCGTTAAGTACCCGTTTTTAGTCTCCAGAAATTCTGCGCCGCCTCAATTCGAGATTTCCAGGCCACCTCCCTCCCATAGAAAGGGGTTCCCCCTAAAAGGTGACCTCGAAAATCTGAGGGATTCCCCCATTTTCCCTCTCTCTCTCTCGCTCACTCCTCTCTCTCTCTCTCTCTCTCTACCCCTCTCTCTCTCGCCCCGAGAGAGCGCACACTTTTTGCATGGTCGAACGACGCCCATTTGCCCTGTGCGTCCATAGGAGCCGCTCGTTCAACCCGACCCGCAAAAGTTTACGACTCTCCACAGAGCCGGTCGGTCGCTTTTTCCTTTTACTGCAGATGCATCGGCACACTACAGTGCTAATGGGGTTACCCACCGGGGCAGGCTAGCAGTGATTCCTTACAAAAACGGAAAAATCGGAAAATCGCATCGGGAAAGCTAGCGGAAAAATTGAACGGCTATTCCGAAAGAATCTCTGCTAGCTACAAAACGCAAAATTCCTCAAACATCGCTGCTAGCTACCAGAGACTATATTGGAAGCCAAAATCCGACTCGGGCAAGCTAGCAGAGACCATTTAGGAGCCGTTTTCACCCTCCTCCCCTTTTGCATCACCTCAATTCGAGCGTTCTCCTTTCAGAGTTCTCCTTCTTTGCATTGACCTTCCAAAAAGATCAGCGCTAGCTGTTCGGGACGGCAAAAATTTTCAGTGTAGCGATACCTTGAAAATGCCTCAAAAATCTCTGCTAGCTAGCCCCCAGTGCCGAGAGCCATTTAAAACCCAATTCCAATTTCCTTGGAAAGTCCTCTATAATCTCTGCTATTCATAGTCAGGCCTTGCCGGTCCCTTTAAAAAGTGCGCTTAAGCTTTTGCCCCCTCCCTCTAAGAATCGAGTCCGCTACGTGCAAATCCCCCTGGGTGGCCGCGGCCAATTTTAACTCCTCTCGCTCTCTCTCTCTCTCTCTCTCTCTCTCTCTCTCTCTCTCTCTCTCTCTCTCTGATTCCCTCGCTCTCTGAACCGGATAATCCCTAGATATTGGCCGGTGCCCCTAAAAACGTCCATAAAATCCGCAAACCCCCAGAATGGACGACTTTTAACCCGGCTTTTAGGGGACCTGGCATCAACAAATTCTAGTCATGTCACTTGGTGCATTTTGCAGTCTAGGGGCAGGCTAGCAGAGATTCTTTGAGGAATTGGAGAGGATGGAGGGGCAGGCTAGCAGAGATTCTTCGGGAAAATTTGGCAAAATTCATGCAGCGGCAGGCTAGCAAAGATCCTTTACTGATTGATGGTCGCGACCATTTTTTTGGTATTCTGCACGGAATTGGGGGGCGTGATGATTGATCGCCGCCGGGGCAGGGGGACGTCGATTTGAAGTAGATGAGGGGGGCATCTGCCAGGCTGGCTCATTTTCTGTGTGGCCTTTTATAGAGGATTAGAGGGGGGACACTGTTTATGAGAGAGAGAGAGCGAGAGAGAGAGAGAGAGAGAGAGAGAGAGAGAGAGAGAAAGGGAGAGAGAAAGGGAGAGAGAGAGCTCTGCCAGTTTTGCCATCTGCCCCCTCAAAGCGGAAGGAGGAACGCGGGGTCGAATTGGTGACCAAAAATCACCCAGCCAGAGAAACAAAAAAACCTCTTTCAAAGGCCCGAACAAGGCAATGCTATTTTTCTACGATTTCCACGCAGATCTACGTGGCAGGCTAGCAGTGACCATTTGGGGAAAGGTAAAAAAACTGACTGAAATCGCTGGCGATGCGTGTCACTCCATCCGCACATCTTCGCGCAGCCCAGCGGCAACAGATTCGTCAGGGACAGCAAGAATTGACGGCACAGCGGACGGCTCGTCGATTCGGCGATTACCTGGAAATTAAAGTTAGGGAATTTGAAAAATTCGTTGAGATTTGCTTGATTCCGTTTCACGCCTTTTAACGTTTAAAAAAACTTTTCTCTCTATCGCTCTCTCTCTCTCTCTCTCTCTCTCTCTCTCTCTGTATCTCTATCTTATTCGTTCCACCAATTAGTCGCTCTTCCCATATATCCTCCCATCCCCTCTGGGTGTCAATTGGAGTGTTGCGGACTCGCTACAGCCCCCTCCAGCGCTTTTCCGCTCCAATAACCACGCATCGAACGAATATATTGACAGGTCGCACGTATGCTAATTGGGATCGGCGGAGAGAGAGAGAGAGAGAGAGAGAGAGAGAGAGGGGAGAGAGAGAGAGCGAGAGAGAGAGAACGAAAATGGCCAGAGGAGCGCAACGGAATCCGCAATGATCTCTGCTTGTTGGTAAAAAGATTGGAATAGGGCTTCAATTGGAATCGATTCCGGAAGTGCTTTTTGATCAGCAAGCAGAGATCATTGGGGAATCTCTCCCTCCCTCTCTCTCTCTCTCTCTCTCTCTCTCTATCTCTATCTCTCTCTCCCTCTCTCCTCTAAGTGCCAATCCAATTCGGAGCTTCTCCTTCCCGATCCCCTCTCAAATGTCTGCCCAGCCGTGCCAAATCTGATTTGCAACGTTCGTTTGGGCATTTCGGGTGGGGAGCGAGAAGCTGAAGGAGAAGCTGATAGTTAGTCCAACCCCAAGATTTGAGCGCGGATCAACTTTAGGACAGATTTTCCAAGCGTCATTAGGGATGGAAGGGAACTAGATAAAAAACTCAAAAATTCCGCAAGGAACCACTGTTAGCCTGCCCTAAAAACTTGCCCGCACATGTTCGAAGCGTCATTTGGAATTTCAGGGAATTTTTTACACCCGGAAAACGATTCCAAAAAAAACAGAAAATTATCGCCGCTAGACTGCCCCCAATCTCTGCCAGAAAAAGACTCCGTACATTTTCCCAGCGACTAGGAATGGAAGGACCCTGAAAACCGTCATTAGGCATTTAAGGGAATTTTTTACACCCTTGAAAACTGACCAAAAACCCGCAAAGAATCACTGCTAGCCTGCCCAACCTCCGCCAAAAAATTAGAACCAAAAAAACCGGGAAAAACTTTCTACCTGTCCGCCAGTGACGATGTGCTTCAACAACATATCCAAATCGGCCGTCGACCCATCACGGGACAGCAGCAGGGCTATCGTCTAAAAACATGGTGTAATCGATTACGCCCCGAAATGTGATACAGTACCTTCAGATTCTGCAGCTGCAGCAGGGTGAGATCGTGGGAATTGGGGGCGTCGAGGTCGAGCTCTTCGATCTCCGTGTCGTCCATTTCCATCATTATCTGCAGAAACAGAGCGTTTCAAGGGACAAAAATTCAAAATAAAATTTTACACAGTTTTCAGACCTCAACAGCTCACAAAAAATCATCAAAAATTTCGAAAATTTGGTATTTTCGTCAAATGTCTGAAAAATGGAAAAATGTTCAATTTTCTAAATTTAAAAACCTGAAAGGACGAATAGGGGGAAAACGAAAAGTAGCTTCCCCCCCTGCTAACAGTCCAGTCCCGTTGATTTTAGCCCTCCCGGCCCCTTAAAGCAAAAATGGCACTTACAAGCATATCCTGCGTGGGCACCCCCTCCAAGATGACGTCGCCCATCCGGATGGCCTGCGAGCGCAACGTCCACATCATGTGTCTGCAAACATGGAATTAGTAGCGTATCGGAAACGTGTAAAAACGCCTTCAAAAATTAAGCATTTTGATGATTTTCCGGGAAAAATGGTAATTACGAGATTTTTAGGGGCTAAAAAATCCATTTTTCGGGTCATTTTGCCGGGAAAATACGTGGGGGTCCTGCAGCGAATCGGCTAGAAACAAAATGAGTCACACCACGCAAATTTTTGCAAGGAAATTGAGCCGACACCCCCCGGCGGCGTGCTGATAACGGCAAAAGTTTTGACGCGGAATATAGACGATGACGAAATGAGGCGAAAATTGGCCCAAAAAAGAGAAATTCTGCCGGAAAAAAAATTCTGAAAACTCAAGAAATTATATAAAGGATTCAGAAGGCAAATCTCTACCCCTAAAATTTACAGCCAGCAGCTGCGCCGTCCTTTAAAGGGGCAGGGACAGCAAGATTTCGACCACTAGAGAAAGATTGAACTAGGAGACGATCGTAGCCAAAATGGGGCGACGAGACCATAAACAGGCGGCCGAGTCATAAAATGAGCCCTCGCGGTGCGCCCTTTTCGAAGCCACGCCCCCTAGATAATTATGGTTCTCTCTCTCTCTCTCTCTCTCTCTCTCTCTCTCTCTGTCTCTCCCACTCTCTCTCTCTCTCTCTCTCTCTTCGAAAAATTCCCCAAGGAACGCTGCCAGTACGCCCTGAGCAGTTTAGAGGTTCAGTTGGTTTCTCCAAGGATCCCTGCTAGCCAGTCAGGCAGTGAATTTCAAAAATTGCACCAAAAAACGCTGCTAGCATGCCCCGGATACTGTAGAAGATCGGGTCAAAAACGCACGGAACATTTCCACAAAAATCTCGGCTGGCATGACCTATACAGATTTTCGAAAAATTCCCAAAGAAACGCTGCTAGCCGACCCCGATACCGTGGAGGATTGCGTCCAAAACGGCATGAAAATTTTCCCAAAGATCCCTGCTGCCCCGCTTACACAGATTTTCGAAAAATTCCTTCAAGAAACGCTGCCAGTACGCCCTGAGCAGTTTAGAGGTTCAGTAGATTTCCCCTAAAGATCCCTGCTGGCCTGCCCTAAACGGATTTTCAAAAATTCCCAAACGAGCGCTGCTAGGCTACCCTGCACAGGTTAGATGCGCGGGACTGAATTTCGCTGTACATTTCCCCAAAAAATCCCTACCAGCCTGCCTAAACGGATTTTCGAAAAATTCCCAAAGAAACGCTGCTAGCCCGCCAGATGTGGGTGAGGCGAGAAGCGCTGTCGAAATACGGCTGTCGATTTCCCCCAAGATCTCGGCTAGCCGGTCAGGAAAAGACTTTCGAAAAATTCCGAAAAATCCCTGCTAGCCCGCCAAGCTAAAGGCACCAAGAAGCCAAAAATTTGGAGGGCCGAAAGCGGCGACCTTGAACGATTTTTTTGGCGGGTCGACAATGGGATGGGGGGACAGGTGGTGGTGGTGGAGGTTGGCGTGTGCCCCGAATGAAATGAAGGAGCCGCTTGTCCAGACGAGAAGGCGAATATATACGAAATTCACGGCGGCAAACTAGCAGAGACCCTTTGGGACTTAATGAGGCCCAAAACCCGAAATGGGGCAAGCTAGCTTAAATACTTTGAGGAATTGCTGTGGGCAGACCGGCGGAGAACATTTAGGAACGGCTGGGTCTTCAATGGGGCAAGCTAGCAGGGATTCTTTGCGGAACTGTGGGTACCGTAGCAGAAGTCATTTGGGAACCTCTGAGCGGTGGAACAGATAATCGGGCAAGTTGGCAGAGTTTTTTGAGGAATAAGGCGGCAAGCTAGCAGAGATCATTTGGGCACAGCCACCAGGACTAGAAAATGGGGCAGTCTAGCAGAGAGACTCGCGGGAACATTTTGAAATCCCATTTTTCCGTTCCGAAATTCGATTTTTGGAGACATTTCCACATTCCCTAACGAATTTCTGCTAGCCTGCTCGACATTCCGGCACGGCAGAGGGAGGGCAAGCTGGCAGAGAAGCTTGCGGATTCCAAGGATCTCTGCTAGCCGGCCAAAAGTCGGAAAATCGCTAGTGAAGAATGTTGAAATAAGTTTTGGGTGGGTAGGTGAATCGACGCGCCCCAGGGGGAAACGAAAATTTACGCTGGGTGCCGGCGAGGGGCGGGGAAGGGGGCGGGGCTTATTTCGAAATAGATAGAGCTCTAGGGGGAAAGTAGGGAGAGAGAGAGAGAGAGAGAGAGAGAGAGAGAGAGAGAGCGAGAGAGAGAGAGAGAGAGAGAGAGAGAGAGAGAGAGAGAGAGAATGTGTTATGGACGCACGAAAAAGGTAGACAGACAAACACATGGATCGAGGGCAAATATAGAAAAGAGCGACGCGCGAAAATAATTCCTTAAAAGGTACGCAACAGAGCTACTTTAAAAGAGCAAGATTCTTTGAAAAAACCAGTGGCAGGGCAGGCTAGCAGAGATTCTTTGAGGAATTGGAGGGGATGGACGGGGGGCAGGCTAGCAGAGATTCTTTGAGGAATTGGAGGGGTGCAGGGGGGGGCAGGCTAGCAGAGATTCTTTGAGGAATTGGAGGGGTGCAGGGGGGGGCAGGCTAGCAGAGATTCTTTGAGGAATTGGAGGGGATGGAGGGGGGCAGGCTAGCAGAGATTCTTTGAGGAATTGGAGGGGTGCAGGGGGGCAGGCTAGCAGAGATCATGTTATAGATGTATACAAACGAGGCTGTGAAATATCTATCTACTGCCAGGGCCCCAAGGAGAGAGAGAGAGAGCGAGAGAGAGAGGGTGAAATAGGGCCCTCCTCATGCCATTTCCCTCGAGTAGGGGGGATCGGATTCACATCCATTCCATCCCCCCAACACGCCAAAAAAATTCTATGTAAATAACGTTCGAATTTCGCTCCAGATTTTGCCACAAAATTTCAGAAAAAGCGAGCAGGCCAGCAGAGATCATTGAGGAACTTCCGCAACTCTAAAGGGAGTGTGTCAGCTGGAGAATCTTCGATTTCGTGGTTTCACCGGGGAAATTCCTAGTTTTTCGGCCACTGAAGACGGATAGAGGAAGAAGGGATCTCTTTCTATGGGCCCAGATGTTGGCCACAGATTACTCTGGAAAGAGAGAGAGCGGGAGAGAGAGAGATAGACCGAGAGAGAGAGAAAGAGAAATAGAAACAGAGAGCGAGAGAGAGACAGAGAGTGCTATAGAGCAATGCCTCCAAATTTCCCCAATGCTCTCTGCTAGCCTGCGCGATTCCAGATTTAAAAAAACCCCAGCAGGACAAGCCAATTTCCTCAAGAATCCCTGCTATCCCGCCTCGGGCAGCCATCAGGGCCAGCTAGCAGAGATTGCCTGCTGAATTCGAAAATTCTTGAGAAACGAAGGGAACGAGAAGAGCCGTGGCCCGAATTTTGCGGTAACCAAGTGAGAATTGAGGGGAAGGGGGCGAGAGAGTGAGAGAGTATGGGGGAGGGGGAGCGGGCAGAGTGAACAATAACCCCCGTGAATGCACAAAAAGGGGCGTGGCTTCTTCGCTCGTTTCCCCTCCTCGGGCTGCTCGTTTTATTTTTTATTTTGCGCCCCCTGCGTTGAGCGGAAGGGACGGGAAACACATAGTAAGTAATGCGAATCGGGTGGGAGAGAGTAAGAGAGAGAGAGAGAGAGAGAGAGAGAGAGAGAGAGAGAGAGAGAGGTAGGGAGAGAGAGACAGGCCCTTCTAGAATTACCGGTTCTTTCGCATTATCGGGGGGGAGGGGAGAATCAACTGCTCCTTCATGATTTTTCAAATATTTTTTACTATTTCTAACGTAAAACTGTGTAAATTCTTATAAAAATACAAAAACACGATTTTTTTGACCAAAAATGGGTGATTTTTTACCAAAATTTCGACTTTTTTAAACTTTATCAACGTTTTTGGTCCCTTTTTAGTTATATTTTCCTAAATACACCATCAAATACGCCCTCCCCCCGATAATGTGAAAGAACCGAATTACCGTACTCCTAGACCGTGCTGTCAACGACTTATCTCTCGGTTTGCCTTGCAATACCCCCTAATCTCTCGGCTACAAACACAGACACACCTTATACGGGACCCACTCCCCATCATTCGCCCCGATCTATGAATCAGACGCCCGCCACCCATCACAACACTGCCCCGGAAAGGCCCGGAATCTGGCGTACTACGGAAATTGAGGCCGCCTAGGGCAGACTGGCAGAGATTCTATGAGGAATTTAGGAAAGCGGAAGCTCCAGGCATCCTGGCTGAGGTTATTTAGGAGACCCTCTTTTTGGTTCTGGACTGTTAGCGGGGGGGGGGTATTTTTAGCAGGGGAAAAATGCCTTTGGGTTTTTCTGTTTTTGTTTTTATGCTAGAAAGTTACAAAAAAATATAAAAATATTGGCAAATTCGAACTTTTTGCTTTTTTTGGCCATTTTTCATACATTTTTGCACCGAAAAGTCCAAAAAATTCCGAATTTTCTGAATTTTTGTGATCAAAAATGCTGTAAAATGCTATAAAAAAGGTTAATCTTGCTTTATTATAGGGCCGTCGGGAATTACTTGGAACGATTTGGTCGCGCCTCCCCCCCCGCTAAGCGTCCAGAACTCGTTTTTTTGGGGTTGTTGTCGGGCCATGGTCCGCCTGCTGATGATGAGGTGTGCAGGCCCGCTCCGATCAACACCTCTTCTACCCCCTTGTCGGCGTGCAGAAGACGTAAACAGCCCCCCGTTTTCTATCCCCCTTCTGGGTGGTCCACGACTTCCGACTTTCCTCAAAGAACCCTGCTAGCTTGCCCCCACTGTCAAAAAGTGAGCGAATCCCGCAAACTACAAACTACAAAACACACTCAAATGAGTGACTAACTGTGGGTGCCATTTTTGCGATCTTTGATCGGCTATGAGGGGGATTGGCATAGTGAGAGTCTACTACCCTAATAATCCGTCATTTTGTCTCCTCGTTAACCTGGCTGAACAAATAGTCCGAAGCGAGAGAGCGGAGAGAGAGAGAGAGAGAGAGAGAGAGTGACAGGAAAGTGTGAATGCCCGCCGGGCATGGCGGAGGTCAAATCTCACCGCAGCCATACAACCTGTCACTACACAAATAGCCGTGGCCGAACCGGGGTGCAATTTCGTAATCCACGTCCTCAAGGTTATTTGCTGGATTGCCACGCAAGCGAAATTCGATTCCTAAGGGGTTTCGGCTAGAATGCCCGGGTTCCAAAAATCAAATCTGGTCCGGTATTAACCTAAAAATAACTAGTAACTGAATTGGACGTATTTTCATAATGTTTTTAGTAAAATAAAACTAGATTTTCACTATAAAAGCCATCGGAAAACTGAAAAAATTTGCAAAAACTCAAATTTGATTAAAAAGGCCACTTCTGGTCGAAAAATCTATATTTTTTGTATTTTTAAAATGTCAATTTGTAATGTTTTCACGCTTAGGAGTAGCAAAACCAGTTTAGAAACACTTTCGCTATTTATTCTTTTTAAAAAAAATCGGTTGCTAAGAAAAAATGTTCGTCCCCCACCCGATAATGGGAAAAAACCCTGGGTTCCTAAAGAAACGCTGCTAGTTTGCCAGGGCCATTACTGCTAGCCTGCCCTCCATCATCTTCCCCAATTTCTCAAAGAATCTTTGCTAGCCTGCAAAGCCGCAAAAAACTCCTAAATGACTCTGCTAGCCCGCCCAACCCTGGAGCAATTAGGCATGAAATGTTTAGGCAATACGGAAGTCGGCAGGCTTTTAGAGCCAGAGAGAGAGAGAGAGAGAGAGAGAGAGAGAGAGAGAGATAGTGAGAGAGAGAGAGAAAGAGAGAGCGAGAGAGAGAGAGAGAGAGAGAGAGAGAGAGGGAGAGAGAGAGATATAGTGAGAGAGAGAAACAAAAGGCCCATCCGGAGAGCTGAACAATAGCTGACGCAATATTCATGTGTCTAGCTGCCCCATGCAAAATGGACAGATCCATCAAAGAGGGAGGCCCTGGATGGGGGAAGAAGAGAAGATCGACGGCACCTTTTGATCCTTTCCGGATTCTGATATACGCGCTATGCCTATTGACAGGAAATGTGGGAAAGAGGGGAGCAGAATGGACAGAGATCAGAATAGAAAGGGGCAGGCTAGCAGGGATTCTTTGCAGAAAGCGGCGAAATCCAGCTTTTACAGCTTTTTAAAATAGTTGTTTTTAAAAACGCCCTTTAGGAGGCAAGCTTGCAAAGATCATTTGGGAAACCCTGGAAATTAGATCAGATTCATCGGGAATTTCTACAGATACGCTACCAAACCCGGGCCAGCTAGCAGAGGCCTTTGCGGAAAGAGCTTCGCTACCGAATAGGCAAGCTTGCAGAGATTCCTACGAAAAAACCGGCAGTCAGTCGAATTTTTAGGGCGGCAAGCCAGCAAATAGCTTTGAGGACCTGACTTTTCATCAATAACGAAAACTATATCCGAAGGCAGGCCAGCAGAGATTCTTTGGGAATCGCTGCAGAGCCAGAATGAAGTTCTGCAAGGCCTGATTCGACCGGTATTTCACGACAAAAACGACAGCCAGAGAGAGAGAGAGAGAGCGAGAGAGAGAGAGAGAGAGAGAGAGAGAGAGATGCAGCGAGCGACAGACATTCGAACAAAAATACGGAAGAGCGATTATGCTGTGAGTTCCGGGGAGGGATGGGCGAGGAGACGAGGCAGCCCCGGAGGAAATTACCCCCCGACCCGCTCGGACTCGCTTGCTACAGCAGCAATCAATGGAGGGAATGGCGGATGTAGCAGAGATCATTGGGGAATCGCTGAGCAGGCTAGCAGAGATTCTTTGAGGAATTGGAGGGGATGGACGGGGCAGGCGAGCAGAGATCTTTTGGGAAAATTTTCCGGTGTATCGGTGCCGATTTTGCATGCGGCCCGGGTTTGCGGACCTACCGCGGGCCGGGGACGGGCCCTTCCCCGGGCCCAGCAAATATTGAAGCCGGGCAGCAAAAACAGTCGTGTGGCCGGGCAAATAGAGAGGCGAGAGAGAGAGAGAGAGAGAGAGAGAGAGATATGGGGGAAACGGGTCCCGCCACGAGCCGAGAAAACCCGCCGAACGAACGGCGTTCGGAAGGAGGACAGACGGAAAGAGACTGAAAGGAGTTCGAACGGCTCGAACTTGAGGGCGTTATTCTAAAAAACCTCTAGTTGCTCTCCAATTCCTCAAAGAATCGCTGCTATCCTGCCTCGTCAAATTTCCATCGCCAATTGTCCAAAAAAAAATCCGCTAGTTTCTCTGCTAGCCTACCAAGGTCCGAATCGACTGGAGAGCCCTGTAAATTCCCAAAAAATCTCTGCTAGCCTGCCCGATTTCTCGGGATCCATTTCAGCGCCCAGCCGACTACATAAAGCCCAGTGGACCGAGCGAACGACGTTCCGAGGGACAACAGAGACCCCACACGAAGCCCCTCCATCCTCTCCTCTTCAAAAGATATAACCAAAGCACAAGGTCTTTTCCGGTCTCTCTCTCTCTCTCTCTGTCACTCTCTCTCTCTCTCTCTCTGTCTTTCTCTCTCTCTCACTCTCTCTCTCTCTCCACTCTCTCGCCATGCTGAATGAACCGCGGAACGGCATAAAAAGTCTCTTCAAAACCCCGGGCAAATAGCCGCCCCGTCGCCTCCTACCCACAAGTGGTCTTCTCGTCTGCGCTAGGGAAAACCCCGTTTTTGTCCCTACCGTACCCTAAGCTACCGTAAGAATTTGGTTCTTTCGCATTATCGAGAGACAGTCGAAACAAAAATTTTTGTATAAGTTCAGAAATTCCCTAGTAACTTACGATAAAGTATTCTAAAAACCTTTTTTAGCAAAATAAAACCCTATTCCAACCAGAAAACTATCTAAAAACTTTAAAAAACACTCAAAACGTCCCAATTCTGGTAAAAAAATCCAAAATCTTTGTCGAAAATCGATCTTTTGTATTTTTAACAAAATTTCCGAAATTTTTCCGTGTAGAGTAGGAAAAAAGCATTTTAGAAACACTTCCGCTATTTACATTTCAAAAATTGACTCCAAAATTTTTTTTTGTCCCCCCGGTAATGCGAAAGTGCCAAGACTTGGGCTTCTACCGGGTACACGCCTAGCAAATTCCCAAAGATCCTCTGCTAGCCTGCCTTGTTCAATTTCCAATTTAAACGTAAAATATCCAGGTCAGATCGGGGAGTCAAGGAGGAGTAGGTGGGGTTTTTCAGTACAGTAATAACTATTTTGAGGTGGGTAACCGGTTTGGATTTTTACCAGTTTAGCCGGGGTACGGTAATACGCGCAAAAAAACTGACCGATGCAGCCGTATCCAAATCTTGTCGTCCCCGGTGACGACCTGCAGCGTCCGTTTCGTGTCCAGGGTTATCTGGAAGAAATTGAAATCGTTCAAAAGGGACCGGCAAGGTATGGCTATGGATTTATGGGTCTTTTCCATTATCGGGGGTGGCACCGAATTTTTGCACATGTCTAAAAATGTCCAGTAACTTGAGCGGAGGTGTTTTATCAGGGGTTTCAGTAGAAAATGACAATTTTAAACTAGAAACCTCCCTAAAAACTTCAAAACAAAACGGTAGAATTTTTATGAAAAAAATGGCACTTTTCGTCGAGAAATAGATTTTTGATATTTTAAAAAAAAAAATCCGTAATCCTCATTCCTTTAAAGGCCTCTATACCTTTCGCGACAGCATATTGTGCGGAATTCGGGCCACCCGGGTCGCGTTGTCGGGCCGAAGCATCTCTTCCGCCCTCCGCATCGTGTCGTTTTCTTGGATGTACGTCTCCTTCGCCAACGACTAAAGAAACAATTTATTTTTTAAACTTTCGTCGTAATATGAAATGTTTTAATATGGCAAAACGTTAATTTCGGTTTTTGTCGAAATTTTGGTCAAAATCGTCCATTTCTGGTTAGAAAAAATCGCTATTGTTGTGTTCTAATAAGATTTTGTAACGTTTTGACGCCTAGGAAGGGGTTCCAAAGACCTTAAAACTACGCCAGGCGCCTATCGACACCGATCGCACGCAAAAAGTCACCTTCATCTTCTCGGCGATCGTCCGCAGCGCCGACAGCAGAAAGTGGTGATTGTTGAGGAGAAGCGTGTGATCGGTCGAGACAACCAGCAGTGAGTAGAGACGATTCAATCCGCGGGCTTTCGCGTCGGGTATTCTAAATTTAGCGGTAATAATTATTGGCATAAAAATGGATTTTTTTAGATTTTTACTTTTTCTTAGTTTTTCCTATTAATACGAAATCCAAATTTTTATAGCTATTGGCAGTTTTTGGATAAGAAACGCTCATCAAAGTCTATAAAACATCGGTATCTTTTTGGTCAAAAACGTATGGCAGATGACACCAAGTTTCAAAAATTTAGAACTTTGCAACATTTTTAGCAAAAACACGCGTAAAACCGACCGAAAAGTGAGGGCGAGCGTATAGCCGTGCTCGGGATCGCCAAAAACAATATTCCCGTCGTCCTCCTCGACCTCGTGCTCGATCGAAGTCTCGCTGCGCAGCGGCCCGTGTGTTCCTGAATTTCGGAAATTACCGTAATCCGGTATACCTCTTTGAAAAGCTCAAAAACCCTTTTTGCCAAAACGAACCTCGCAAGCTGGAGCGCTGCCTGGGAGCCCCTTGCGCGACGGCCACCTCACAACTCAGCGACCGATGGCAAGCCGTGCGGATTCGATCGAAAACAACCTCGCTGACGGCTACCTGAAATAAAAATAGGTTTTTTCCTTGTCAATTCAGACGATCCTGAGTTCCTACTCCTTCTCAAAATTAATGACAAACCTGGGAACTGATATAACTGGTCCGAGCGGAGTGATCATTCGAGAGAAGATAGCTCGTTTGCCCCAACGACGTACAGGCATCACATCGATCCTCTGGGTCGTCCAGCACCGTCGGCCAGACCCCATAAACACGGCTGACGTCTTCCTGAAACGAGAATATGGCTTTTGCAGCCTTCAGGATCATTTTCACCTACCGTTTGGACAAAGGGACCATCGCTGGCGCTGGTGCTCGGCTCACACGGCGTCGCCAGCCCTGAATTGAGCAGCGGGGCGAGTTGAAAACTAAAAACTGATGATCCCGACTGAAAAACAATGCTCACTCTCGCAGCGTCTGGCACGTCACGACGACCCGTGGCCCGTGCGTCTCGCAGAAATGGCACAGCGCGATGGCCGCCTGCATCGCGGCGCCTGAAAATGGGTGGTTTAGATACAAAGAAACGTCCAACAACATCCAGACACCCTGAAAACGGGTCCGATTGCGCAAAATAATTTTCCAAACGGTTTTCTGTTTATGCCAACACAAAATTGATAAAATTTTTCGGTTTTTGGCGCATAAACGTAAAATCTCGCCATTATGCCCTTCAACATCAAAACGCAATAATTAGCGCAATTTTTTATAATTTTTACAAAATTTAATAGGTCGAAAAAGTTGGGGTTTCTCGCCCAAAAACGTGAGTCTCGTGGCCGGGTCTAAAGCTCTGGCTGGGCGCCAAAAGTGTGACGGCATACGTCTTGGAGGATATAGCGCGTCCTGGGACCGTAATCACACTTCGCACCCGGCCGCTCGATGGCCGGTGAGCTGAAAAAGCCCGAAAATGGAGTCCATTTCCTCATGTTTGAAAGGGAAAAATAAACTTTGCATGCCCGTTTTCTGCGTATTATCAAATTTATTCCCAAACCTAGTCCCTTTGATCAGATTTCCTTTTCTTTTTCACCCTTTGCAAACCTAAAAATGTAACTTTGCGTCTGGCCGGGGACCATGACGTTTCCACCGCGAGATTTCCGCCGATTTGGCGTCATAAACATGGAAATCCTTCCAAATCCAAGATCCTACTATATATAAAAAATAGTGTGTGTGTGTCTGTGTAGATTTGCATCCACTTCCGGGGGACCATGACATTTCCGCCAACGACAATTCCGCCAACGGCCAAAATGCTTGTAAAATGCGCTGTTTCATGCGTGTAACAATCCTAACTATTTTTTTCTCGCCCGGATCTAGCTATTACAGAAGAAATAACAAACGTATGATGGCTTTTTCTTCAAAATCGGATTTTGCGCCTGAAAAGGTAAAAAACGCGATATGATGCCCAAAACAACCCTCCCGCATCGTAATTTCTTCTCTACTAGCATGTACTTACGTTGATTGAATTTATTAATGCCAAAAACATAAAGAAAATCTTTAATTTGGAAAGTTTTGTGTGTTTTTGGCCTCAAATTGGCGGAAATGTCGCTGGCGGAAATGTCATGGTCCCACTTCCGGATGTATGTTCCGCTCATAACGGGACAGGGAAGAAGTTTTCCGGCATGTTTGATACGTCGCTTGGTGCGTAATGGAATGAAGATGACTGCCGACCAATTAGATTTTTCAAAATTTACTATTTTCGACATTAAATTTAGGTTTTTGTAAAATTGCCTTTGTTAGGCAAAATTTGCATGCGCCGGAAGTGGATATTGCCTATAAAATCAAGCCACCGAGGCTCTTTCCCATTTTCGTCAGCGGGATTCGAGCCGAATATGCATAGTATTTTTGTGATCGGACCTAGACGGGGCCCAGGGGTGAAAAGCCGCGGAGCGGCTTTTCAACCCTGGTTATCTTTCTATTTTCGCTATTAATAAGTTCAATCAAAATACGTAAAGACTAGTAGAGACGAAATTGTGATGCGCGGGCGCTGGAGCTTTCCGGCGCAAAATCTTTTTTGGAAGCAAAAGCCATGATACCATTGTTATTTATGCTGAAACGTCTAGATCCGTGTCTACGGAAGAATGTGGACTATTTAGTTTTTAGCTTGAAAAGCCATTTAGGTTTGCGCTTATCCATTTATGTAATTTTGTTGCATTTTCACCCAGCCCTGTTGAATGGCTCAAAGGGAAAGGGCCTTTTTCAAAACTAAAACGCGGAACCCGAGGGATTGGCACCCACGGTATGGCCGAGATTTTTGACAGAACAGCACCCGTTTTTCTATTGGCCAGATGCTTTCTAGATAAAATGGCTACCCGTGCATGAGCTCGAGCTGACTAGCAATAACCATTTTTACGCTTCTCGATCTCATTGCTTGTCTTCATTCGTTTGTAAATGCAATCTTTTTGTTCAATCGACTAATGCGTCGTTTTACAGAGCGATGGCGCAACCACCAGCGAAGCCGGGCCTCGACCGGATGCCGTGGTACGAGAAGTACCGGCCGACGAAGCTCGACGACCTCGTCTCGCACGACAACATTGTCAAGTCGATGCGCAGATACATCAAGTCACGTCGCATGCCCAACATGATCTTCTATGGACCGCCCGGTGTGTTTTTAAAAAAATCTTTGGCGGGTTTTTTTCAAAGTGACCTCTGCGGATTGAAAGCGATCATTTTCATTTTATGTTTTTTAGGCGCCGGCAAGACGTCAACCATCCTCTCCATGGCCCAAGAAGTCTATACGGCGAAACACGTGTCCGCCTTCGTGCTCGAGCTGAACGCCTCCGAGGAACGCGGCATCGAAACAATCCGGCAGCGCGTTCACCCGTTCGCCGCGACGAAATCGCTGCATGGCGACATGAAGAAGATCATCATCCTCGACGAGGCCGACGGCATGACCAAGGACGCGCAGAATGCGCTGAAGCGAATGATCGAGAAGTATTCGCGGAACGTTTCCTTCTGCATCCTGTGCAATCATCTCTCCTCGATCATTTCCGCCATTCAATCGCGATGCGTAAGGTGCGGGCTTTCTTGATTTTGGCTCCGCTAATTTTGGCGTTCAACTCATCAATAACCTTGTTTTTTAGGTTCCGGTTCGCTCCATTGTCCCTCGAAAAAATTCGGCCGCGCCTGGAGTACATCATCGAGACGGAGAAGGTGAATGTGACGAACGAGGGCATCGAGGCGCTGTTCGATGTGTGTGAGGGCGATATGCGGCGTGCGCTCAACGTGCTGCAAAGTGCCACGCTGATCTACGACGTTGTCGACGAGGAGGCAATCTACAAGGCCGTCGCCCAACCAACGCCCGCTCATATCCGCGATATTTTCAAGGTAAATTTTTGCTTCTAGATGTTCTTTTGCTACGGAAAGGCCAACAGAAAGACGCGGTTCAAAATCTATGCTCCTCTTTCCAGGTGCTGTTGAACGACACGCTGGCTGACTGTTGCCGGAAGCTTCAAGCCGAATGCGTCTCCAAGTCGATCGCCGTCGTCGACATCATCAAGCGGCTGCACGACGCCGTCTTCGAGCTGGACATGCCCCCCCAAGTGCACATCGAGATCCTGATGGCGTTGGCCGACGTCGAGAAGCGGCTGTCGATCGGCGGCTCGGAGAAGGTGCAGCTGGCCGGACTTTGCGCCGCCTTCATGCAAGCACGTCATCTAATCGCCTTGCACGCCTGAATCCTCAGAAGATGATCATCACCCGGCTACCTCCACCGGATATTTCCAAGATTCCAACGCACCTTGTTATTTTTGCGTGCCTTTGATGACTTGTAAATGTATCCATTTCCACCGTTATCGTCTCATTTGTATGCGATTGTGTAATGTTTGTAATCCGAGGGATCTGATCTTGCGAATTTGTCGAGCCCACATTGCCCTCCCCTTCCTTACTGGTTCATCAAACGATATTCACTCTCTAGATCCGATTCTCTCACTTGAATTTCCCGGGTGTCCTCTCTCTACCGATGATCTTCCGAATAAACGCTCAATTGCAGGTAGTTCGATTTCGCCCCCAAACGAGCGGCGCCCGCAATTCGAAATGTCAACGGCCACGTTGTCAGTTTTTTTTTTTTGGAATTGAGCTTTTTCTTCTTGGTTCTTCTTGAAATCGCTTTTTTTGCAGACTGAGCACGGTGCCCGAGCAAATTGGCAGCTGGGCCGAGGCTGTCGAGCAGGATGATCACGAACGTAAGCGATTTCTGGAGATTTTTAACAGTTTTTCGTTCAGCTCGCGACGAACTGTTGAAGGATGGGATCAAGACGGTCACCGAGATGATCCGCGAAGACGGGAATAACTACAAGGTACATTTTTGGCTCTCCAAGCACTCGATCGAGATGGAATTCTTCATTTTCTACCATATTTTTTTGCAGGTCGTCACCCAGTTCAAGGTCATCAAGAAGAAGGTACCGAAAGTGGTGGCCGAGCGGAAGCACTGGAAGAAGTTTGGCGCCTCCGAGCACGACCCGGCCGGCCCACATGTTGGTATTTTGCGTAACGCATTCTTGAAACTTCGATAGTTCATAATATTACCTCGTTCAGATTTCGACGACATTCGTGGCCGAAGAAGTGGAGATGCAATTCGTGCGCAACCGCGCCGGCGAGCAGGTGCTCGACGTGCAGGAGGAGAAGCAAGCGGCCAAGACGACCGCCCGAGAACATTGCCGCCTGTGCAAAGGACACGACCATTGGTCCAGCCACTGCCCCTACAAGGAGATGTACCAGACCGAGGAGGATCAAGCCGCCGAGGCCGCGGACAAGGCCGCCGGCCCGGGTGCCCCTGGCCGCTATCTGGCACCGGGAATGCGAGGCGATCGCGTCGATCAACGGAGGTTTGTTTTGGAGTGTGCCAAAAACACCCCCGCTAACTCGGCGGTCGAGGATCGGATCAGATTGATGGTTGTACCGTTCAAACGGCATGGAAATGGCGAGTTTACAACCAACATCCAGCCCGAAAAGATCTGACCATTTTATTGGTTGTAAATGTCGCACTTGAATCAAAACATGGTTGTGAAGACGGTTGCAAACTCGCCATTTTGCGGGCTTTCGAATGGTGTAACTACGATTCCGATCCGATATTTCTGCGTCAAGTTAGAGGAGTATTTTTGGACACCCTGTGAACCCGGCCGTGTATTTTTGTGTGTATTCCCTTACATTCCTTTCCTACAGATCCGATGAAAACACATGCCGAGTCACTAATCTACCTCAAGAAATTGACGAGCAAGAGCTGCGTGCCGTTTTCCAAAAGATTGGACGCGTCCAGGTATCCTATCGTCCATTTTGCGAAACTGCTAGTTCAGCGCGTATTTATCGCCCGCGACAAGGTGCACAACCTGCCGAAGGGGTTCGCCTTTGTGACGTACGAGATGCGACAAGACGCCGAGCGCGCCATCAAAGAGTTGAACGGCTCCTTCTTCGAGCACATGGTCATGCGTGTCGAGTGGACAAAGTATGCTTCTTCTTTAGAGTTATTGATGTGTTTTTTCAGCCCGAAAAACTGAAGGTTCGTCAGCTTCCCATCGAGGCTTAGAATCCCGGATCTACGACTTCAGCGCTCTGGAGTGACCTCCCGTCTTGTTATTTTCCGTTGTTATCTTTTAAGTCTCGTGTTTTGACTTGAATAAAGTTTTATCACGAATGGATTTTGGGCTTTTTGGTTCAGAAGTTTAGTCTTCTATGAAAATATCCGTAATTGTTCCTTTTTCACGGTTCTAGGGCAGCGAGGTGATTTCTGAAAAGCCCGTTTTCGAAATTACTGGCGCTATCTCCGTTTAACGGACCCGCTTTGATTGATTGTTTTCGCTGCGTTTTGCCACCGATTCTAAAGGGCCTAGAGCTCGAATTCTTGCCTAAAATCCGCCCGGTTTGTTGTTTTTCGGCGTCAAACTGCGTCAGGATCGGTACTGGTAAACCAGAGTAACCGCTAAACCGAAATAGCGCCAATTTGTTCTTTCGCTTCAATTCTAACCCCCCGATTTCAGATGGGCCTCCTCACCGTCATCCGCAAGTTGCGGGCCCGTGAGCGCGAGATGCGGATCCTGATCCTCGGGCTCGACAACGCCGGCAAGACGACCATCATGAAGAAGTTTCTCGGCAAAGACACCAACGAAATCGCGCCCACTTTCGGTAATTTTTCTGCGAGCTGCTTGATTTTTCGGTTTAGGATTTAACATCGAGACGGTCAAATTCAAGGATTGCAACCTGAACCTGTGGGATGTGGGTGGGCAGACGAGCTTCCGCTCATACTGGAAGAATTACTTTGAACAGGTAAATTTCCTCAGAAAACACATAAATCCCTTTTTTCTAGACCGACGCTCTTGTCTGGGTGGTCGACTCGATGGACCGCGAGCGATTGGAGCAATGCGCCCAGGAACTTTGGGTAATCATTTTGATTTTCGCTTTTGTAAACCACTTCAGAATCTGCTACGAGAAGAACGTCTCCTCGGCGCCACCCTCCTCGTGCTCGCCAACAAACAAGACAGACCGTCGGCGCTGAAAAGCGAGGACATTGCCAAGGTACAAACTTTTATCGATAGCGCCAATTATTGATTTGTAGATACTGAACCTGGACGCGATCAAGACACACCATTGGCGCATCTACCCCTGCTCGGCATTCACCGGCGAAAACCTGCTAGAGGGGATATCCTGGGTGTGCGATGATGTCTCCAGCCGGATATTCACCGATTGATCTTCAGAATTTCGTTGTATGAGTTTCTCTTTCCGTATTTGATAATTTATTCATTTTTCTGTAATAATTCCTCGATCGTCTTTGATTCCACTTTCGCTTTTTTTTTCAAATCCCCCTCAGGTAGTTGTGAATTTGGCTATTGATATGAATCCGATTATTTTGTGCTCGTGCGTGTGCTTGTGATCTTATGTCCTTACGGGTCTTTCTGGTCTCACGTCTAACCTAATAAAGATATTTTTTCGCCACTTTTGTTGAGATTTTCTTGTTTCCGGTTTATGGCCGAATGTATCTATTCGATTTGTCTTTTTGCGTCGGACGGCGTGTACTATCAACTATAATAATTTTCTTGACGCGTCTGTCTGTCCGTCCGTCCGTCCGTCTGAAGCCGAATTCAACTCGAAGGGGAAAAGAGCTAGAGCTTAGCTCTCTTCGGATTCGGATAGAGCGCCCTCAGAAACCCCCAAACTGATAAAAAAATTATGAAAAAGTTTTAGTTTAAATTAATAAAATTAACTTTGAAAGTGGTGCCTTAATAAAACGAGTGGGGGCCCTCTCCCGGCTCCCGGGAGGCCACGCCCCCTTTCCCTTCGCCCCCCCTTCCCCAGGCCCTTTCCCGCGCCCAAATAGCTTTTTAAGTTACTTTAATACTTTTAATACTTTTTAATACTTTTTAATTATGTTAATTAATTATTTAAATCATCTAAAGCCATCGGGAAGATATCTAGGTAGTTTTTGAACGGGATTTCAGCCATGGGGGGGTATCTGAAGCCATCAGGAATGTATTTAGGTAGTTTTTGAACGAGATTTCGGCTATGGGGGGTATTGATGGAGGTGGGAAAGGATGTGGTGGAGTGGGACATGTAGGGTAGCCCGAAGGCCAGATGGTTGCAGTCGCGAAGCGACTGTAACCATCTGGTGATTCTATATCGTTATACTTTTCTACGACCTTTTCTTATTTAATTTTCAGGCACTTTGTAACCGGAACCCCGCCAACATGACACAAGCCCAAATGCAGATGGTCGCCGAGCTGGAGATGGAAATGATGAGCGACATGTATCGGAGGATGACGGGCGCCTGCCAGGAAAAGTGCATCAGCCGTACGTTTAAGGTTGGTTTTTGCTCCGTATTGGGCCCTTGACGCTTATCTTTACCCGAAATATACCAAAAGGTCGCCCGCTGTAATGCTTGCCTTTGGCGGTAGTCTTTCCGCTTTCGCCGGTTTGGCAAAAATCCAACAACTCGTGTGATTTCAGGAAGCTGACCTGACCAAGGGCGAATCGGTGTGCCTGGACCGGTGTGTAGCCAAATACCTCGACGTGCATGAGAAGCTCGGCAAGCGCCTCACCTCGATGTCGCAGGGCGATGATCAAGCCGTCCAAAAAGCGGCCGCCGTCCAAGGAGCTTCTACATAACCGCGACAATCCCCGCTCGTCCCCTTGATTCTCCCCATCTTTAGCCGTTCGTTGATTTTTAGAGTTATCGTTTGTTTTTCTTCCCGCTCTCGATTTGTCGTGATTTTCTTTTTCTTTGTTTTGTCAATAGGGTAGTTTGTAGTCGAATTAGAAAACATAAAATTGCTGATATTGTGCTCATTTCATTGTGTTTTGACTTTCGCACGCGGGTTGGGTTGATCTGGAGCTGAATAAATTGCTATTGTTATTTTGGGTCTATTTCTGCTTTGGTGCTATCGGTTCAATGCCGAATGATTATCTTGTTTATTTTATGAATTTGTATTTTTTATAATTGCCGATCGATTTGCTTATTGGAACGTTTTAGGTAACTCAACGATGCCTCCGGTAACAATGCCGGCTCCCGGGGCCCCGCCGGTCGTCTCGAGACGAGAAGAGGATTCGATGAACAACGAGCAGAGCATGAGCGGCAAGGCCATCATCGGGCTCATCTTTCCACCGCCGGATATTCGAAGTTCGTTTTTTCAGCTCTATCTACTTCCTTTCAAATGATGAGCAAATGTTATCGCCTTCTTTTCAGCAATCGTCGACAAGACGGCCAATTTCGTGGCGAGGAACGGCGTCGAATTCGAGAACAAGATCCGCGAGAAGGAGGCCCAGAATCCGCGCTTTTCCTTCCTGCTGCCCACCGATCCCTACAATGCCTACTACAAGCATAAGGTAAAAATTCAGGCTCGGGATAAATTTCCGTTTTTCCAGGTCAAAGAACTACAAGAAGGCAAAGAGGAGGCTCCGCGAATCCAAGTGCCCGAGGCTGTCAAGGAGCACGTGAAGAAAGTGGCCGAGGCGATCACCCGCCCCCCACCGGCACACGAATTCAGTGATGATCCGACGACGATCAACGCGTTCGACTTGGACCTGATCCGGCTGACGGCGCTGTTCGTCGCGCGCAACGGCCGCTCATTCATGACGAATCTGATGAACCGAGAGATGCGCAACTTCCAGTTTGACTTCCTCAAGCCGCAGCACAGCAATTTCCAGTATTTCTCAAGGCTTGTCGAGCAGTACACGAAGGTCGGTAACTTTTTTTTTTGTGTTTTCAACGCAAGTTCATTGAAAAAGCTCTTTGTAAACTATATTTTTAGGTCCTCATCCCATCCAACACCATCACCAAGGAGTTGTCGGAACAGCGCGAGAAGAAGCGGCTTCTGGATGACGTCGACAAGCGTGTCCGCTGGGAAAAGTACCAGAAGAGTCTGAAGGACAAGGAGGAGGCCGAGCTCGAAAAGGAGCGTGTCGCCTACGCGCAAATTGACTGGCACGACTTTGTCCTCGTCCAGACCGTCGACTTTTCGGCTCAGGATTTGGGTAAGCAGTTTTTACGTTTAAATCCAATGTCGCTTTTTAGGCAATCTCCCTCCACTCTGCACTCCAAACGACGTCGGGGCTCGAATCCTGCTCGAAGCCCGCAAAGAGCAAGAAAAAGCCAGCGAAAGCGCCGCCATGGACATGGAGGAGAGCGAGAGCGAGGACGAGCAAGAAATTACCAACGAGGTGCCCGCCGGGCGTGTCGAGGAAGAGCAGGAGAAGCCGAAGACGTCAATGGATCTACCGATGGACATGCTGAACCAGCCGGTGCCGATGGCCCCCAACAAGGGCAACATCATCATCAGAGAGGACTACGATCCGAAGCGGGACATTGCAAGGAGACCGACCGTCGAGGAATGGATTGTGTCGCCGCTCACTGGCGAGCGCATCCCCAAGAGCAAACTTGCCGAACACGTCAGGTTCGTCCGATTTTGGAATTTCTTTTTATTTTGATTTTCAGATACAACACCGTCGACCCGCAATACAAGGAGGAAAGGGAGCGACAGCAGGCCATTTCTGGGCCCGAAGAGCAAGTGCTGGCCCCTGGAATGGACATCTCCAAATATCTCAACAAGTACGTTTTTTCTAAATTTCGAGTAATCGCTCGGCTTCAGATTCGCCGACCGTCGTACCGATATCTTCGGTGTTGGAGAGGAGGGCGCCAAGCAGACGACGATCGGAAAGAAGCTCGGAGAAGCTGACAGCCTGCCAAAATCCGTCAAGGACGGGGTACGTTTATTTTGGCGCTTCTTTTGCGTTATCGGGGATCGCTTTTATTAGACCTCCCGAACCCCCCCCCCCCCATTTACCCCCATACTTGTGGGGGTTGGATGGGGGTCATAGGGGGGTTGCGAGGGGGGTAGGGTGGGGGTTGGGCGGGGTGTTCGAATGGGGGTTTTGAGGGGTGTTGAAAAAAAAAGTTGAAAAAGGCTGAAACGATTTTAAACCTTAAAAACATTAACTTAAAATAGTCAGAATTTTTCCCAATGGGGGTCTTTGGGGGTTGGAATGGGGGGTTCGAGTGGGGGGTCCATTGGGGGTTGGCAGGGGTGTCTGTTGGGGGTTTTGGTGGGTGTTGCGATGGGGGTCAAAATGGTGTCTTTGGGGGTAAATGGGGGGGTTCGGGAGGTCTAGCTTTTATGCTTGGACTCGAATCTTTCAAATTGAAATAACGGGAGTGGTTCTAGCGTGTTTTTTTCCACTGCTCCGAAACGTAAAAACTACACATTTTTATGCAAAATACACAAAATATCTTTTTTTTTCCACCAAAAATGGCCGATTCCTGAGCGAAATTTCGGCTTTCACAACGTTTTCAGATAGTTTGTCAGTTCAGATTTGGTTTTTATTCCAAAAAACGCTAATAAAATACTTTTTAGTAGTTTAATGGGGATTTTTAGGTGTGAAAATCGTGTCCCCGATAATGTGAAAGCGCCATTTTCGCGTTTCCTTCTAACCCACCCTTCTTTCCAGATTTGGGACGGTACGGCCGAGACGATGGAGGCGGCCACACGAAAGGCCCAGGAGAACGTGTCGATTTCGGATCAGTTGAAGCAGCTCCACCGGCAGCACGGCTATCTGGCCGACCCGGAGAAGGAGCGCATCGGCGCCCACGTTCCATCGTCCAGCTCGGCCGCCGACATTCCACCGCCACCGCCCGCCCAGCAAGCACCGGTAAGCTTGTTTTTATGTCCTAAAACAACCACTTTAAAGTTTTGAAAGAATGTTCAAATTACAAGAAGAAAATAATACGGTGGTGACCTCGTTTTCCCTGGCGCATTTGACGTCATTTTTTTCAGCCGCCACGTCCCCCTCCCACGCAGCCACCGGTCAGCCAGATCCCGCCTCCACCGGCGATGGCGATGCCGCTTCCGCCTCGTCCGCTGCCACCCGGTGCGGCGGCGCTGCTGAACCCGATGAACCCGATGCTGCTGCGGCCGCAGTTAGTCCCGGTTGGTCTTTGTTAATTTTAACACATTTTGGCAAAGATTTTTACGTCTCATAAAACTTCCATTTTTCCATTTATCACCAGGGTTGAAAAGCCGCTTCGCGACTTTTCCACCCTGGCCCCGTCTAATCCTATGATGTTCTTCGTTTTGCATAAAATCCAATTCCAATCCACATCCCCAGATCGGATGACAAAAAATGAAAAACGCTCCCTTTGGGCCTTTATATAGGCTACTGCAACTTCCGGCGTATTCTAATTTTATCCTAACAAAGTGGGTGTCGGAATTTTTAAGAAAAACTTGTTTTTAATGTCGAAAACACCATATTTTACAAAATCCGATATGTGTGCAGTCATCTCCAGCCCATTACGCATCTAATGACGTAGCAAACACCTCCTCAAACCGCTCCCCTCTCGAGATATCCTCCGGACACCCTGACGGAAGTTGCATGCAAAATGGCACACACACACACACACACATACACACACACACACACAAACACTATTTTTTTTATATATAGTAGGATTGTGTCTTTGCAGATGGTGCCGCAAATCGTGCCGATGATGCCAATGATGCAGATTCCGCAGCCGATGCAAATGCCGACGATTCCTCCCCGACCGGCCCTCGACATTTCCTCCCAGCCGCCAGCCAAGCGCCAGAAGACCGAGGAGGAGCTCGAGCCCGAGGATGTCTGGAAGACGAAGGTTCGTTATTTTTTGAGGATACCGTGCGGCTTATAGTTATGTTGTCGAAATTTCAAGGTTTTTTGAATTACCACGATATGAACGTTCGAAACCATTAAAATTTCGGTGAAATGACTTATGCTGCTTGGGTATTCTCGTGGGGAACCCATTTTTCGCCTAGGAATCAAATATAGGGTTTTTATTGAGTTTAGTATGTTTTAACTGTATTACAAGCAGGATGCTTTAAAAAAAGTTGGAAATATGATCATTTGGGTCGAAACGAGCCCATTTTCGACCTACAATCAAATTTTTTATTTAAGTTTTCATGTTTTTATGCTCAGAAATTGTTAGTGTGTGTAAACAGTGTGCAAACGCTTTCGCTATTTATAAAAAAGCTAGGCTTACTTGCAAAAAGCATGTTTCCCCGTGAATATTCAAGTATCAATTTTCGACATAATCATAATATTTTAAAAAAAGCTTATTTTCTGTTTTCTAGGTGCCGGCCTCGCTGGAAGTGCGTGTGCTGCTGCCGCCGGAGCCGCAATGGCAGATGGACGGCGGCTCGGTCGTCTCCTTCACCGTCCCAACAGCCGCCGCCATCACCACCCTCAAGCAGAAAATCCAAGAGCGCTACCAGATGCCGCTGAATCGGCAGAAGCTCACGTTTGATGTACGTTTTACAAATTTTAGCTAAAAATTGTTTTTGGACCCAAAATGACTACATTTTTGACTTGTTCCAACATTTTTCTTACTTTTTTTGGAAGTTTGCCCACGTTAAAGGGCTCCGAAATCTGGTCCACGGCCCCCTCCTGTGATTCCTGGCAAATAGCCAGATGCGGCCGCGCCGCATAGGCTTTTGCTTTTGTTTGGACGCGAAAACGCTTGAATTTCAAAATCCTGATGCTATTTTTGGAATCCTCAACGAATTTTGATCATTCCAGACTTTTAAATTATGACAATTGATCAGAGAATCACCGAGATCGATAGATTGGGTATTACGACATGTAATCGCCGCGCATTCCAAATGTCGTTTTTGCGCCAAAAAGGATTCGGTTTTTCTCAAACATTTTACGTTTTTTCCCAATCAAATCACTTTTTTGGCACTTCTAGGCGGTGACCCTTTCGTTTTTTGACCCGTAGGTTCAATCCCCGCACGCACGAATTTTGACTTCTGAGCCCCTTTAAATATAGTTGAATATACTAAAAACAATCTACAAACGCTACATTTTCGGTATTCATAACTTTTTTTTCAGGGCATCGTGCTGAAGGACACGAACAGCTTCGCCTTCTACAACGCCGGCCAGAATTCGTTCTTCACCCTGCAGACCAAGGAGCGCGGCGGCAAGAAGAAGTGAGAGAACCCGCCACTACAACGCGTCAATTCTTCACAAATTCCGGTCATTTTGTTTTTACTTGTTTTCGTCTTATCCTTCTCATTTCATCGCCACTTTGTCGATTGTTGCAACACGAAAGATCTTCGTTTTCTCAGATACGTGTTTTCCTCCTCATTTCGTTATACAATTATCTTCTACAGTCGTTTTCGCAATAAAAATTCGGTGCCATGTGAACCATAGATTCCATATTGGGTTATTTTTCCGAAATTTCAGGCCATAGTGAGACGTGTAATTTCGATCTGCAAGGTGGTGAAAACGTATGTCAACAATTAGCAAAGGTCGCACGGTTCGCACACCTGTTTTGTCTGAGTAACACAGCGACCCGGCTCCTAGTAAACCGTCCAGTAGAATTGGAATCGAAGGAAGACCGCAAGGCGTGCGAAAACTAGCCTAACTAGAAAACTAGCCTTACGCGGCTTGATTTACCTTTATGGTCCTCGCCCGAAAAGTGTTTTTTTCGGGTCGGCATCGATCTAGCTATGATCAAAATGTAGTATTCAGTAAAAAAATGCGCCGGAAAGCAGTTTTTAAGGGCTAAAAAGACCTTTTTTTGCTAAAATTCGGGGACCATAAAAGGGGGGGTACGGGGGTATGTCGTTTATGGTCCTCGGCTAAAATCCATTTTTTTTTCTTGTCGCAACAATCCAGAAATGTTCAAAATATCGTTTGCAGTTCAAAAACAGCGCCGGAAAGACCTTTTTAGCTGCAAAAATTATTTTGGTACAAAAATTCACACTACAATTCATCCTTTAAGAAAAACGCGCACGAAGGGGCCGGGGGGAGCTAGACTACGCCGCGCTCCAAAACCCTCGCGTAACTGGATAGAAAGCAAAGGGGCAAAAAAATTTTTACTTTCATCACGCTGTAACTTTTTTCAACGCGACTTTCATAATCTACTTGAACGCTGGAAAAATAGAAGAGAATTTTCTTTATCTTATGAAAGCGGTTTCGCGAAAATTGAGCGTGGCAAACGGGACTTCTGATTTTTTGAAGTTCGAAAAATGAGGTGTCAGTTATCGAGTGGGCTTGTATCCAGCTAAATACTAGCCCAAGCACCTGAATTGCATTTTTTTTGTAGACTCTCGGTTATAAACCACTCAGATAAAATCTAAACTTGAGGTTTTTGAGATTTACTTGACGGTTTCAATCGAAGTTTTCAACTGGCCAGAACTTTTTTCGACGACGGTTTTCGAATATAATTACGGCCTAGGGACATAGAACAGACTTCGCTCTATCTTTCGCGCATATTTTTAGAACCTAGTGTAGAAATTTAGCGAGCGGGACATGGAAGAGGGCAAATGAGCTTGCAATGTTTATTGGCCTATTCGGCCTGGACGGAAGGTGCTGGCTGGTTTCTTTTTTGTTTCATAGCGTTACGGCAACCTATTATGAACGGTTGGAGCAAAAAGCAAAAAGAAAATGCAGACGGCTGTGGCCCCGGGAACCGAACCCGCATCCCCTGTCTGGGGGCTGGACCACCGCCTTAGACCACTACACCACGCCCCGACCACCCCTCTAGTGCGCGCTCTGAAAGGATTCATTGAGCCCAGTTTTAGCCTAAAAATAAGGCTTCGTGCCATCCGAAGCGACGGCCCGCCTTGCCTGACAATGTTACGTGCCGCACCTTGTTCAGAAGCCTTAGGCGACCACGTACATCTTTCCGGCACTTTTTTTTCGAAGTATTATGAATTTCCAACAATTATATATTGATTTGGTAAAAGAAAAAACACTTTTCAGGTGAGGACCATAAACTACATGCCCCCGTACCCCCTTTTATGATCCTCGAATTTTTAGCAGAATAAGTCGTTTTACCCATTAAACCCTTCTTTCCGGCGCATTTTTTTCACTGAATCTGACATTTTGAACATTTCTGGATTGTTTCCGACAAGAAAAAAATGGATTTTAGCCGAGGACCATAAACGACATACCCCCGTACCCCCTTTATGGTCCCTGAATTTTAGCAAAAAAGGTCTTTTTAGCCCTCAAAAACTTCTTTCCGGCGCATTTTTTTCATTGAAAACTACATTTTGGTCATTTCTAGATCGATCGATTCGATCACGCTTTTCGGGCGAGGACCATAAAAGCAAATTTTTCCCCCTACGCAGCTGAAAATCTGTTGGTATTTCGCGCCTCAAGCAAAAACGCGTAGTGTACGCCTTTTCCCAGGGGCCATCTGGACGCAACGCCACATGGTTCAGAAAAGGGCCCCCCTGGGGACAGGATGCAGAGCGCTCTAGAGCGCAGACGCGAGGGCAGACAGGCAGGGGAGGGGTGGGGCGCGCGATAGCAGACAGCCGGGCTAATCTTTCGTACACACCATTTATGATTCAAACGCGCGGGGGTGGTGGCAGACAGCCAGAGGGAGGGCGAGAGTGCCGAGACCCCCTCTCCATCCTGTCCCCGCTCGACGAACTTTTTTCGTATGGCTCTGAACGCTGTGAACGCGTGGGCGATGGTGGTGAATAGAAACAAACTTTAGATTCCGTAAGCGAATGTCCGTATAAGCTTGCGAACCGTGCGACATTTGCTAATTGCTCTTAAATTGGCTTCGACATTTTTGACATTTTCTTTGAGGTGATGGGGCTGCCTTTCATAGCAATCGAAACTAATTCCTCATATTGTTCGCAAAGTTGAATTTCAGGTAGCCAGGCATCGGCGAGGCGGCCGAGAGGCCCGTACTGTTTGCCTTGGCAAACAGTACGGGCGGTGGCGAATCTCCTTTTTGGTCGGTTTTTCTAAGGTTTCCCAGCTAGCTGGCATTCGCGCTACAGACGGCGCGTTTTTTTTGCGTTATTTAACAACCTGTTTCAGCAAACGCGAGTTAGGCCGCGCTGTGCCATTTCGGCGAGACGCACGGGCCACGGGTCGTCGTGACGTGCCAGACGCTTCGAGAGTGAGCATTGTTTTTCAGGCAGGAATATCGGTTTTTAGTTTTCAACTCGCCCCGCTGCTCAATTCAGGGCTGGCGACGCCGTGTGAGCCGAGCACCAGCGCCAGCGATGGTCCCTTTGTCCAAACGGTATGTTAATAAATTATACTTGCATAGCATGCTTTTCGAACGTTTTTTAAAATCGATCTTTGCTTCAGGAGACGTGAGTCTTGTCTATGGGGTATGGCCGACGGTGCTGGAAGATCCAGAAGATCGATGTGACGCGTGTACTTCGCAGGGGCAGACGAGCTATCTTCTCTCGAATGATCACTCCGCTCGGACCAGTATATCAGTTCCCAGGTTTGTCATTGGTTTTTTAGGAGTAGTAGGGGCTCACGATCGTCTGAATTTGGAGGAAAAGGCGTCAATTTTTTTCAGGCAGCGATGTGCGAGGTTGTTTTCGATCGGATCCGCACTGCTTGCCATCGGTCGCTGAGTTGTGAGGTGGCCGTCGCGCAAGGGGCTCCCAGGCGGCGCTCCAGCTTGCGAGGTTCGTTTTGGGGAAAAAGGGGACTGGACTGTTAGCGGGGGGAACTAATTTTTACCCAGTAACCCTGTACGGCCTTATGAAAGAAACACCTTTTTTTCGAGCATTTTACACAGTTTTTAGCTGTAACAAGCTAATACAAATCATGAAAAGGTTCTATAATTTTTGAATTTTTTGCTCTAAAAAGCATGAAATAGGACCAAAAGAATATGAAAAACTTAGATTTTCAAAATTTTAAGATTTTTTTGTACTTTCTAGCAATCAAAAACTGTTAATTAAGAACTATAAAACACGTATGTTTTAGTAACTGGGGGGCTGAAAAACAAAGATTAGTTTTCACGCTGCTAACAATCCAGTACGAAAAAAGTTAAAAGCGTCACCAGTAATTACCAAATTTCCAGGCACGCACGGGCCGCTGCGCAGCGAAACGTCGATCGAGCACGAGGTCGAGGAGGACGACGGGAATATTGTTTTTGGCGATCCCGAGCACGGCTATACACTGGCACTCACTTTTCGGTCGGTTTTGCACGTGTTTTTGCTAAAAATGTTGCAAAATTAAAAACTTTTGAAAACTTGGAGTCATCTGCCATACGTTTTTGACCAAAAAGAAACCGATGGTTTATTCGAATCTTTGATGAGCTTGTTATGTCCAAAAAACTGCAAAATGCTATAAAAATGGCTTGGATTTCGTATTTTGGAATAATTGAAAAGTCGAAAGCTAAAAAATTCCATTTTTATGTCAATAATTACCGCTAAATTCAGAATACCCGACGCGAGAGCCCGCGGATTGAATCGTCTCTACTCACTGCTGGTTGTCTCGGCCGATCACACGCTTCTCCTCAACAATCATCACTTTCTGCTGTCTGCGCTGCGGAGGATTGCCGATAAAATGAAGGTGAGATTTTGCGTGTGATTAGTGTCGATAGGCGCCTGGCGTAGTTTAAATTCTTTGAAAGTATGAATGAAAGAAATAAAGGAAGAACTATCATTTTTTGGGTTCTTTAGGATCCGCGGGGGGGGAGGGGGCGGAGCAAATTTTTTCCTGGCGGTCCCGGTTGACCTAGTACCCAAATATAAAGTGTTTGTACATTGTTGTTAGTAAGTTTTAACTATACTTAAAGCAGTAAAACTTTCCAAAAAAAAAAAAATTTCTGAAAAAAAAGGGAAAATGGGTCGAAAAAACTCATTTTTCGACCTAGAATTAAATTTTTAATTAAATTTTGTAAATTTTGTATGCTTAGGAATAGTTATGAACAATTTAGAAACACTCACTATTTCTATAAAAAATCTAGGCTTGTGCCGAAAAAAAATTAGGTTTCCCAGTTACAGGTTGTGATGCGCATCTGTGCACCCGCAGGCCAGTCATTGCCAGCTGGAATGTTTCCTGGAGCCCCTTGCCGAAACCCTACAAATGTAAGCCATTTTCTATCGACCGTTAATATTGTGTTTTAGCCCACGCCGTCTTTCCATTTGGTGCTCAACGGTATCGAGGACCTCATTTTGTGCTTGGTATATCGGTTTGACTGTTCTATTACCTTCAATTTAGGTTCAGGGCGCGCATCTCTTCACGTGCCAATGTAGGGTACGTTTTTAGCTTTAGCGTTTTGCTCCGGGGTCGAATTTTCCTTAGACAGAAATTATTTTTCGTTTTTCTTTTTTGACGAGATATTGTTGAGAAATTTTTAGGGCACTCTAGCCCCGATTATTTGGGAATCCGTGATTTGCCGCGTCTGAAATTCAGGACCAACTGGCAGAGACAATTTGGAGAAATTTGAGGAATGCTGGCATAGATCCTTGAGCAATCGTATTTTAAGGGCAAGTTAGCACCTTTGTCTTTGTCGGTTTTTTCTGAAATTCAATGCAGGTTAGTGCGGCAATTTGAGCAGGCGAGCAGAGAAAATTGGCCAAAATTTTGTTTTTTCATTCTAATTGTTTCCTTTTCAGATGAAAACGTCTACATGCGCGAGTTCAACAGCGAGCTGCCGACGATTCTCTACAAGAAGGGGTACGATGCGATTGCAGCCACGCTTGAGGTAGATTTTCGGCAATTTTGTCGATTTCTGAAAGTCGGTCTTTGCCTTCAGTGGCCCTTTAAAATGTCATTTTCAGGTGGGCGACTACGTGCTGTCGCCAGGAATAATCGAACGAAAAGCCCTCGACGACTTGACCCAATCGCTGCAGAGTGGCCGCGGCTTCAAGCAGACCGAGCAGGTACAGCAGTTTTTTTAACTGTTGAAGTTTATTTTTCTAGATGGTGGCCAACTACGCGGCGGCCTATCTGTTGACCGGGGCGAACACGAAATTTGAGCTGAAGATTGTCAATGGCGGCCCATTTCAGGTAATTTTTGTGTTTCCTCAAACTGTCTCTGCTAGTTTGCCTTTCTGAATCCATTGTCCGTGATGATCTCGGCTAGATCTTCCTTTTTGCTAGCTTGCTTCTGACTAATAGGCTAGAGGCAAAATTTTTAGCGAGTTCCGTAAGTTCTCTCTGCTGGCTGACCCCGCGGCAAATTGTCTCTGCTATCTTACCTCCTGAAAAAATCTTTGCAGGATTCCCGCAAATATTGCTGCTAGCCCTCTATGTAGACCTCCCGAACCCCCCTCCTCTCTAAACCCCCCCTAACTAGGGGGTTGGTAGGGGGTTGTAGGGGGTTCGGAGGGGGTTGGGAGGGGGTTCGGAGGGGGTTGGGAGGGGGTTGGGAGGGGGGTTTAGGGGGGTTTTTTGGGGGGTTTTTAGGGGGGTTGGGAGGGGGGTTTAGGGGGGTTGGGAGGGGGGTTCGCTCGGTGAAATGATATACATATATGAAGATATTTTCAAATTTTTCGTCTATTAATCAATTAAAATAAGTAAAAACTATCAGACAATAGTTTACAACCCCAGGGGAATATATTTCAGCTATTTTGACCCTCAATTCGTGTTTCCCGAGTGTTTTTTTAGCAATTCTAAGCGGTTTCACCGGTTATTTTGTCAGTATTATGGTTAGCAAGCCCCAATAGTTGTCCTACAATCTTTACAGCACAAATTTATAAGGTTTCGATAAGTTTTTACAGTTTTTTTCACCAAAATTGCCCTAAAAATTGTGTTTTATGGGTTGTGGACCGCATCTGAATGGTTGTTTATATTTTCGAGTCGGGTGAATCATCTATAAACCACATCTGAGGCCAAAAACCGCGTTATTTGACTAATTGCGCCAAAAAACTAATGGGTGCGCGAAATTGGGGCTTAGGGGGGTTGGGAGGGGGGGTGAAGGGGGGTTGGGAGGGGGGTTGTAGGGGGGTTCGGAGGGGGGTTTTTAGGGGGGTTGGAGCGCCTCTGTAGGGGGGTTCGGAGGGGGGTTCTTAGGGGGGTTCGGAGGGGGGTAAAGGGGGGTTTAGGGGGGGGGGGGTTCGGGAGGTCTACCTCTATGATTCCCTATGAATCTCTGCTAACCAGCTCTTTCAAGCTCTTTTTTCTAGGGAGAACTGTCTCGCCATTGCCGTGAGATCCGCCAGCAGCTCTGCACCCTCATCCGTCTCTTCCAAAACTGAAGCTCATCTGGTCGCTCTCCCCGGCCAATTCTGCCGATTATTTCGCCGATTTGAAGGTAATTTTGTGTTTTTTAAAAAATTTATTCTCTTTTTCCAGCTGAACACTGTCGATCCGGACGTCGATGCGCGGTGGCCATTCGAGGCGATGAGGTCAACGAAGAAGGTACTTTTTCTAGTTCTGGTTAAATTTTTAAGGCCTAAAAATCTGATTGGTGAGCGGAAAAATGTCTTAATAGACCTTTGAGCATTAAAAATTATAAATAGCTATTTTTATTGGGATATTTTTGACGTGTATTTTCGCGTTTTGCTGGGGGTATTTTAGTAGTTTTTTATTACATAAAAATACATACAAATATTTGGGATCCGTGTGGATTTAGGAAAAAAAAATTAAGGGTTTTTAGCGGCAGAGAGTAAAATTACGGAGAAAAAAGTCGTTAAATTTACGCTCTGGGTACCATCTTTTATATTTTGCTTTCTTTGTAAATTTTTCTAGTCCTATTTTTTGTAGTTTTCTTGTAGGTGCTCGGCTCGTGGATTTCCGGAATTTTCCGCGGGTTTTCATCCTCCAGGTTGCTAGGTGTAAAGCGGAGTTAGAGCTCCGCTTTACACCTAGCAACCTGGTCCGTTCAGGATTCGATTTCGTTCGTACCACCTCCTGGGCGGTTTTGAGTGCTGCGTTTTTCTCCCATCCCATCGAGCAATACTTCCGCTTTCGGGTAGTAGAGCGCGAACTTTTCTCATTGAAAAAATTTTTCCGATTGCGTTCCATGCATGGTTTTCGAAGCGATTAATTATTATTAGTTTTTAATACGGTTGGGGCCGAGTACATATTCGGAACGTGGCTTTTAATCATAGTTTTAGGTGTTTTAAAGGCTTACCAGGGTTGAAAAGCCGCTTCGCGACTTTTCAACCCTGGCCCCGTCTGACCTCACTATCCTTCACTTTGCATAATTGTCCTGGGTTCAGATGACAAAAATGAAAAACAACCTCTCCTGCCCCTTTATATAATCGAATCCTAACTTCCGGTTTATGTTAATTATTCATAACAACGAAGTTTTCACAAAAACTTAAATTTAATGTCGAAAATAGTTGATTTTGTTGAATCTAAAATGCGTGCAGTCATCTCCAGACCATTGCGCACCTAATATCGTATCATACATACCTTAAAATTAAAATTGATCCCCTATCGAGATATCCTCCGGACAGACAGTGGTTTAGTTCACTCATCATTTTTGACGCCCCTTGCACTTCCCGCAAGTGCATTTTAACAGCTCAAGCGCTAGTCGCAAGTCTTTATCGAGTTTTTCCTATAACCTCTTCACATTTTTGACTGAGGAAATTTTTGTTTGCAAATGATAGCTGTTTTTTTTAATTTTAAGATCATTAACGGCCCTTTTGCTTCGGCTAGATCCTTTGTTGATATTCTCCGGCGGCCCGTGCGAAAAATTAGCTTTGACGGCGATTTCCAGATCCCAGTAGTCGGACCAGACCGAGACGTACACCTTGTGTAGTTGCCTTGATTTCTGGTGAAATAGTTATTTTTTTCATATATTTTCTGCGAATTTCTGATAGTTTTTACTAAAAACTAAAAAACTAAAGACTAAAAACTTTTTCGTGTCGTTGTACATCGCTTCAATTACGACTATCCGCAGGTTCTCCTTCCGGATTTCCGGTTAAAAGATCGCAGGGCCTTTGGATCATTTGTGCGGTGCAGTCGCGTTTGTTCAGCGTTTTGAGAAGTTGACTCTCCCTTTTTATGACTTTTAGATCCTTCACAAGGTTTGAGCGTAGTTTATTCTGGAGTTTGGACCAGATCATTTCGGCCTTTTCCAACTTTTTAGTTTTCGTGGCTCGACTCATATTAATTTTTTTTATGTATCCCCAATACTAATGGAACGTGGCCAAATGGGTTGCGATAAAATAGGCCACCCGGAAACGGTTTATCCCATCAAATTGCGGGGGTCTTTGTAGATCTTGTTTGGATCTTCCTATTTTTAGAATTTTTAACCTCTATATTATAAAATAGGTATTGATAAAAATGATAGATCCTCTCCATATTGTAATGGGATTTTTCCGTTCAGAAATGTGGAAAAGGCGTAAAATTTGGCTAATTTTGTAGCTTGTAGATGCCGGTGTGGGCTTCAGAAGACGTTTGAGAGGTCGGAACATCGCTCAAAATCGGCTTTTTTTGTGGCGTAGTTTTCGAGTTTTCTGGCAACTTCTAAGCTTTATTGGCAGAATTTGATGACGTCGACAATAATGAGAATCTTTTAAATATAGCATAGTTAATTTATAGGAATTAGGGCATTTACCAGGCTTGAAAAGCCGCTTCGCGACGCGACCGAACCCTGGCCCCGTCTGATCTCATGATCTACTTCACTACATAATTCTCGATTTCCGATGACAAAAAATGAAAATCGCACCTTCTACGCCATTATATAGGGTGCCGCCACTTCCGGCGCATGCTAATTTTCTCCTAACAAAGAGGGTCCCCGATTTTTTAACAAAAACCTAGATTTAATGTCGAAAATAGGCAATTTTGGTAAATCTGATAAGCGTGCAGTCATCCCAGAGCAGGGTTCGATTTGAATGGGACGGGGCGAGACTTTTGCCTATAGTTAGCCACTAGGAGGCGGCGGATCAGGTCCTAAGCTATACCAATCGATGGACCTCGCTCTTCCGGTTCGATTGATGTGCATAAAAACCCCTTAGAACGTTTCTAGACAACCTCCAAGCTCCAATTTGTGCAAATCTTAACAAACAAGCGGTTTTACGGGGATATTTTTCCGGAATGGACTCGGCTCAGGTTTTAAGCTACACCATTCGATGCGTCTCACCCTTCCGCGTCAGATGATACCCATAAAAACCTTTTAGAACCTTGTTAGACAACCTCCAGGCCTCAATTTATGTAAATCTTAGCAAAAAGCTGTTTTTCGGTTGCAGTTTTCCGGATAGGTATCGGATCAGGCTGTAAACCACCTCAATCGGTGCATCTCACTCTCCCGCGTCGAATGATACCCATAAAACCCCCTTAGAACTTTGTTAGACAACCTCCAAGGCGGTTTTAAGGCCTGGGTTTTTCTCCCAGTCCATCGAACCCTGTCCCAGAGCCATTACGCACCTAATGACGTATCATCCGTACCCTAAAATTCATCCCCTATCGAGATATCCTCCGGACAGAAGGGAGGGGTCACAGGGAGAGGGAGAGACGCAGACAGGGGCAGGGACGATGGCAATACGGATGGGATGATAGAGAAACAAAAGAGAGAGAGAGAGAGAGAGAGAGAGAGAGAGAGAGGGAGAGAGAGAGAGAAAGATATAGCTCCTTGATACTCCATGACCCTGACATTCCTTCCTAAATTGCCTCTGCCAGCCTGCCCCCCCGGAAAATTGAAGAATATCCCTGCTATCAGCCCCTGCCTTCCGCAAAGACACAAAGACTTCTGCAAGCTGCCCCGTTCGTCGAGTCGAGCTCCTCAAAATTTCTATAAGCTCCAATTTTCCTCAAAATGTCTCTGCTAGCTCGCCATCGTTTTTGGGTCTATGTGATTCCTCAATGATACCTGCAATCCCTCATTTTGCTCAAGTGACCTCTGCTAGCCTGCACCCAATCAAGTCGGTGCACCCGTTTCTATCTGTTTCTACGTTCAGGACGTAGCGTAATACCGGTCCCGCCCCCCCCCCGAAATCGGCCGGGGTCCGAAAATTTCATAAGGGGGGAGAAAAATTTTTTGGCCCCGCCCCCGAAATTTTTTTCTGGCTACGCCCCTGACTACGTTGCGTCAAGAATCTCTGCTAGCTTTCCCGTCAAATTAATTTAAGATTGTTCCTTTTTCATTTTGTGGATTAAGAAAAACAAACTATCAGGAGTTCGTGAAACTATCCTACTATATATAAAAAAGTAGTGTCTGTGTGTGTGTGTGCCACTTTGCATGCAACTTCCGTCAGCGTGTCCGGAGGATATCTCAAGAGGGGAAGGGATGAAGCGGGTGTATGATACGTCATTAGACGCGTAATGGCCTATAGATGACTGCACGCATATCAGATTTTTCAAAATCGATTGTTTTCGACATTAAAATTAAGTTTTTCCTTAAAAATCGGACATCCTCTTTGTTAGGAAAAAAATTAGCATATGCCGGAAGTAGGAGTAGACTATATAATCGGGGAGAGGACGCGATTTTCATTTTTTGACATAACAGTGCGGAAGGATTATGCAAAGCGAGGCATATCATAGGGTTGGACGGGGCCAGGGTTGAAAAGTCGCGAAGCGGCTTTTCAACCCTGGTTAATTATAAATTTTCCAGAGCTGGCCACCCGGAAGAGCCCGGCAAGCCCAACGCCACCATCCTGTGTCGCCGAAAATCTGCCAAATTTTAATAAGGTATAAACATAATTACTTTAATTTTAGCAATTAAAATCGACGTAATAACTATCAAAGGACAATAATCGAGGACGAAAAATCGTGATTTTCAGAACCCAAATTTTTCCTATTAGTCAAGAAATGTCTAGTAACGTAATTGCAATTTTTTAATTTTGATATAATCATTTAGCTGTATTTCAAACGTAAACCTTTCTAAAAAACTTATTAAAAGCTTTCAATTTTGCGTTTTCACCGGCAAAACGATTTATTTGTATTTGTTTAAAAAAATTTGGAGCCTTTTTCCGTTTTGGATTAGTAAAAACCCGTTTAGATACTCGATTTAGATTTGAAAAAGTGCATTTTGCGGAAAAAAGTTGCCCTCCCCCCGATAATGCGTAACCTCCTAAAAACCCGATTTTTCAGGCGAAAGTCCAGAAGCTGATGCTTGGCGGGGCGGCGAATCTGGGCGAAATCTTTCGCGGCACCCCGGAGAAGCTCGTCGAATATCTGCCCGACGACGGCGACACGCTCAGCCTTCTTTTCAATTTCAATTTCCGGGCCCAGTGATTTTTTGGTGGATTTTTAATTGGGTACTGGGCTGTTAGCGGGCGGGGGGGGCTTTCAATAGGCCTATAATTACACACAAATCATTTTTTAACATTTTACTATGTTTTTTAGCTTAAGAAAGCCCAATCAATTATCAAACTTTTTGAAATGTTTCTAGTTATTTTTACATTAGTTAAAAAATTACATTTTTTCTCAATTGTTATTAGTCAAAAAAGTTATGAAAATCGCCAAAAAGCCCCCTCGCTAACAGCCCAGGTCCTGAATTAGGTACAGAATTTTGTGGTTTTTATCGCGTCTAGCTTTACCATTTAAACAATTTAAATTGATCTCTGATGTCTCGATTTTTCCGCGATACTCTTCTGTACGTTGTCAAATTTTTATTTGGTTATCGCACGGTGTACATGAATAAAAAGTTACAAAATTCAGGTGAACAGGAGGAATAAATTTACAGCCAGAAAAAAATCTATCGATAAAAGTAGTGTAAAATTTACAAGAATTACATGACATTTTTTAGATCGATTCAGTAAAAGAAAAAGATATGTTCGATTAGGAAAATTTACAAAATTTACAACTCGAAAAATAGATCGAGAGAATTAATAGAATTGGCATAAAATTTGACGGATTTTTGGGAAATGGACCCGGGAAAACAGCAAGAAACCAAATGCCTCATCTCGAGCCAGGGGCGTAGCCAGAAAAAAATTTCGGGGGGGGGGCCCCGAAAAAATTTTTTCGAAGAACCGAAAAACTTAACGAGAAAACAGCGCCGCAGGCAAAAAATTTTGGAAAAAAAAGGCTGTATAGCTCTACAAATAGCAGTAAAAACGTGAAAAAATAGCGCCGCAGGCAGGTTTTTTGAGAAAATAAACATCATAAGGGTCCCCCCTTATGAAATTTTCGGGCCCCGGCCGATTTCGGGGGCCCGGGCCCAAGGGTCCCACCTTACGCTACGTCCCTGTCTCGAGCACGGGGTTGCGGGTCCACGTCGGGTTGGTGCTGGTGTCGCCCTTCTTGGAGATGTACCACGATCTGTTGCGCTGACACGCCGACGAACAGTAGCCACTACCACATTTATCGCACGGGAAGTAATCTGCTCTTTGCGTGCACGTGCAGGACACGGCAGTGCAGGCACGTGTCCGCCTGCACCAGCTGAACGTGTCCTGCACTGTCCTGCACGTACACTATCGTGTCCTGCACGTGCACGCGCAGAGCAGAGTAGCAACCTGAAAAAAAGGGGTAGAGGGGCAGGCTAGCAGAGAGCCTTTGAGGAATTCAAAACTTAAATCCTATTATATATAAAAAAATAGTGTGTCTGTCTGTGTAGATTTGCATCCACTTCCGGATGTATGTTCCACTCATAACGGGTCAGGGAAGAAGCTTTACGATATGTTTAAGATGTCATTAAGTGCGTAATGGACTGTAGATTACTGCCGACATATCAGATTTGTTATAATTTGCGATTTTCGACTATAGAGATTAGAGATATTATGCAAAGTTAAGACTGTGGTTAGGTTTAGACAGGGGCCAGGGGTTAAAAGCCGCGATGCGGTTTTTCAACACTGGTATCATTTAAAAATATTATCTACTTAGCAAAGAGCCCTAACAAAAGGCCCTAAAATATAGAGGGAGGCTAGCAGAGACCCGAGCGCGGCTGATCCTACAAAACACATTTCGAGAACCTCCCATCCGAATCCGCGACGTCCTGTTTGTGCTGGTGCGTCTGCCAGTGCTCGCATTACAACCAGCTTCAACTCTCATTCGATCTCCATTGTGGGTTTTAAGGAAACTAAACTGGAAAATTAAATTAAAAGCGAAAAAGTTAAATTAGCAGTCCCCTGAGCATTATCAAAGCGGAACCCTAGCATAAATCCTTTGAGAATCGATGGCCTTTCCGATCCTTTTTATTCTTTGGCTTTTGAAATATATTATCATAATCAAAATATATCAATGCATAAAGTATATCTTTCGGTTTTTTATCGCTTTCCATTTAAAGCTAGCTAAATTTGCCTCGAAACGCTTTGAAAGACTGCTGTGAAATTACTGAACAACCAGGGTTGAAAAGCCGCTTCGCGACTTTTCAACCCTGGCACCGTCTGCCCCCATGATATTCTTGGCTTTGCATAATTTTCGCGGAGTTCCATTCGCGATGCCGAATTTTGATATGCCGGATTCCGCTATGCCGAATTCCGCTATGCCGAATTTTCACGATGCCGAATTTTCGCTATGCCGAATTTCGCTATGCCGAATTCCGCTATGCCGAATTTTGATAAGCGGTATGTTCCCCGTTTTTTTTACTATTTTTTCAAATATCATGGGCCTAGAAGGTTAGAGTTAGCCTAGAAATTTCCAAAAACTCGGGCAGATCGTAGGTCCCGTAGGCTCAGCGGATTTTTTGTTGCACCACAAAGTCCCAGCCATATTAATATTAGTGATTAAGGGAAAATTGCGGTATCCGGTCACTAAACGGATTTTGGATTTTTATATGTCAAAATGCTCAGCAGGTCGAGCTGGTTCAGGATCAGTTGAAAAAACTTGGCGGCAACGCTTCTATCTCGAGATATGACACTTCAAAGTTGGCTACTGAAGTATCCGGTCACTAAACGGATTTCGGATTTTTATTTGTCAAAATGCTCAGCAGGTCGAGCTGATTCAGGATCAGTTGAAAAAACTTGGCGGAAAAATCGCTATCACGAGATATATAGCTTACAAGGTCTCAAAACAGGCCGACACGTAGTACACAATACACCTAGATACGCCAACTGTACATCGGAAAGTAACGGAATGGTATATAACTACCGATTCTTGGGTAAAATACATTGTCAGGCAAGGCGGGCCGTCGCTTCGGATGGGCTGCCGCTCCACTCTTTCGAAATCGGGGCGCCTGGGCGCTGCGCGCTCCTCGGGCGCCCCGATTTCGAAACCCTGTACGAGCTCGCGCCCATCCGAAGCGACTAGGCCCCCGGGTGGCACGAAGCCTTATTTTTAGGCTGAAACTGGGTGTAGAGTAGGGTAACGCTAAGCTCTTATCGAGCACTTGTGATCTCTAATAGCGCTACATAGCATGAAAAATGACCATTCCGTTACTTTCCGATGTACAGTTGGCGTATCTAGGTGTATTGTGTACTACGTGTCGGCCTGTTTTGAGACCTTGTAAGCTATATATCTCGTGATAGCGATTTTTCCGCCAAGTTTTTTCAACTGATCCTTAACCAGCTCGACCTGCTGAGCATTTTGACATATAAAAATCCCAAATCCGTTTAGTGACCGGATACCGCAATTTAGCCGTGATTAATATAAGTAGAGAATATAGTAGTAGAGTAGCAAAAATTCGGCATAGCGAAATTCGGTATAGTGAAAATTCGGTATACTGAAAATTCGGTATAGCGAAATTCGGCATAGTGAAAATTCAGCATAGTGAAAATTCGGCATAGTGAAATTCGGCATAGCGAAAATTCGGCATACCAATAATCGGCATACTGTAAATCGGCACAGCGAAGATCGGCATAGCAAGTATTTACCATTTTCGCGGATTCGGATAACCAAAAATGAAAAATGCTCTCTCCACCCCTTTATATAGGCTAGAGCGACTCCCGGTGCATGCTAATTTGATCCTAACAAAGTGCGGCGTCCGATTTTCCATGAAAAACTTCATTTTAATGTCGAAAACAGCATGTTTTTTAAAATCTAATGTGTGTGCAGTCATCTCGGGACCCTTACGCATCTAATCCCGTATCGAACATACCCCTAAGTACTTCCCATCTTGAAATACTACTGGAACACGGTGACGGAAGTTGCATGCAAATGCACACACACACACACACACACACACACACACACACAAACACTATTTTTTTTTATATACGTCGTTTTTTTATATTTTTTATGGATGTCGCGAAGCGGCTTTTCAACCCTGGACCCCGTCTGCGCACATGATATTCTTGGCTTTGCATAATTTGCGCGGATTCGAATGACGAAAAATGAAAAATGCTCTCTCCGTCCCTTTATATAACCTAACGCGAATTCCGGTGCATGCTAATTTCATCCTAACAAAGTGGGGTGTCCGATTTTCCATGAAAAACTTGATTTTAATGTCGAAAACAGCATATTTTGTAAAATCTAATATATGTGCAGTCATCTCCAGTCCATTACGCAACTAATGCCGTATCAAACATACCCCAAACTACTCCCCTTATTGAGATACTCCTGGAACACGGTGACAGAAGTTGCATGCAAATGCACACACACACACAGACACTATTTTTTATATATAGTAGGATATATAATATTTTTTTATTTTTTTATATATACAGGGTGGGCAAAAAAAAAAAGTAAAGTTTGGGTCAAATTATCTCGCGAACGGAAACGAATCGGACCATGGTTACCTTGCCAGAATGCTTAAATATGCTGGGCATGAAGAAATAACACAAGTTGTTTTTTAAGATTTTTGACGGTCGTTAAAAATTTTTGAACATTTTTGAAAAAGTAGAAAACTTTGAAGCGATAAAGTATGGGACTTTTGATGAGTTAGAGAGATTTCAAGGATATCAAAATGAAGCTCCCGGAATGCGCTATCAGAGGCGTGGTAAAGAATTTCGATCGGTTTAACTAGCCGTCAATAGGAGCCTTCGGAAAATCCGGACTTTTACAGAAACGGCGATTCCGAGTTGACCATGAAAAGCACATGGCTGCCATAACTTTTTTATTTGTTAGATGTAATGCTATTTGCCAAAGATAATCATGTTAGATTTTTAACTATATAAACGTAAAACTTGCAGTTTCTGCCGAGTTGGCATAATGCCAAAAAATTTTTAATCGGGAACTTAAAAATTGTTATGCCAAAATTTAGTGTTTATCTATTTATTCGTAAATACAAAATATCAGCGAAATCGGATGGTAAGGAAATTTTATCTGGAATTCTTTCTTCAAAAAGTCCATTTTTTCCGAAGGCTCCTATTGACGGCTAGTTAAACCGATCGAAATTCTTTACCACGCCTCTGATAGCGCATTCCGGGAGCTTCATTTTGATATCCTTGAAATCTCTCTAACTCATCAAAAGTCCCATACTTTATCGCTTCAAAGTTTTCTACTTTTTCAAAAATGTTCAAAAATTTTTAACGACCGTCAAAAATCTTAAAAAACAACTTGTGTTATTTCTTCATGCCCAGCATATTTAAGCATTCTGGCAAGGTAACGATGGTTCGATTCGTTTCCGTTCGCGAGATAATTTGACCCAAACTTTACTTTTTTTTTTGGCCCACCCTGTATATATATATATATAGTAGGATTCTGGGCTTGTCGGAAACAATCCAGCCCGGAAAAACCGCCAACAACCCTGCAAAAATTCGGTGCTTCCGTGTTAGCGGGGGAGCAAGACAAATTTTTTTTTAATTGGGCCTATGCCTGCACAGTAATAAATTAAAATACAGTTTGATAATCTTATCGTAGTTTCCGATCAATAAAACCCTATCAACTGGTTTCGAACATCTTATAAATCCAAAGTTTTTGGTCCAGTATGGTAATTTTTCATACGTTTTGGTGCAAAAAGTCAGTGCATTCCAAAGTTTTAAAATGTTTTCAAAAGGGTTTGTATATGTATTTATGTTTGTTTTTAATAAAAACAGGGTAGAATGCTTTGGAAATTACCTAAATTTAATTACTTCATCCCTAAACCGCCTAAAAAAAAGAATTTCCTACTCCCCCGTGCTACCCCGCTAACACGGAAGCACCAAAATATCGACAATCTGATAACAAAACCACTAATAATAAGACAACCATCACTTCCAGCTGATCTCAACAATCGTGCTTCTATCGACCTTCATCCAGGAGTTTGGCCAATTGCTGTGCAAACGGAAAGCACGATCTGCACCACGGGTTCTTCGAGCAGTACAACGAATAGCCATGGCCGGCTGAGAAGCTGAATCGATTCAGCTTCTCATTAATCTCCTCTGCTCGCGCTCGTTTATGGCTTTCCCCCTCACTTTGACGGCCATTTCCTGTGATCTCATCTCTATAAAAACGGGTTTGATAAAACGCTGTGAATTCATAAGCAGGGGCGGAGACGAGGTAGTTTATTAAGGAAAAATCACAGAGACACGGCAAAAAGCACCTTTCATAAATACATAGACACGGAAAAAGCAAAAGCAATGTCAATTGTTTACAATTAATAGGGCAGAAAAGCGCGCGAATCATCAGTATTAGCATTAAAGGCGTACAGAGCAGACAAAATGATGATTACAATTAGACCGAGATAGAAGACGTCTTTCGCAGTGATTGGGTAGAAATTGACGGTGATCATCGAGTTGTGCACTTCTGCATCGTTGAAGCGAGGGGGTAACACCTAGAAAAGATGATCAAAATGTTCACGAAATGCTAACCAAATAATTGCCTTGTTTTGGAGTGCTGCTGTCAACGGGAATCGGCGGTTCGTGCAATATTGTTGGCGAAATGTTGGCAAAGCGGGGCTGCAGCGAGATTTCTTGATGTTCGGCACGTAGCTCGTTGATCTAAACGGGGCAATTTTAAAGACAACTTTGAAGAAATTACCCTCTTGAATTGTGACTTGAAGAAACTTCGTTGCCATTGCGTCTCGTCATCATCAAAAGGCGGTGGGACGGCGATCTTCCGATCGATCTCCGATTCGGAGATGTAGCGCCGCTTCGCTCGATGGAACAACTAATTGGAAGTAAGGTGAAAAATATCGAATTCAATTACCTTCTCACTGTTTTTCAAAAAGCGCTCTTTCGACAATCGCCGCTCGTACTCTTCACCGCTGTAGCTGCATTCCGGGTCGAATTCTTCATCATGCATCGCTGCAACGTGTTTTCATTTTTTTGAAAAGCTGCGGGGCTTCATGGTTATCGGGGGGCGGTTGCCAAATTTTCTTTGTTTAGCCTATACCTACCTAGTTAGAAATCTTTTTTTAGGAGTTTCCGGCAATCAGGAATTATACGAACAATCATACTACAGTAAAAACTGCAGTTTTGGCTTGTTTTCAACCCTTTTCATAGAATTTAGACTGGAAAAGCAAACCTTTTCAAAATATTTTGTTCGTAAATTTCCCGCCCGCGCCAACAACCCAGAAGCACTTGAAATGGGCTAAAAATCTACAAAAACGGTAAATATTCCAATCCTGGACCCGCACGAGCTAATACAAAAAGTTGGCTCCCGTCCCTCGAGAGCCTAAAAGCACGAAAGCTTCTTTAAAGAATTGAAGTCAGGAAGTTCGTCCCATTTTCGCCGAAAAAAATACAAGAACTTGTGGAAAGTTAATACTTTATCTGCACAAATATCGGTAGTGTAATTGTGGATAGTATAAAATCACAAAGCGGCACCGGCGAGAAAATCCAAAAAATCACAAAAAAACCGCTCAACAATAGAGATCAAAATCGATACGGGCGATCGGGTTGAAGTCGGAAGCCCCGACTTTTCGGGCGAGCCCCTTCGCTTCGAGCTTGCCTTCTGCTTGTCGATCAGCCATCACTTGCGACGAGAAGGGGCCCTCGATCTTCCCGTCTGCCGAATCCTGAAATCCAAAAAAATATTAGGATCACAAAGCTGTAAAAAACCTGGTATTCCCATAAAATTTCGTCGTCCAGCGCGGCTGCTTGACCATTCGTCGCGGAGGAGGAGGGAGCTGGCTCGTCGGCGAACATATCCAAATCGTCCACGGCGACAGTCTCCAGCTTCTTGAAGTTGAACTCGACCTTCTCACGGTTCCATTCGTAGGCGTCCATCTAAAAAGTAAGCTGTGGAAGGTGGAAAAAGAAACTCACGTGTCCGGCAGATATCAGCTCGTCGGCCAGCGCGCTCAGTTCAGACATGATGCCCTGGTCGGGATTCTCCTCCATTGCCTTGCCGGCTTTCTTCGCCGCCCAGCGCAGTTTTCGCTCCTCGGCGGGCGTCAATTCTAAAAAGCAAAAATCAGTTGGGAAAACATGGAAAAAACGTACTCTTCGTCTTCCGAATTTCCGAGAGTGCCTTGGTGATGGTCTGATTCGGCTTTAGCAACTCCATAAGTCTCCTAAAACCATAAAATTCTATAATCTTTCGAAAGTTACTTAAAGATCTCCTTCAGGCGACCATCGTCAAGTGTTGGGGCGAGGACATCGTCCAGATCATCGTCGTTCTAAATAAAAATTCCGGAAAAACTTGAAAGTCTTGCCTTGTATTGTTCCCACTTTTCGCCGGCCTTCTTCTTCGTGTACGCCCAGTCAATGTTGTCGAGCCACGCGTCTTTCAGGTCCTAAAACACATTTTTCAGAAAAGTTGGATCATTTGCCTCCTCTTTTTTGTCGCAAATGAAGTTGCCCGATTCGTCGAAGTGCCCCTCTTCCTCGTCTTCTTTCATGTTGAATGGCGTGATCTTGATGTCGCCCTCGAAGTCCATCGTCCCATCTTCTTGCCCGTCTACCTAAATTAGTAATTCAAAATCAATTCAGACACCATACCTTGCGTAAATCCATTCGCTTGTGGTCTTCGTCCTCTTCTTCATCACTGTCAAGTGTGTGCTTCTTCTTGTCGACTTCTTCATCTACAATAGAAAATACATAATCCATTGGCCGTAATATACCTTGATCGTCGAGTTTCGGCACCTTCACCGCAGGCTCATCTCCTGTTTCCTTGTTCGCGGGCGGCCCGTCTCCTTCGGCTATTCTCTTCAAAAAACGCCGGTGTTCATCCTCGTTTCCGCTGAGCCCGGACGCCTCGAGTCGTTCGGCAAAGGAGACCTTCTTGGCGTCCGACATCTGAAAATCACTGTTTCATAGAGGAAATGAGCAACGAATCAGAAAGAAACGAAAAATTTAGCAAAAAAAACATCTAAACAGCGCGAAAATGGACCCTAAATAAATAGAAAAAGGAAAAGAACTACGCGACAATACAGATGACATCGTAACAAGCAAAATTCCGCGCGGGACCATTTTGATCGACGAGGCTGGCGCACACGAATTTCCGCGCTCTTCGGATTTTCGACGTTTTGCTCCTGCGTTGCGGCCACTCGGCTTTCCGTTTTGTTCCTAGTTTAGGGTTTGACTTTTACGAACTTCTTGAGCTTTTCACCGCAAAAAGAACCTCCAAAACTGCTTGCATACGCACATTCAATGATTTCTCATCAATTGCTCATTTCGCCTTCTTCATTTGCTTTCTTTTTCTTGCCAATTTCATCCTTTTTTTTTCAGGAATCATGTCGGCCGACATCGCCTGGCAGGTCATCCGGAACAACTCGGCGTTGCTGGTCAAGCGGAAGAACATCGACAAGGCCTTCTCCACCGAGCGCTTCAACCTGACCAAGACCAACTCGCGGCGCTACAACGGATTCGTCAACAACAAGGCCGTCGCAGTTGAGGTAATGGTTTGGTTTTGACACAGGCTCGCGAAATGCTGCTCTTCACGTTGGGCTGGTTTGAAAGTCTGAAAAGCTCTGCGTTTTCCGTGTTATTCTTCATCATTCAATAATCTTTTTCAGTTCGTGAAGAGGGGCGTCCCGCAAATCGTGCTGAAGCGCTCGCGAGAACAAAGCAAGCCAGCCAGCTCCCTGGTCGTCAAGCCCCTCAACAAGACGAATGGAAGGCGTGCCCGCGTCACCGTGCAGAGGATCGTCAGCGGATACAGGCCCTCGCTCGCCATGGTACGTATCCTTTCCTTGATCGCAATTTTCGTTTAGGTCGCCCAACGCAAGGTCTCGCAGCTGCTCCGCTCCCTACGCCCGAAGCGAACAACGCCGCACTCGAAGATCACCGCTGAAGAAGTCGCCGGTTCCACTGCCATCTAATCGTTTCGCTTTTGCTTATTGATTGTTGTTGTACAATAAATTTTCACTCTTGGTTTGTCCAAATCTTGAAAATGAAAGCCTCAAAACATTGTTGGATTCTGATTCAATATTTGCTCACTTTTCGAATAGCTCCAGCACTTAGAGTGATTTACAGTTACAGGTTGGGATGCGCGTCTGTGCACCCGCAGGCCAGGCATTGCCAACTGGAATGTTTCCTGGAGCCCCTTGCCGAAACCCTACAAATGTAAGCCATTTTCTATCGACCGTTAATATTGTGTTTTAGCCCACGCCGTCTTTCCATTTGGTGCTCAACGGTATCGAGGACCTCATTTTGTGCTTGGTATATCGGTTTGACTGTTCTATTACCTTCAATTTAGGTTCAGGGCATGCATCTCTTCACCTGCCAATGTAGGGTACGTTTTTAGCTTTAGCGTTTTGCTCCCGGGTGGAAGTAATAATGAGTTTGATTCTAGGTCCCGTCACGCCCGATTGAAAACGAAATGGCCCGCATTCTATTGCTGCTCCAAGTGCTAGAAGCCCGGATCTACGACCACAACGCTCTGAACTGACCAGAAAACCCGAAGGCTCGTCAGCTTCCCATCGATCGACGCCCACACACACACCCAATCTGTCGTCTTCAAAATCGCGATGTTATTGCCGTTGTTATCTTTTAAGTCTCGTGTTTTGACTTGAATAAAGTTTTATCACGAATGGATTTTGGGCTTTTTGGTTCAGAAGTTTAGTCTTCTATGAAAATATCCGTAATTGTTCCTTGGCCTCGACCGGATGCCGTGGTACGAGAAGTACCAGCCGACCAAGCTCGACGACCTCGTCTCGCACGACAACATTGTCAAGTCGATGCGCCGATGCATCAAGTCACGTCGCATGCCCAACATGATCTTCTACGGACCGCCCGGTGTGTTTTTAAAAAAGCCATGTTTTTTAAAGTTAAAAAAGTTTTTTAAACCTTGCGGTTTTTTTTCAAAGTATGCCCTCTGCGGATTGAAAGCGATCATTTTCATTTTATGTTTTTTAGGCGCCGGCAAGACGTCAACCATCCTCTCCATGGCCCAAGAAGTCTATACGGCGAAACACGTGTCCGCCTTCGTGCTCGAGCTGAACGCCTCCGAGGAGCGCGGCATCGAAACAATCCGGCAGCGCGTTCACCCGTTCGCCGCGACAAAATCGCTGCACGGCGACATGAAGAAGATCATCATCCTCGACGAGGCCGACGGCATGACCAAGGACGCGCAGAATGCGCTGAAGCGCATGATCGAGAAGTATTCGCGGAACGTTTCCTTCTGCATCCTGTGAAATCATCTCTCCTCCATCATTTCCGCCATTCAATCGCGATGCGTAAGGTGCGGGCTTTCTTGATTTTGGCGTTCAGCTGATCAAAAACCATAGACTTCTTTAGGTTCCGCTTCGCTCCACTGGCTCTCGAAAAAATTAGACCGCGCCTCGAGTACATCATCGAGACGGAGAAGGTGAATGTGACGAACGAGGGTATCGAGGCGCTGTTCGATGTGTGTGAGGGCGATATGCGGCGTGCGCTCAACGTGCTGCAAAGTGCCACGCTGATCTACGATGTTGACGACGAGGAGGCAATCTACAAGGCCGTCGCCCAACCAACGCCCGCACATATCCGCGATATTTTCAAGGTAACTTTTTGCTTCTAGATGTTCATTTGGTACGGAAAGGCCAACAGAAAGGCGCGGTTCAAAATCTATGCTTCTCTTTCCAGGTGCTGTTGAACGACACGCTGGCCGACTGTTGCCGGAAGCTTCAAGCCGAATGCGTCTCCAAGTCGATCGCCGTCGTCGACATCATCAAGCGGCTGCACGACGCCGTCTTCGAGCTGGACATGCCCCCACAAGTGCACATCGAGATCCTAATGGCGTTGGCCGACGTCGAGAAGCGGCTGTCGATCGGCGGATCGGAGAAGGTGCAGCTGGCCGGACTCTGCGCCGCCTTCATGCAAGTACGTCACCTGATCGCCTTGCACGCCTGAACCGTCAGAAGATGATCATCACCCGGTTACCTCTACCGGTTATTTCCAAGATTCCAACGCACCTTGTTATTTTTGCGTGCCTTTATGACTTGTAAATGTGTCCATTTCCACCTTTATCGTCTCATTTGTGTGCGATCGTGTAATGTTTGTAATTCCAGGGATCTGATCTTGCGAATTTGCCGAGCCCACATTGCCCACCCCTTCCGTACTGGTTCATCAAACGATATTCACTCTCTATATCCGATTCTCTCACTTGAATTTCCCGGGTGTCCTCTCTTTCTACCGATGATCTTCCGAATAAACGCTCGGTGCTAATGCAGTTAGGGGGGGGGCAGTCCAAAATTGGTAGTAAGGGGTTACGAGGCGCTCCGCTTAAGCTACTTGGTTTTTGGCTTAAGCCTAGGCATAGCTTAGGTTTAACTAAGCCTAACTGAGGCTTAGGCTTAAGCCTAAGCCCAAGCTAAGCTTATCTTGAGCTTCAAATTGACTTACGAGGTCAAAATGGGGTCATTTATGGGTTAGCTTAGAACTAAGCTTAGCTTGGCTCAAGCTAAGCTCAGGCTTCGTTTGTTTGAAGCTAAGCCTAGGCTTAGGCTTAACTTAGCTTTTCCAGAGGCTTCGAGTTTAAAAAACGGCATTTGGAGCGTCTTGTAGTCAAAATCCAGACTGCCCCCCCCCCAAGTGCATTAGCACCAAACGCTCAATTGCAGGTAGTTCGATTTCGCCCCCAAACGAGCGGCGCCCGCAATTCGAAATGTCAACGGCCACTTTGTAAGTTTTTTTTGGAATTGAGCTTTTTTTTCTTGGTTCTTCTTGAAATCGTTTTTTTTGCAGACTGAGCACGGTGCCCGAGCAAATTGGCAGCTGGGCCGAGGCTGTCGAGCAGGATGATCACGAACGTAAGCGATTTCTGGAGATTTTTAACAGTTTTTTCGTTCAGCTCGCGACGAACTGTGAGGGATGGGATCAAGACGGTCACCGAGATGATCCGCGAAGACGGGAATAACTACAAGGTACATTTTTGGCTCTCCAAGCACTCGATCGAGATGGAATTCTTCATTTTCTACCATATTTTTTGCAGGTCGTCACCCAGTTCAAGGTCATCAAGAAGAAGGTACCGAAAGTGGTGGCCGAGCGGAAGCACTGGAAGAAGTTTGGCGCTTCCGAGCACGACCCGGCCGGCCCACATGTTGGTATTTTCCGTAACGCATTCTTGAAACTTCGATAGTTCATAATATTACCTCGTTCAGATTTCGACGACATTCGTGGCCGAAGAAGTGGAGATGCAATTCGTGCGCAACCGCGCCGGCGAGCAGGTGCTCGACGTGCAGGAGGAGAAGCAAGCGGCCAAGACGACCGCCCGAGAACATTGCCGCCTGTGCAAAGGACACGACCATTGGTCCAGCCACTGCCCCTACAAGGAGATGTACCAGACCGAGGAGGATCAAGCCGCCGAGGCCGCGGACAAGGCCGCCGGCCCGGGTGCCCCTGGCCGCTATCTGGCACCGGGAATGCGAGGCGATCGCGTCGATCAACGGAGGTTTGTTTTGGAGTGTGCCAAAAACACCCCCGCTAACTCGGCGGTCGAGGATCGGATCAGATTGATGGTTGTACCGTTCAAACGGCTTGGAAATGGGCGCGTTTACAACCAAGATCCAACCCGAAAAGATCTGACCATTTTATTGGTTGTAAATGTCGCACTTGAATCAAAGCATGGTTGTGAAGACGGTTGCAAACTCGCCATTTTGCGGGCTTTCGAATGGTGTAACTACGATTCCGATCCGATACTTCTGCGCCAAGTTAGAGGGGGGTGTTTTCCGTTTCTTTGTTTGTTTGTGGCCCCGACTGTTTTTTGTGTGGTTCAATTCGCTTACATTCCGTTTCTTTCAGATCCGATGAAAACACATGCCGAGTCACTAATCTACCGCAAGAAATTGACGAGCAAGAGCTGCGTGCCGTTTTCCAAAAGATTGGACGCGTCCAGGTATCCTATCGTCCATTTTGCGAAACTGCTAATTCAGCGCGTATTTATCGCCCGCGACAAGGTGCACAACCTGCCGAAGGGGTTCGCCTTTGTGACGTACGAGATGCAACAAGACGCCGAGCGGGCCATCAAAGAGTTGAACGGCTCCTTCTTCGAGCACATGGTCATGCGTGTCGAGTGGACAAAGTATGCTTCTTCTTTAGAGTTATTGATGTGTTTTTTCAGCCCGAAAAACTGAAGGTTCGTCAGCTTCCCATCGAGGCTTAGAATCCCGGATCTACGACTTCAGCGCTCTGGAGTGACCTCCCGTCTTGTTATTTTCCGTTGTTATCTTTTAAGTCTCGTGTTTTGACTTGAATAAAGTTTTATCACGAATGGATTTTGGGCTTTTTGGTTCAGAAGTTTAGTCTTCCATGAAAATATCCGTAATTGTTCCTTTTTCACGGTTCTAGGGCAGCGAGGTGATTTCTGAAAAGCCCGTTTTCGAAATTCATGCACCGGCGAAAACCTGCTAGAGGGGATATCCTGGGTGTGCGATGATGTCTCCAGCCGGATATTTACCGATTGATCTTCAGAATTTCGTTGTTTAAGTTTCTCTTTCCGTATTTGATAATTTATTCATTTTTCTGTAATAATTCCTCGATCGTCTTTGATTCCACTTTCGCTTTTTTTTCAAATTCCCCTCAGGTAGTTGTGAATTTGGCTATTGATATGAATCCGATTATTTGGTGCTCGTGCGTGTGCTTGTGATCTTATGTCCTTACGGGTCTTTCTGGTCTCACGTCTAACCTAATAAACATATTTTTTCGCCACTTTTGTTGAGATTTTCTTGTTTCCGGTTTATGGCCGAATGTATCTATTCGATTTGTTTTTTTTTGCGTGGGACGGCGTGTACTATGATTCTATATCGTTATACTTTTCTACGACCTTTTCTTATTTAATTTTCAGGCACTTTGTAACCGGAACCCCGCCAACATGACACAAGCCCAAATGCAGATGGTCGCCGAGCTGGAGATGGAAATGATGAGCGACATGTATCGGAGGATGACGGGCGCCTGCCAGGAAAAGTGCATCAGCCGTACGTTTAAGGTTGGTTTTTTGGTTTTCTGTATTGGGCTCTTGACGCTTATCTTTACCCGAAAACCAAAAGGTCGCCCGCTGTAATGCTTGCCTTTGGCGGTAGTCTTTCCGCTTTCGCCGGTTTGGCAAAAATCCAACAATTCGTGTGATTTCAGGAAGCTGACCTGACCAAGGGCGAATCGGTCTCGCTCTTTTCAGCAAGCGTCGACAAGACGGCCAATTTCGTGACGAGGAACGGCGTCGAACTCGAGAACAAGATCCGCGAGAAGGAGGCCCAGAATCCGCGCTTTTTCTTCCTGCTGCCCACCGATCCCTACAATGCCTACTACAAGCATAAGGTAAAAATTCAGGCTCGGGATAAATTTCCGTTTTTCCAGGTCAAAGAACTACATGAAGGCAAAGAGGAGGCTCCGCGAATCCAAGTGCCCGAGGCTGTCAAGGAGCACGTGAAGAAAGTGGCCGAGGCGATCACCCGCCCCCCACCGGCACACGAATTCAGTGATGATCCGACGACGATCAACGCGTTCGACTTGGACCTGATCCGGCTGACGGCGCTGTTCGTCGCGCGCAACGGCCGCTCATTCATGACGAATCTGATGAACCGAGAGATGCGCAACTTCCAGTTTGTCTTCCTCAAGCCGCAGCACAGCAATTTCCAGTACTTCTCAAGGCTTGTCGAGCAGTACACGAAGGTCGGTAACTTTTTTTTTGTGTTTTCAACGCAAGTTCATTGAAAAAGCTCTTTGTAAACTATATTTTTAGGTCCTCATCCCATCCAACACCATCACCAAGGAGTTGTCGGAACAGCGCGAGAAGAAGCGGCTTCTGGATGACGTCGACAAGCGTGTCCGCTGGGAAAAGTACCAGAAGAGTCTGAAGGACAAGGAGGAGGCCGAGCTCGAAAAGGAGCGTGTCGCCTACGCGCAAATTGACTGGCACGACTTTGTCCTCGTCCAGACCGTCGACTTTTCGGCTCAGGATTTGGGTAAGCAGTTTTTACGTTTAAATCCAATGTCGCTTTTTAGGCAATCTCCCTCCACTCTGCACTCCAAACGACGTCGGGGCTCGAATCCTGCTCGAAGCCCGCAAAGAGCAAGAAAAAGCCAGCGAAAGCGCCGCCATGGACATGGAGGAGAGCGAGGACGAGCAAGAGATTGCACGAGCTTCCTGCCGGGCGTGTCAACGCTTCTGTGTTGATGCCCTGGGGCATATGCTCATGTTTAACGCTCTGCTGCCTTTTTTAACTTTTCATTTTCAGATCGAAGGAGATACGACGCCAAGCAGTCCGGCTTCGGAGGTCAATCCAAGCCCATCTTCCGAAAGAAGGCCAAGACGACAAAGAAGATCGTGCTGAGGATGGAGTGCACCGAGTGCAAGCACAAGAAGCAGTTGGCCATCAAGCGCTGCAAGCACTTCGAGCTGGGAGGTCAGAAGAAGTCCAGGAACGCCGTCATCCAATTCTAATTCCTCGGTCCTTCTTTTGTGTTTTTGTTGGTTATTCATTAAATGCTGATAAACTGTTTTTACTCTACAACAAATTGTGAAGCACATTGAAACGATACATCCGATAATCTTTGCTTGGAGGCGAATTGTTGGAATTAGGCTTTTGGCTACTGAGATTGCGATGGTCTGGCGCTTCATGCGTTTTTCGTTCACATGTTGAATTGCGTAGCGCTTTCGCTGTCCTTTGCGCGCCGATTGAACCTGCAAGAAATAACATCGTTTTCGGGCTGCCAGCTTCTCGTACGGCCACATACACGTCGAATGCGCTGCTGATCGCCTCGGATGTATCGGATTGTGGAACGGAGCGTGCTGAGCAGTTTGTCAACATCTATTGCCATAATTTCCGAATAGGGTCATGGACGGTCGGCCCGGAAGGATGTCGGATCGGTCGTGACCCCGCCAAGTGCAGAATCCAGCTTCCGTCGCTGCCCCAGGAGTGAGCCGCGTGCACGCTTCACTCGAATTAAGAGGGGTAATTTTTTGACTTAGCAAAGCGCATTGAGCGTCCTTGAGCAAAACGCACTGTTTTGTGCCAATTATGAGCCGTCCTGGCTGGCCTATTTAGTCCCTACCACTACGCGCAGGAAATTTCGGACTCAAAGTTATTGGCCAGGCGTTATTTACCGCCGAAAGTGCACAAAAAAAGCACCTGGACCCTGTTTTTTTTAGCTACAGAACCAGAGAAAAAGGCGAAATATCATATTCCCCTTTAGAAACAACTCTACCTAAACGACGCCAGCTCGTACGGGACGGCGATAAACGGCGTCAACTACGTGAAAAAGTCGCATCCGCTCAACGACGGCGACACGTTCATCGTTGGCGACCACGAGTTTGTCGTTGAGGTATTTCTGAGGCTCTGGGCTTAAAAATAAAATTCTTAGATACTGCCCGAGATGAAGCCGCCGCCAAACCAGCAACAAGCCAAGATCACGGGCTTCTTCGCGGCCAGCCAGGGCACCCAGCGCGCCACGCAGCGCAACTCGATCGAGGTGTTGGGCGAGAATACGCAGCGGTATCGCTTTCCGCTCTTTCGCATTATCGCAGGGGAGGGAGGTGCAAAAAGTACAAAATTTCCAAAATTTTATGAAAAACTACAAAAATGGCGATTTTTCGACGAAAATGTCGACTTTTTGGAAGATTTTTGAAAGTTATTTGATCGATTTTGTAGTTGAAATATCGTTCTATTTTACTAGAACCGTATTACAATACTTTCTATTCAGTTAGTTGGCATTTCTAGACTTCTAGAACCCCCCGATTATGGGAAAGGACCTTAATTTCTACATTGTTTTAGGTCAAGCGCGAAACGAAGCGCCGGCTCGAGCAATATAACGCAGAAGTCACAAGTCGACGATGCCTCACCAAAACAACCCATTTCCAGGGTCCCCACGCCGAGCCAAAGGCCGAATTACTCGCTGAAGACGGATGAGAGGCAGCGGTGAGGTTTTTGAGCCGTAAATCCGATTTTTTGCCATTTTAGCCGGATCAGGCCCCAAAACTCGATCGGACTTGTTAAACCTTCAATTTTAGCAGCTGTGTTGCGAGTTCGGCAGCCTCAACAACAAGCCGGGCAGCGCCTCCAGCGCCCAAACGAATTCCGTCTACGTCGGCCAATGCCTATTATGGTATTTTTCAAGTTTTATCCAAATTTTCTCATTTCCAGCAAAATCCGCTTTCTTCGACGATGATGACATCATTTCTGTGCCCTCATCGTCGACAACCCAGAATCGAGGTATATTTTTTAAACGATCGAAAATTGTTTTTTTAGGCGGTAATGGTCGACTGCAAGCCCGCGCCTCTGCCCTCCAAACCATCAACAATCAAAAGTCGACGACAAGCGGCGAGGAGGGCACGCAGAATGCCGCTCCTTTTGCGCCAACGACGAGACGAGGGGTGCCGGAAAGGGTACAGATTTTTCAGAACGTCTTTTTGACCCCCATAACGCCGAATTTTCATCATACGAATTGTTGGAATGCTGAAATGCCATTGTGCCACATTCGGCAGCTTGAAAAATCTGTGTTTTGAGAAACGGCATTATAAAAATGCCGTCTTATGAATTTCGGCATTATAAAATTCGCCTTAATTGAGTTTCTATGTCTCCGGGTAGACCTAGTAAAAAATGAAAAGTTTTATTCTGTTTTCAGAAGACATAAGCTATATTTTAAGCAGAAGAAAAACATTCGAAAATCTTCGAAATAGTCGAACACCCGATTTTTCGATCTAAAAAGTTTTTTAAAAATGAAGAGTGAAAGTTTTAAGGCTCAGGAATGGTTGAAAAAAACGTATTACGTAGCGTAAGGTGGGCCCCCTGGGCCCGCCCCCGAAATCGGCCGGGGCCGGAAAATTCCATAAGGGGGGACCCTTATGATTTTTATTTTCTCAAAAATTTTGCTGCCTGCGGCGCTATTTTTACACGTTTTTACTGCTATTTGTGGAGCTATGTAGCCTTTTTTTTCTAAAATTTTTCGCCTGCGGCGCTGTTTTCTCGTTAATTTTTTGAGTTTTCGGAAAATTTTTTTGGCCCCCCCCCCGAAATTTTTTCTGGCTACGCCCCTGTACGTACGTAAGCGTTGTTTAAGTAAAAAAAATCTTTTTAACCAATCTGAATATTAGATGGCGAATATGTTCGGACTTACAGATCCCATCAACGAGTGCCGAGTTGAAGCGCCCGGAGCCGGCTTCGCAAAGCAGACTGGCGAGCTCGAAAAGGTCGATTTCATTCCATTTTTCCTAATTTTGTTTTTTTAGTTCCGCGCAGCAAAACGAAACGCAGTCCGAGTTGCTGACGTCGATGATCAAGGAGGCGCCGGAAGAGGACGAATTAACCGTGTTGCCGCCCGCCAAACGAAGATGCGCTGAGGTAACACAGAAAATCGTAATTTGCTTCTTTCGCGTTATCGGGGGCAGACTAGTTTTTCCCTATCAATCGAAAATTGCTTACTAACGCCATTCTAAGTGTTTTTATTAAAATTTGACTAGATTTCGATCCAAAAACTATCTAAAAATCTTTCCAAAAATTTCAGCGGTTTTACTATATTTTAATAGAATTTTTGTTTTGCCAGAGATGTTTAAAAAGCTTTAAAAATAGTTTCAAATTTAAATTTTCGTCGAAAAGCTGTTTTGCTAGGTTTTTTTAAGTTAAAATTTAGGGTTATAAGTAGTTATGTTACATCACCCAACCGATAATAAACAAGCACCGTAATTCTAAATCTTGATTTTCAGCCGAGGGCAACCCGGCAATCTGCCATGAAGCCAGAGAGCCAGGCAAGCAATTCGAGTCAAGCCAGCCGGAGACCACCCCTATCATCAAGCGGAAAGGACAACTACCAGGAGCTGCACGATAAATTTGTGAGTTTGAATTTGGGCTGGTTGAAAATTGTAAAAGAGTTTTTTGGTCGTAACATCGTAATTTATACAGACAAGTCTCCCGGAAAACCGGCAAACATTTTTTGTGTAGCTTCCAAGCTTTCAAAAATAACTAGAGAAACATTTTCCAAACGGTGTTTCTATGCCGGGGTAAGATTTTGCATAGTTTGGCTGAAAGACCAAATAGATCCAATTTTCAGCGAAAATCAAATTTTAAATATGCTACGTTTTCTAAATAGTTTTTCCGCTAGAAATATGCCATAACTTTGTACAAAGACTATCTAAATATTTCGATACCGCCTTACTATATCCGGGTTTCCGGGTAAATTTTTGCCCCCCTCCCCAAATAGAAAAGTACCGGTAAATAACGTTAAAGAATTGTCCCGTTTTTTTTCCGCAGGCAACCCCGAAATTTCCTTTTTTTTAGTCGGATCTCAGCGGGAATTCGGCTGTCGAAGGGGAAGAAGCCGATTCTGAAGAACGTCCACAGGTATTTTATTATTCTTAATTTCAGAAAAACCTTTTTTAGGACGACGAGATGGACAGCCAGGTGCACAATCTCGAGATTAGTCGCCTCGATCGGGTAATTTAAATTTATTTTTGAATTAAAAATGCCTTTTTAGCCGATCGTGACGCAGTTCAGCGACCTCTTCCGCAAATCGCAGCCCCTCCAATCGCACGGCGGCTTCTCGTTGAACAGCCTCGACACGTCGAAACCCAACTTCAAGCGGTTCAGGAAGGTCGGTAAAAGTTTTTTAATTCCTCAAAGAATCTCTGCTAGCTATTCTCCTTTTTCCAAGCCATTTTTTCAGGCTCAATAAGGCCGCTTCAACAGCTCGATTCACCCAGAGATGACGGAGACAAATCGTCGTCTCCCACCCGCTCGTCTCGCCGGCGCTGATCTCGCCGACTTCAGGAAGTTTGCCCCAGGAGAGAATCTAGACTAGCAATCATTCATTTATTGATGGATTCGTTGTACATTTTCTGATCACACCCGGGATTCTGATTCACCGGTCGTTTTGCGTGTCTCAAGGAATAAGAAATAAAGAAGAAAACTCCGCACGCCATTTAATTCCCGACGCCGACGCAACGGCACACGCGTTGCGTGTAGCGGCGGGTTCGCCCTTTTAACGCCAATATAGTTTGAATACCTGGAAAAGCTGGGCCTTCCAGTCGCTGCCCGCCGTGCAGATCTTCACCTTGCCTCGCGTCCTCTCCGAAAGAAACGGGACAATGGCCTGAAAAATGAGGCTAAAAAATGAGCTCCAAAAATCGGTATAACCGATTACGACTAATTTCAGGGAACACGAGTCTCAAAGGGGTTACTTTCAAAATATTCTTATTTGAAAATCTCGAAATTCAGTGTACTTCTGCATTATGGGGGGGGGGGGGCGGCGTTTTCTAGGCTTCCAGTTTTCTAATAGAAATATAGGAAGTGTTTCTCAACTATTTTACGACTCCTAAAACCCAGCTTTTTACAAATTTTTCTTAAAAACACCACAAAATATCTATTTTTCGAGTAAAAATGCCGATTTTTTTTTGTACCCAAAACTTAACTTAAAAATGTTTTTACCAGTTTTTTAGTGTTTCCCACTTAAAACTAGTTAAATTGCACCACATACCATTAAACTGATTATTATTTCCTTATTAGGTCTTACCGGATGCCTAGGGAAAAATTTTCGACATTCTGCTTTCAAATCGTCATAAAAAACCGGTTTCTGAACTCAGTTTTCTTGGTGTTTGGTATCATTAGAATCGCCACGTTCCACTAGACCTCCCGTTTCCCCCCTCTTTCCCCCTAAACAGGGGGGTTGGAGGGGGAAAGAGGGGGGCTGGGTAGGGGGAAAGAGGGGGGTTGGGTAGGGGGAAAATGGGGGGCTGGGGAGGGGGAAAAAGGGGGGACTTTTGGGGGGTAAAGGGGACTTTTTGGGGGGTTTTGCGAGATGAAAAACTAAATTAAATTTGTTATACCTGTTTTTTAGCTTTCTATTAGCAGCAAAAATGCATATTTGAAGGTTACAGATAGATCTCTACAGCAGACAGCTGTTTTCTCGCCATATTTTAGGTGTAGAAAAAGTTTAGGTTTAGAAAATGTTAAAAATACGTGGTTTTCAGTGGGTTTTTTTGCTGAAATTAAATAATATCGATAAAGTAAAAATCAGTAGATGAAGATTCGCATCACCGGTTGACGATATTTCGTTTAATTCGACGCTTTTTGCCTTGCCGCCCTGGTTTTCTAGCCACCATGGTAAAATAAAGCTTTCTTTGTGAATTTAGTGTTTTTCTACTCAAATATAATAATTAAACGGTTTGGGGAATGGAAGAGAATATAGTCTCCGTTTTTACCGAAACTTTATGGTCTCCGTTTTTCGACTAGGGGGGTTGGGAGGGGGAAAATGGGGGTTTTTTTGGGGACTTTGGGGGGCTGGGGAGGGGGAAAATGGGGGTTTTTTGGGGGACTTTGGGGGGCTGGGGAGGGGGAAAATGGGGGGTTTTTGGGGGACTTTGGGGGGCTGGGGAGGGGGAAAATGGGGGGTTTTTTGGGGGACTTTGGGGGGCTGGGGAGGGGGAAAATGGGGGGTTTTTTGGGGGACTTTGGGGGGCTGGGGAGGGGGAAAATGGGGGGTTTTTTGGGGGACTTTGGGGGGCTGGGGAGGGGGAAAATGGGGGTTTTTTGGGGGACTTTGGGGGCTGGGGAGGGGGAAAATGGGGGGTTTTTGGGGGGACTTTGGGGGCTGGGGAGGGGGAAATGGGGGTTTTTTGGGGGACTTTGGGGGGCTGGGGAGGGGGAAAATGGGGGGTTTTTGGGGGACTTTGGGGGGCTGGGGAGGGGGAAAATGGGGGGTTTTTTTGGGGGACTTTGGGGGGCTCGGGAGGGGAAAATGGGGGGTTTTTGGGGGGACTTTGGGGGGCTGGGGAGGGGAAAATGGGGGGTTTTTGGGGGACTTTGGGGGGCTCGGGAGGGGGAAAATGGGGGGTTTTTTGGGGGACTTTGGGGGCTGGGGGGGGGGAAAATGGGGGGTTTTTTGGGGACTTTGGGGGGCTCGGGAGGGGAAATGGGGGGTTTTTGGGGGACTTTGGGGGCTGGGGAGGGGGAAAATGGGGGTTTTTGGGGGGACTTTGGGGGGCTGGGGAGGGGGAAAATGGGGGGTTTTTTGGGGGACTTTGGGGGGCTGGGGAGGGGGAAAATGGGGGGTTTTTTGGGGGACTTTGGGGGGCTGGGGAGGGGGAAAATGGGGGGTTTTTTGGGGGACTTTGGGGGGCTGGGGAGGGGGGAAAATGGGGGGTTTTTGGGGGACTTTGGGGGCTCGGGAGGGGGAAAATGGGGGTTTTTGGGGGACTTTGGGGGGGCTCGGGAGGGGGCTTTTGGGGGGTAAAAGGGGAAAATGGGGGGCTGGGGAGGGGGAAAAAGGGGGACTTTTGGGGGGTAAAGGGGGACTTTTGGGGGGTTTTGCGAGATGAAAAACTAAATTAAATTTGTTATACCTGTTTTTTAGCTTTCTATTAGCAGCAAAAATGCATATTTGAAGGTTACAGATAGATCTCTACAGCAGACAGCTGTTTTCTCGCCATATTTTAGGTGTAGAAAAAGTTTAGGTTTAGAAAATGTTAAAAATACGTGGTTTTCAGTGGGTTTTTTGCTGAAATTAAATAATATCGATAAAGTAAAAATCAGTAGATGAAGATTCGCATCACCGGTTGACGATATTTCGTTTAATTCGACGCTTTTTGCCTTGCCGCCCTGGTTTTCTAGCCACCATGGTAAAATAAAGCTTTCTTTGTGAATTTAGTGTTTTTCTACTCAAATATAATAATTAAACGGTTTGGGGAATGGAAGAGAATATAGTCTCCGTTTTTACCGAAACTTTATGGTCTCCGTTTTTCGACTAGGGGGTTGGGAGGGGGAAAATGGGGGGTTTTTGGGGGACTTTGGGGGGCTGGGGAGGGGGAAAATGGGGGTTTTTGGGGGGACTTTGGGGGGCTGGGGAGGGGGAAAATGGGGGTTTTTTGGGGGACTTTGGGGGGCTGGGGAGGGGGAAAATGGGGGGTTTTTGGGGGACTTTGGGGGCTGGGGAGGGGAAATGGGGGGTTTTTGGGGGACTTTGGGGGCTGGGGAGGGGGAAAATGGGGGGTTTTTTGGGGGACTTTGGGGGCTGGGGAGGGGGAAAATGGGGGTTTTTTGGGGGACTTTGGGGGGCTCGGGAGGGGGAAAATGGGGGGTTTTTGGGGGACTTTGGGGGCTGGGGGAGGGGGAAAATGGGGGGTTTTTTGGGGGACTTTGGGGGGCTCGGGAGGGGGAAAATGGGGGGTTTTTGGGGGACTTTGGGGGGCTGGGGGGGGGAAAATGGGGGTTTTTGGGGGACTTTGGGGGGCTCGGGAGGGGGAAAATGGGGGGTTTTTGGGGACTTTGGGGGGCTGGGGAGGGGGGAAAATGGGGGTTTTTTGGGGACTTTGGGGGCTGGGGAGGGGGAAAATGGGGGGTTTTGGGGGACTTTGGGGGCTGGGGAGGGGAAAATGGGGGGTTTTTGGGGGACTTTGGGGGGCTGGGGAGGGGGAAAATGGGGGTTTTTTGGGGGACTTTGGGGGGCTGGGGAGGGGGAAAATGGGGGGTTTTGGGGGACTTTGGGGGCTCGGGAGGGGGAAAATGGGGGTTTTTGGGGGACTTTGGGGGGCTCGGGAGGGGGGCTTTTTGGGGGGTAAAAGGGGGAAAATGGGGGGCTGGGGAGGGGGAAAAAGGGGGACTTTTTGGGGGGTAAAGGGGGACTTTTTGGGGGGGTTTTGCGAGATGAAAAACTAAATTAAATTTGTTATACCTGTTTTTTAGCTTTCTATTAGCAGCAAAAATGCATATTTGAAGGTTACAGATAGATCTCTACAGCAGACAGCTGTTTTCTCGCCATATTTTAGGTGTAGAAAAAGTTTAGGTTTAGAAAATGTTAAAAATACGTGGTTTTCAGTGGGTTTTTTTGCTGAAATTAAATAATATCGATAAAGTAAAAATCAGTAGATGAAGATTCGCATCACCGGTTGACGATATTTCGTTTAATTCGACGCTTTTTGCCTTGCCGCCCTGGTTTTCTAGCCACCATGGTAAAATAAAGCTTTCTTTGTGAATTTAGTGTTTTTCTACTCAAATATAATAATTAAACGGTTTGGGGAATGGAAGAGAATATAGTCTCCGTTTTTACCGAAACTTTATGGTCTCCGTTTTTCGACTAGGGGGTTGGGAGGGGGAAAATGGGGGGTTTTTTGGGGGACTTTGGGGGGCTGGGGAGGGGGAAAATGGGGGGTTTTTTGGGGGACTTTGGGGGGCTGGGGAGGGGGAAAATGGGGGGTTTTTGGGGGACTTTGGGGGGCTGGGGAGGGGGAAAATGGGGGGTTTTTGGGGGACTTTGGGGGCTTGGGAGGGGGAAAATGGGGGTTTTTTGGGGGGACTTTGGGGGGCTGGGGAGGGGGAAAATGGGGGGTTTTTTGGGGGACTTTGGGGGGCTGGGGAGGGGGAAAATGGGGGGTTTTTTGGGGGACTTTGGGGGGCTCGGGAGGGGGAAAATGGGGGGTTTTTGGGGGACTTTGGGGGGCTCGGGAGGGGGGCTTTTTGGGGGGTAAAAGGGGGCAAAGGGGGAAAGAGGGGGGAAACGGGAGGTCTACGTTCCACCCTACGAAGTTGAAACAAGCTTATTTCAAGATTTACTATGGTTTTAAAGTTATGAGTTTTAAGTTTTTAAGTTTAGAAGTTTTGAACCGATAGATTTTTGAGTCGATAGGAGCGCCGCGTTGCTTAGGGCCTTATTGCCGCTAATTATGGGTGTACCTAAGA